GGTGCACTCAAGCTTCCAAAACAGAGAATATCGTTTTACAAGTAACCACGGTAACGCAGCGAATGGAGACCAGCCAGCCATGATCGCCTCGTTAAGACTGCGACTGTTGATGGCAGGTCGTGGTTGATGACTACACCGGCGACGCACTCGCAAGTGTTTCTTTCATTGACGTTCACATTATCACTGCTGCTAAACAAAATAAAAAAGCAGACTTAGCAGACTACGCTGCGCATAACGCACCAACGCGACGGCAGTTCAGCCGAGCGAAACTGCCCATATGCCTGCAACTTGATATCAATCCGATCCTTCTATGTCGCTGTGTTACGTAGGAAGGAAACAAATTCCGACATAACATGCACTAGACCGTAAACCAATAAGCACATGATGATGACACTTGCGAATAAATTTGATTGTGGTACTTGCTCGCTTACAAATATTCCCGTAATAGTATATATGTGGCTATTTGTAGCATTGCTACTTTGTTTCATGACAACCATAATAAATAAATAATAATAATAATAATAATATCTGGGGTTCTACGTCCCAAAAGCCACCATATGATTATGAGAGACGCCGTGGTGAAGGGCTCCGGAAGCTTTAACCACCTGGTGTTCTGTAATGTGCACTCGCATTGCACAATACACGGACCTGTATCCATCTCGCCTCCGTCGGAATGCGACCGCCACCAGAGCCGCAACCCTCCGGTTAGCAGCCGAGCAGCGTAACAACTGTTCCACCGAGGTGGACTTCATACTAACCATTAACGCCGGGTCAGGTCTCTCTGTGTGTGTCCAAAGTCGCCCATTGCAGAAGTAGAGACAATCGCAAAATTGACTAGATCCACGTAGACAGCCCCGCCACGGTGGTCTAGTGGCTAAGGTACTCGGCTGCTGACCCGCAGGTCGCGGGATCAAATCCCGGCTGCATTTCCGATGGAGGCGGAAATGTTGTAGGCCCGTGTGCTCAGATTTGGGCGCACGTTAAAGAACCCCAGGTGGTCGAAATTTCCGGAGCTTTCCACTACGGCGCCTCTCATAATCATATGGTGGTTTCGGGACGTTAAACCCCACGAATCAATCGTCATTAGATCCACGTAGACAGTATACCCATTCAGCACAGAGCCGAGACAATGCAGTTCGTTGATTTACACAGGCGGCAGCCCTGCGTCTTGGAACGAGCCATCCGAGGAACACGCGGGGCAAGCCGCTCGCAATGCTTATCACGCTTATCGCGTCGAAACACGCTCTACACCGTGTCACTCGGTCAGATAAAGAGAACAAAAAAAGTTTCTCCGACAGCGCGTCTCAAGCCACTATTGGGACGAGTGCCTATGTACTACTTACAAATATCGATATGAAAACTGCGGAGCGGGCAGACACTGAGCAGAGCGTAGATAAGATAACACGCGAAATTCGCACGCGATGTGCCCTCTATCGCGCGACAGTGCTACGCGGGGGGCCCTTGGAGCGGAGCGACATCTCTGCACCGTACACACACTGCGAAGTGAAAAGTGTAGAGTGCTCTACACGCGTGCAGTGTGTATGACATGCAAATAAGATAGCGCTCTAGCTCGCGAACTGTTTCGTCGCCGAGCGGAGTCAATGCCGTCGAGTATTCCATACTTTTATCAGCCGTCAGTGACACTTCTCGTTCCTAAGCGATAGCATTTTCCCGGAATAACCAAGTGTTTTTCCGCACACGGCAGAAGGACGCCGAAAGCAGAACCAAGTGGGGACGGGTCGGGTAAGCAAACGAAGCTGATAATCTTAATCGCTCCGCGATAACTCTGCACAATGGCAATCTATACTACGTTTGTGCCACGAGTTTCAATAGTGCTCGATTGATTGATATGTGGAGTTTAACGTCCCAAAACCACCATATGATTATGAGAGACGCCGTAGTGGAGGGCTCCGGAAATTTCGACCACCAGGGGTTCTTTAACGTGCACCCAAATCTGAGCACACGGGCTTACAACATTTCCGCCCTCCATCGAAAATGCAGCCGCCGCAGCCGGGATGCGAACCCACGACCTGCGGTTGTAGCCGAGTACTTTAGTCACTAGACCACCGCGGCGGGGTAAGTTTCAATAGTGCCGTTTGCCAACACCGAGAAAGTCAACCCCGTAGGATACCGCGCGGTATTTTTTCACTTCCGTCAGCCTCGGACGTAACCTGTCCCGCAGGCGTTCTACGCGATCGTCACTTGCCTGACCGTGGCGTCCAGGGGCTTGAAAGCGCTGGTTTTCCACACGTGCGGCCACCTCGGCTCGTGTTACCTGGGACATTGATTGTTGGCGGGCCGGTTACTGAGCGCGAAACGACACGACGATAGTTGGAGCGCGAGAACAGAACGACGACAAAGAGACAAAGTCGTTCTGTTCTCGCGTTATAACTATCATGTCATACCGACTAGCCCAAACTGCCTCACATATAAGTGAACCTGGATGGGACAGAAAGTTAAAACCAGCATATATACATGCGTGTGTGTTTATTTTAGCGAACTCGCTGTCTAAATTCCATGCCGACAGGTTGTGCCCTCGCGATATCCGAGTCAGCGTAGCTCTGGCCGACTGGGCTGGCCCTACGTCATCTCCTGACGCCTACCTCCGACGACAGAGTAGCTCTGACAGACTGGACTTGCTCTACGCCATCTGCTGACGCCGACAAGAGCTCTCGCAAGTGGTGCCCCGTCCTCGGACTCCTGTGACCGTGTTTCCATCTTTCCTATCCCCTCGATATGTCGTCGCTCTCTGGCTTACCTCATCCCTCTTTCTCTCTCTCTACCCTTTTATTCCTATCATTTTAATCCCTCCTCACCCCCATCCCTTGTGAGCTACTGTTGAGGTGTCGCTCGCTGAAGCAGACAGTTACGGGGCTCACTTTTCTCTTCCTTTCTCTCTTAGAACCACTTTGTGTGTGTTTATTTTAGCTTTCCTGCTTCACGACGCTCCCCATCCGGAACATTGAAGAAGTTTAACGGGAACTCTCCCCAGTAGTGACAACAGGTTTCCGCGCGCTTTGTAGGGTGCCCGAGCCTTCCTCGGCTCCTTGGTACAGCGCGAGTGTCCGGTCCCGTTCACTGAATTCACGTGGAGTTGGCCGCGCTCAAATCTCCTCCCCACCCGGCATAATCTCGGCAACCTTCAGCCCCAAACAGACCCCCCCTTCCCACCCTCCTCGTCTGCGCACATCCGTTTACTTCACAAAGCGGCCGCCCCGCGGCGCCACACTACGCAGCCGAGGCGTTCACTTAGAAGCCCCGCACGGGACCTCATGAAAGGCGACACACCTGAACGACGGCAACAATGCTGCAGCACCCCCGTCGCCTTACCTGGCCCGCCTCGCCATCTACACCCCTCCATCTATCAGCACATCGTCTTGTGACCATTTATTTTCTCGTACTACAAGAACACCACGCCCCCCTGTGGAACCGCTCGCCATCTTGGGTAGGATACGGGTTTCTTGAATGGGAGGCGATCTCCGAAAGGACGCCAGTAAGAAAAGAAAGAGAAAAAAAAAGAAAACAAAAACACCTGCCTACTATTCTTCCTGCTTCTGTTCCTGTTATTGTGGCTTTCTCACTACGTCCCTCCCAAACTGCAAAATTTGAGGTATCAACAATTTAAAAACGAAAACAGCAACACACACACACAGGAATGCAACTGGAGTAGCAACAGAAACCAGGGAAGGCCACAGGCAATTTCTCAATTTTTTTTGTTTACTTACATTTATTTGTTGCTCCCTACCTTTCCACTAAGGCCATTTTATATGTGACCTCTTCACCAAACAGAGAAACACATAGAATAGTAGTGCAAAGAAGCTAACTCCAACACACAATGTAACGAATGAAGATGCGATGCAATCGTCTTTATGTGTGACGGAATGTGTTCAGCCCGCATGACATAATGATGCCAAGATACAAATCATTTCGTGCCTTACGAGCACATATAGTGTTATCCAAGCTTTAGTGTATTGGCCATTCTTTATATGAATTGCTTCAGCTTAACGCTTGGAGGTATTTAAACAGCATATGGTGCGACATAAACAGAAAACAATGTGCTTCATCTACTGTTATAGATTGTTTAAGCTGTTGTGTTGTGCAGAATGTGTGAAATAATAATAAAAAGAACAACAGCAGTAAAACACAGTGAATGCTAACGTGTCTGTAAAGATGCAACGGCATAAACCACTTACCAACACCTCACCAAACAAACATATTCATTTAATTAAGAGCCCAAATGTAGTTATTAGTTGAAAAGCAATGCTACGACTAGTTAACACAATTCCTCATTAGTTGAGCCACCAATTGATTGAGTGTTTTCAGTGAGCTCGTCCAATAAAATGACTCAACTTGTACAGTATATTGTGTCAGTATTATGTATAATCTATTTATTCAGTATGTATTATTCATTATATATGTACATAATATGTATGAAGTGTTCAATGTTTTTTAGTGTGATGCAAATAGTTTCATTTTGGTGTTTAACACTTTTTTTTTCTTTTGCTGATTGATGTTATTTCAGAGCCCCTCACACAATGTCCAGCAGGCCTGTAAGGAATTCTAAATAATTGTGAGGGGCAGCAAGCAGAAAAATTCGCCACAGCACTGCAAGATTCTGCAAACTGCCGTATCTCGTGCCACCACAAGGTACGTGTAGTCAAAATCGTAGGCGAAGCATGCAATAGAAGACATCCCGTTATGTCTAAGCTGACTGCTCGAGAGCAACAGCAGGGCACGAATTGCCCGAATGAAATGCGCCAAGCTTCTCCAGTGCAGGTTGTCTCATCCTTAACTGCAGTTATCATTAATTGACCTGTGAGCCAAGTGCAGTGTTCTATACACTCCATATGAAGAGTGCTTCAGAATCACGACACCGCAGCATGTTCACTTCGTGCACCGATTCAAACGCATTTGGAACTATTAGCATGTGTATACAGCAAGCAAAATCAATATGAACTATGTGTAGACAGAACTATGTGTAAACAGATGTAGATGAACTATGTGTAGACAGATCTGTGAAGACAGATTTATTCAGTGCAATAGCATATGAACAGGAGACTAGATGATGCCATCTAACCTTACATTTCACATGACGAAACAGATTTTTCAGGCACTGCTGTACACAAGTGCAACAGCACTGGATGCCATTGTTGCGAGACAGCTTCTGGCCACAATGTACAGGAGGAACATTCGTGGATTCATTGCACGGGGGTCCTGAAGCCTAGACCGACTGCATTATTCACCGGTTGGGCTCTGAATCGGCGCTGGAGATGCTCGCCCTGTCTCGAGCTTCGCCGGCAGTTGCGGCTGCAGCAGCCAGTGCCTGTTTTTCCAGGAAGTCGGCTTCCAGGAGGTGCCTGAGCTCTTCCTGCGTCAAAGCCTGCCTCTCAGGAAAGAGCCGTCTCTGCATGAAAAATTATACTGCTGAATATAAACCAGCAGACTGTGCTTTCGGTGGCCTTGCTGAAAATATTTTCATCAACGGCTGTTAAACTTCCAACTCTGCATCAATACATCGAGATGCCTTATGGCTATCAACCTGCAAACTTGAAAATTTTTACAGCCCCAAGGCCACCAATATAGGAAAGAAACAAGGAACTCCGAACTTACAAAAATAAGTTTTACGCCCTCAACTATCATTACATTTCTGGTCTGACGACTACAAATCAATTGCTCAATTTTTAGCAGAAGACTGCTACATTGCTTCAGCGACACCTGTTGCACTGAAAATGAGACCACTACAATGCTTACATGCCAGTGATAGTACGGAGAACGTCTAAATCTGTGGGACCACCCAGATGATATAATAGGAATTTGCAAATAAGAACTTCAGAACCGAGTCGAATAGGAATCGAATATAGTGAGAACACCAAATCAAATCCAAATAGAATATTTTTCCAATAGTTTGCAAAGCGTAAGACAGCCATATTCAAAGCAGCCCTAGACTGGTGGTAACTTTCAATACAGCCCTAGAATTCTACAACAGTTTATTTGAAACAAACATTCCCAAGCTCTCACAAAGAAACATTATCATTACCTCTAGCCAACTAGTTAGTGACTGATCATTCTACGGTAAGGTTAAAGAAATGTGCTACTGGCCTTATGGTATAAAGAACTATTTAAGCTGAGGCAAGCTCGCATACGGCAGCAACAGGAGCCTTCGAAATATTTTGACAGGATGAAATATAATAGTGGCTACAGTATTTTATGTGGAGCCTTGCCAAGGCTTTTACAGAAATTTGATCCATAATTATTAAGCAATCTGCATGGGTTCTCACCAGTATGAATATCATGGTGATGACAAAGAATGAATGATACTGTCCCTTTAGCAACAATGGAGCTTTAAAAACTCTTTCATGTAACGATCGATATCCAGTTGATAGTCCCATAAGTACATCGACAACGTGCACCTGGGTAAGACGATAATAAAAACAGGAAAAGTTGCTCTTAGCTGTTCGAACGTGTCGTTTCCTTGAGAATGTTTCATCGCTGCTGATTGTTTTCAGATATTTGAAAAATATTTGGTATTTCAAATATTCACTACTTAATTTGCATATCAAATTGAATAAAATGGCATATGATTTGTTATTTAACATTTTCAAATATTCACACAACTCCAGTTTTTATAAATTAAAGGTAATTAGAAATGCAAAAGCCCCTGAACAAGGTATCGATACTGCTACACGCTTGCTGTGGTTGTAAAATATCCAGAATGCAGTTTTGTTTCAGCATGTACATGTGAACATTATGCTATTCGAGCTTAACCCCACAAGACTCACTAAATAAAACACTTGAAGAAAACTGGAGGAGAGCCTGGATGGATGGATGGATATGGCTGTACCCTTTAGATCGGGCGGTGGCTAGCGCCACCAAGCCGTAATACCTAATGAACCAAAAACTATATTTATTTTTTTTTCCTTAAAAAGTGAGTTTGAGGATTCGTACTTTGCAGTGAAGAGTTTAATTTTCACTCGTGCCTTGACTTTAGCCACCAATCAGATAACCTCCTTCTAGTTAAGTCTACTTGCTTAAAGTCTATTTTGCCCTCCCGGTCCCTAAACCCCAGTGCTTTGAAAAACTCTGCGCCATCATCTTGAACTATAGGGTGAAGCCCTTTACAGAACATTATCAAGTGTTGGGCAGTTTCTTCTTCCTCTCCACACGCACTGCATACTGTGTCTACCCCTTCGTATTTGGCCCGATATGTCTTGGTTCGCAGTACTCCCGTCCTGGCCTCAAACAGTAGAGAACTACCTCGAGTATTATCATAGATCCTTTCCTTGGCAATTTCCTGCTTAAAAGTTCGATAGATCTCTAGTGCGGACTTCTTAATCATGCCCATTCTCCACATGTCAGTCTCCGTTTCCTTCACTTTCTTTTGAACCGATAGTTCTTTTTGGTTTGGCCACCTGCTGTTTTCTAAGTATTTACCAGTCAACTTCCTGGTCCGCTTCCTCCATTTTGTATCGACATTCTTCATGTACAAGTAGCTGAAAACCTTCCTAGCCCAACGCTCTTCCCCCATTTCTCTCAATCGCTTCTCAAATTTTATCTTGCTGCTAGCTTCCCTGCCCTCAAATGATGTCCATCCCGTATCACCTTGTACTCCTTGATTTGGTGTATTCCCGTGAGCTCCTAAAGCAAGCCTACCTATTCCACGTTGCTTAATTTCTAATTTTGCTTGAACTTCTGATCTCATGCACAAGACCGCATTGCCGAACGTCAGCCCAGAAACCATGACCCCTTTCCATATTCCTCTCACAACATCATACCTATTGTAATTCCACAGTGCCCTATTTTTCATCACTGCTGCATTCCTGTTACCTTTAGTCGTCACGTATATTTCGTGTTCCCTCAGGTACTCGGTCCCATTGCTTATACACACGCCCAGATATTTGTATTTATCTGTTATCTCTAGCGTGACCTCCTGTATTCTAAGCTCAATACCTTCGTTGTCATTGAAAATCATGACTGCTGATTTTTCCTTACTGAATCTAAAATCTAACCTATCTCCCTCATTACCGCAGATGTCCATCAATCTCTGCAAATCTTCCTTGTTGTTGGCCATTAGTACTATATCATCTGCGTACATTAATGCTGATAGTGCCTGATCAATAAGGTTTCCTTGTTTGACTAAAGAGAGGTTGAAGCCCAGTCCACTTCCCTCTAATTTGGCCTCTAGTCCTTGTAGGTACATCATGAATAATAAGGGTGACAGGGGGCACCCCTGCCTAAGCCCCCGTTTTACCTCTGCAGGCTTGGATACCTGTTTTTTCCACTTTATAACTACCTTGTTACCTTTATAGATACCCTTTAAAAGATTAGTGACATGTTCCACGCCTAGTGTGTCTAGTATTCCCCACAATTCCTCTTGAACCACGCTATCGTATGCTCCCTTGATATCAAAAAATGCTAGCCACAGGGGCCTGTGTTCCTTTTCTGCTATTTCGATGCACTGCGTCAGTGAGAACAGATTGTCTTCCAACCTCCTGTGTTTCCGAAACCCATTCTGCAGTTCCCCCAGCACCCCCTCATCCTCTATCCACGCCTGCAGTCTTTCCTTTATAATCTGCATCGCCAGCCTGTAGACCACTGATGTCACTGTTATAGGACGGTAGTTGTTCATGTCAGCTTTGTCCCCCTTTCCTTTATAGATCATGCTCATCCTGCTAAGTTTCCATCCATCGGGAACTTCACCATCGATTGTTATTGTGCTCACTGCCTCTCTCAAAGCCTGCTTAGACTTCGGACCTAATGTCTTTATCAGCCTAATTGGAATGCCATCTGGGCCTGTTGATGTACTACTAGGAACCCTTTTCTCAGCCCTTTCCCACTCTTGTTGTGAAAATGGAGCCATTGCACCACTTGATTCATCCTTGTCTATTGTGGTGCATGAAGTACTTCTTTATTGAAATTTTTCTGTCACCCTTGTTCTTATATATTTAATAGCTTCGTCCCCTTCTAGCCTGGCACCTTGGGCTGTAGTTATAAAACTCTGCTCTAGGCTCGTCTCATTTCTTAGGGAGTTTAGATGGTTCCAAAATTTCGCAGCTGCCTTTTTATCTTTTTTATGTACTTCTGCCAGCCACTGAGCTCCCTTCCTTCTAAACTTTTCATTGATCAGAAGGGATGCATCCCTTCTACAGCTTAGAAAGGTTGCCCATTTTCTTTCAACATCATCTGTCGGTTCACCCCGCTGCTTAGCATGTCTGTGTTCCCTAGAGGCTTCCTGACGTTTTGCTATGGCTCTCTTAACTTCCTCATCCCACCAACTTTTGGGTTTGTGTCTTCTTTTCCGGAGTGACTTGTCACGCGTCTTAGCAAGCTCTAGCTCAAAGAGTCTAATTAGATGCGTGTATGTCCACACTGTCTTATTATCCTCCGTGATTACTTTCTCAATTTGTTTAGTGGCTATTTCAATTTGCCTTTCTGGATAAAAATTTTCCTGTAGTTGCTCATCTTGTCTCCTTCCCACTTTCACTGCTCTTCCAAAACTTAGCTTGATACGTTTGTGATCGCTACCCAGACTTCTGGGGCCACCTTCATCTATGTGCATTCCCCTGGGATTATCACACATCCTATGTGATACCAGTGCATAATCTATCATCGACTGAAGCCTTCCTACCTCCCATGTTATTTGCCTTTCACACTTCTCGGTACTGTTGCAAATGATCAAATCAAGCCTTTCACACATATCCATGATCATTTTGCCTGTCGGGTCGGTATACCCATCTATATCTTCTATGTGCACATTCATGTCTCCTAGTATAATTATCTCGCACTCTCTTCCTAACTCCTGAATGTCCTTTGATATACACTCTACCATTGCCTGGTTTTCCTCTCTGGCCTTTGCTCCCGTCCACAAGTACACGAAACCAAGGAGTGTCATTTGAACCGCCACTTTCCCTTTTAGCCATAAATGTTCCTTGCACTCCTGCTTGACCCTTTGCCAGTCTGTACTTTTATGAATGAATGCCCCAATACCACCCCCCTTTCTGCTGCCTTCTGTTCTATTACAATATTCCCACGCGTAGTCCGGATTGTTCGGACGTTGTTCCATGTCCCTGAGATGTGTTTCTACAAAACCGTATACCATCAGCCTTTCTTCCCTTAGCTGTTCTTCTATCTCTTCCCACTTCTGCCTGTTCCTACCACCCTGCATGTTAATATACCCTATGTCTGAATTGGCTCGGCGCTCGTGGCTACGTCTATTTATGCCCCGGACTCTACACATCTTAGATATTGGTGCCACTTTGGAATCTTATCTGTCCATACCACCTGTCGAAGAGTCTCCCTGGTTGTTTTCCTCGTTACTAGCTATCCTGCACCCCGAAGGGCTCGCTTGCCCCCCAAAAAAGCTACTGCGCGTCCTGCAAGTCGCCAACCCACCTCATGACCTAGCCGCTCATCGAAGTGAATTCTGTCTCGTTGAAAACCCCCCCACCTATGCACCTCTCTGTTTATTTCCACCACCTCAAAGCCTTTCTCTCGACTCATCCGCCATATCTCTTGGCTAATTGCCGACTTGGGTGCCATCTAGCAGCGTTTGCACCACAGTGCTAGTGTTCTCAGGTGTTTTCTACAGACGACTTCGTGTTCCGTTGCATTTCCAAAGAACATATCAGAAGCCTTGCAGCCAAAAGCCGGAGGATGAGATCTGCTCAACCAGGCACCGCAACGATTCCAGCTGCTCACAACGAACTCATCTGCTCTTTAAATGAATTCATTCAATTCATCTTTATCATATTCCGAGAGTTAAGTAGCCCCTATCTTAAAGAAAGCTTAAGATTATATATTGTCGCGTAGATATAGATGTAGCTATTTTCTTTCAACTATTGGATCATTCCAATGTCGCGGGTCTGCCCAGGAGCAGGGTTTGCGGTGGTGTCCTTGAGTGGCTCACCGGCTTTTTTGTACGAGCGCGTTATCTTCCTTCCAGCGAGGGTCTGTTTCCCATTTAGGGGACCGCAGACGGCCTTGCATCCACGGCGCCTGAAGGTATGCGGGGTGGGCTGTACGGTGGAAGCCTAACGGACGTCGCGGTAACTTGTTGTATGTTTTTACTTTAGTTTAGGTCATTGTGTGTTTAGGCGGACGCTGGTCATCGAGTTTAAACTCTCTGGAGACCGCCCGCTATTGGCTGTACCTGTTTGAATTCGTGCCACCCGATTGGGTGTGGTGAACGGATACTGCTGAGTGGTCCTTTTTTGTTTGTCTCCGGGGTCGCTTCGGGACGCTTCGAGGGGAGCCGAGAGAGAGTCGCACCGGAGACGCCACGAGAGCAGGTTGCAGCGGGTGCTGCTCCGAGTTGTTAGAGTTATGCAGCGCACAAGTGTGTATGACGTCTATTATGAACACAAAGCCAAATAAATCGGTTTAGGAGCAACTCTATGGATCTGCTGTGTGTACGTGTCATTTCTCCGGCGGCGACCAAGTTACGACCAGAAAACTACGCTACAATATCATGTGTATCCAATATAACAGTCAACTTGAACCAGAACCATAAACTTCATAATTTTGTATCTTAGATGTCTTGTGAATATTCAGAAAGCCAGAAGCAACTGCTCTGCCTGAAGTGTTTGGAAAAGAAACAGGGATGTCACTCGTTTGCCGTGCCAGTAATAAAGGCTTCCAGCTCTTCACCTCAAGATATGTCGCATGGATGGGAGCATCGCTGTCGTCGCTCAGCAAGTAAGAGGTGGGGACTTCTGGTGCGGATGGCACTGGGTCAGACGAGATGAGACGACCCGTGTGGTCGTGCCGTGCTTCTCCCAGCACGGCGAGCATCTCTCGAGCCGTCACGTCTCGGTTCCGACCTTTCAGTCTGGCCAGCCGGGACTCTGTCAAACAGATGCAACACAAAATTAGCACATGAAATATACAAGTGCACATTAGATTTTCGTTGAAATACGTTCAATTCAAGACAACCAAACGAGACAAACTTGACCCATATGTTCATCGAAGCAGTGGCTTACATGCTGCTTTCTAAATATAGCTTAGCTTGATCTAGAACTAGATCTAGATCTAGAAGAGGTCCGTGGTTCAAATCCCGGTGCCGCGCAGTTCCCAACCGGACAAAAAAAAAAAAAAATCCGCGTGTTGATGGAACTGCATTAAGAGGCCTGGGGTGCGGCCTCACCGGTAACCACCACCGGGAATGCACTCCCTCACCAGAGAAGGATTGGCCACCCTGGTGCAGTATCTGGCTACTACCTCCCACATGCTTACGTCAAATAACTCACGGCCCTCAGTCCCCAGCAGCTGCGAAGCAACTGACCACGGCGGCGGTCAGATCTGCAACGCAGCAGAGGGTGCTAAGAATCTCTGGATCCGGACAGGCCGCCATTGGAACCTGAACTTGGCAACGTTTAACGCTAGAACCTTATCTAGTGAGGGAAGTCTAGTTGTACTATTCGAGGAGCTAGAGGGTGTTAAATGGGATATAATAGGGCTCAGTGAGGTTAGGAGGACAGATGAGGCCTATACGGTGCTACAGAATGGGCACGTCCTTTGCTATCGGGGCTTGGCAGACAGAAGAGAACTGGGAGTGGGGTTCCTAATTGACAGAAACATAGCTGGCAACATAGAGGAATACTATAGCATTAATGAAAGGGTGGTAGGTATCGTAATTAAACTGAATAAAAGATACAAGATGAAGATAGTACAGGCTTACGCGCCTACATCCAGCCATGATGACGCTTCAGTTGAAAGCTTCTAGGAAGACATGGAATCGGCAATGAATAAGGTAAAAACACAGTATACTATAGTGATGGGTGACTTTAATGCAAAAGTAGGGAAGAAGCAGGCTGGAGACCAGGCAGTAGGAGATTATGGCATCGGCACTAGAAACGCCAGAGGAGAGCTACTAGTAGAATTCGCAGAACGCAATAATTTACGGATTTTGAACACCTTCTACCGAAAACGAGAAAACCGCAAGTGGACATGGAGGAGCCCTAATGGCGAAAATAAGAACGAAATAGACTTTATAATGAGTGTACACCCAGGAATCGTGCAGGATGTGGAAGCGGTTGGCAAGGTACGATGCAGTGACCATAGAATGATACGGTCTCGAATTCGCCTAGACTTGAAGAAAGAACGACAGAAACTGATACGCAAGAAGCCAATCAATGAGCTAGCACTGAGAGGGAAAGTACAGGAATTCAGAGTGTCGCTGCAGAACAGGTACTCGGCTCTTAGTGAGGAAACCAACCTTAGCGTAGATACAATGAATGATAATCTGACGAGTATTATTACGGAGTGTGCAGTGGAAGTTGAAGGCAGTGTAGTTAGACAGGACACTGGCAAGCTTTCCCAGGAAACGAAGAACCTAATTAAGAAGCGTCAAATCATGAAAGTGTCAAGTACAATAGACAAAATAGAACTGGCAGAGCTTTCGAAGTTGATTAATAGATGTGAGGTATGCGATGTAAGAAGGTATAACATGGAGAGAATTGAACACGCTCTGAAAAACGGAGGAAGCGTCAAAGCAGTGAAGAGGAAACTTGGGATAGGCAAAAGTCAGATGTATGCACTAAGGGACAAAGAAGGCAAAATAACTACCAATATGGATAGGATAGTTAAAATAGCGGAAGAGTTTTACAGAGATCTGTACAGTAGCGGAGACAACCACGACCTTAATACTATAAGAACTAGCAGTAACCCAGATGACACCCCACCAGTAATGATAGAAGAAGTCAGAAAAGCTTTGGAGAGCATGCAAAGAGGCAAAGCTGCTGGTGAGGATCAGGTAACATCAGATCTGCTGAAAGGTGGAGGACAGATTGTGTTAGAAAAACTAGCCACCCTGTTTACGAGGTGTCTCCTGACAGGAAGAGTACCAGAGTCTTGGAAGAACGCTAACATCATCTTAATACATAAGAAAGGAGATGACAAGGACTTGAAGAATTACAGGCCGATCAGCTTGCTCTCTGTAGTATACAAGCTATTTACAAAGGTAATTGCTAACAGAGTAAAGAAAACATTAGAATTCAATCAACCAAAGGAACAAGCAGGATTTCGAACAGGCTACTCAACAATCGACCACATTCATACTATCAACCAGGTAATAGAGAAATGCTCAGAGTATAACCAACCACTATACATAGCCTTCATAGATTACGAGAAGGCGTTTGATTCAGTAGAAATATCAGCCCTCATGCAGACACTGCGGAATCAGGGCGTAGATGAAGTATATATAAACATTCTGGAAGAAATCTACAGGGGATCAACTGCTACCATAGTGCTTCATAAAGAAAGCAAGAGAATACCAATCAAGAAGGGTGTAAGGCAGGGGGACACCATCTCCCCAATGCTATTTACCGCGTGCATACAGGAGGTTTTCAGATGCCTAGAATGGGAACAGTTAGGGATAATAGTTAATGGAGAGTACCTTAGTAACCTGCACTTCGTTGATGACATTGCATTGCTGAGTAACTCAGGGGACGAATTGCAACTCATGATTACGGAGTTAGACAAGGAGAGCAGAAAGGTGGGTCTTAAAATGAATCTGCAGAAAACGAAAGTAATGTACAACAACCTCAGAAAAGAGCAGCGCTTCGAGATAGGTAATAGTGCACTTGAAGTTGTAAAAGACTATGTCTACTTAGAGCAGGTAATAACCGCAGAGCCGAACCACAAGATTGAAGTAACTAGAAGAATAAGAATGGGGTGGAGCACATTTGGCAAGCACACTCAAATAATGACAGGTAGATTGCCACTATCCCTCAAGAGGAAGGTATATAACAGCTGTATCTTGCCAGTACTTAGCTACGGAGCAGAAACCTGGCGACTTACAAAGAGGGTTCAGCTTAAATTGAGGACGACGCAGCGAGCAATGGAAAGAAAAATGATAGGTGTAACCTTAAGAGACAAGAAGAGAGCAGAGTGGATTAGGGGACAAACGGGGGTTAAGGATATCATAGTTGAAATAAAGAAGAGGAAATGGACGTGGGCCGGGCATGTAGCGCGTAGACAGGATAACCGCTGGTCATTAAGGGTAACTAACTGGATTCCCAGAGAAGGGAAGCGGGTTAAGGGGAGACAGAAGGTTAGGTGGGCAGATGAGATTAAGAAGTTTGCGGGTATAAATTGGCAGCAGCAAGCACAGGACGGGGTTAACTGGCGGAACATGGGAGAGGCCTTTGTCCTGCAGTGGACGTAGTAAGGCTGATGATGATGATGATGATCTAGAACTAACACACTAATGCCAAGAAAAGTATAAGACAAACAGATAACTTGCCATCATTTGTCAACTTTTCTTTCTTTACTTTTCCAATACAATTACTTCTAATAGTATCCCCTATACTTTCCTTGGATTCACTGTCTATTAGTTCACATTATTACTGCACCTAACAAAAAAAAAAAACAAGCCCCTAAATTTGCACTTCTTTCCTTCACGTTAGTGTGAAGTCATATGTACCACTGCTTTTCCTACAATATTTAATACAGTGAATGGTGTTGCTCTGATCATTCAGTCACCATGGTAGTAAATAGGTTTGGCTAGTTCTCATGCTTATGGCTTCAAATTCGCCACTTGTGCCTTTGTTTATTGTGTTTTGGTTTTTCTTCGTGATAACAGCACGGTTCATTGTGAACATTGTGAGCCGATTTGAAATGGCCAGCCCAAAGGTGTGAACGTGATGCAGTTGGACTGCTAAACAACATTTTGTGCTGAAGTGGCAGAAGGCTACACACATCTGAAAGAACGAGGCGTAGGCGAATCCGTCTGTCACCCAGCATGCCCATGCTGACCCAAGTTGCATGGGTTGCAGCTCCCATGGTGACCAGCGTCACATCACAGAGTTTTACGAGCTATAATGAAACTCTAGAACATGTGCAGTACTCAGCCCGGTTCTTACGTGGCGCCGTTTCCCGCTCTCACTGTAACATCGAAATTCCGACATTACCGATAGTCTATTATGACTAATCGGTCCCCATTTTGTAGAGCGCCGATATTCCGCACAAACACATGGACATAGAACGTGAACACTCTTTTGGCTCCGTGCACTATTTGTTAGGCTGCTCCCAAAGACCACCAACTCTTCAACAAACTAGTTTTGCTTGACAAAGTCGGAAAAGCATTCACAGTTTTAAGCAAACCTCGTGAAAAGCTCCGTACCTGGATTCACAAAGCTATGAATTCTGTCAAATGTAGGCCTAGAATCAGACTAAACGATATTATTATATACACAATGTACGCGGTAGTAGTGTATCGCTTCCCACCATTTTTAACGCGAACATGTCTGCAGGGCGCGCGAGAGATATGAATGTCTGTATCACTCATACTTATTGTCAAAAATGCAACCGAAAAGAATTTCGTTGAAGCTATTTCACCTTCTGATCAATCGGAACCACTCATGTATCATGTTATAAGGCTCAATCGGTGAGCCACAGCATCAACCCATGATCTCGACGGTCTGCGCAAGTTTTTAAACGGTCCGAGGCATTTCTCTTACCTAGGGCGGCCACGTAGTGGTCAGTGTCCGGTATGGCTCTCGCTGGACTGAAGTTGTCCTCGAATTTTTGGTCAGAACTGTTGACAGCAGCGCTACTTGCAGAGCCCCACGCTTCCGATGCTGACGCCATGCTCCCAAACGAAACCCGCACACCGCAGGTGAATGAAAAGAAATGAAACCGGTTGCGCCATCTGCCAGTGCTGACGTTCACTAGTGCTCGCTTTGCGGGGCCTCGCGGATCGGTACGCCACAACTCTCGCAGGCCACGCGATTATATTTAACTTTGCACGTGTGGCTGTTCGAGAAGGAGCAAACACGCCACTTTAACGCACGTTCACGGATGTTATCGAACACACTCACCAGCTATTGGCTTCCAGGTTTCTTCGCGTTACGTTCTATGCACATTTGAAAATTACGAACCGCCTCTTGACACTTGCGCCAGTCTCGATGTTCAGCCATGCACTCCTGCAAAAGACGCACGCTGTACTTAACTATCCAACAAGATTTAGATATACGTAGAATATGTAATCGACTCGAAACGCGCTCGATAATGAAAGAGAACGACAAGCGTGACCGCTACTACGCTGAATGTTAACTGAAGAAAACGAACACTACGCTCGCGTTTCTAACCTGAACAGCGTAATGAAGATCAATACAACCAGTCTTCTTCAACATCTCTTCAACCGGATCAACAACGTTGTCCTCGGGCGACGACTTCTTGGAGTAATCATGCTTGGAGTTTTGCCCCGGTGAAGATTCCATGGGCGCGGCCATGGGAAAATGAAATAGCGATGCGCTCGCCGCTTTTTCTTCAAGCTTCGCGATTGTGAACTGGATATACAACTACAGTATATTCCTAAACACTGTAATACCGTGCTGTAAAACAACTTTTATGGGCGCGACCATAGATGAATGAAATAGCGATGCGATTGGCGCTTTTTTGCCGAGCCTTGTGAATCAAAACCATTCAAACTGTGCGTCGAAATTACAAATACAAACGTATGACGTTTTTAAATCCCCTTCTTTTTTCATGCCCCCAACACGTAGTCTTTGAGAGTTGTAGCCTTCACTTAGGAGGGGAATTTTTTTCACAAACATTTCAAGCAACTGTGCGAAAACGCCGATCGACTTTCGCACATTATGCAACGCATGTACAAGAATTAACCGCGAAAATGTCGCACAAAGCCATGCGGTACAAATCAGTCATAGTCTCCTGACACAACATGCTGTGATTTAAACTTATCACGTTCATCGGGCGGTCGTTATTCGCGTTCGCTGCGCATGCGTCACAGAATGCATATATATCGCGGAATGCTTCTGCAATGAAACATTTGTTCGTAGCGCTTGCTCATCGTCCACAATGCCGGACAAACTCTCTGAACAGTCTCTTCTTCTCAAAATGCACCACGCGCGCCGCACGCCCGAGAACGACCGACGCGACGCGTGGCGTCGAACCGACGGATCAGGCCCTTTCGCTGTCAAGATGGCGTCGATCAGAGACAGGCGGCACACCGCCGAGACGGAATCTGCCGTTGATTACGTCCAAGTGGACGGCCTGGTGGTGCTCAAGATCATCAAGCACTGCAGCGAAGAGGCCGGAGGCCTCCTGGACGTCGCCCAGGGCGTACTTCTGGGCCTGATAAACTCGAACTTCGTCGAGATCACCAACTGCTTCCCGATACCGCCTCGCCATGCGGAGGAAGAAGAGGTGGACGACATGGAGTACCAGATGGAGATGATGCGCCAGATGCGGCACGTCAACGTCGACCACCTGCACGTCGGCTGGTACCAGAGCTCGAACTTCGGTAGCTACTCGAACCGGACCCTTCTGGAGTCCCAGTTCGGCTACCAGACCAACATCACCGAGTCCGTGGTGCTGATATACGACCCGATCCGTACCACCAAGGGATTCCTTTCCTTGCGCGCGTTCCGCCTCAGCCAGCCGGCCATGAAGCTGCTGGCCAGCAACGACTTCAGCTCCGAGCAGTTCAGGAACGCTCGGTGCTCCTTCGAGAACATGTTCGAGGAGATTCCCGTGGTGATACGCAACTCTCACCTCGTCAACATCCTGCTCTGCGAACTGAGCGACACCACTCCCGTCGACGTGGGCAAGCAGCTGCTGGACATGAGCACGGCGTTCGTTTTCGAAAAGAACCTGCAGGCTATGATGATGTGCGTTGACGCACTGAACCAGGAGACAAACAAGTTCATCAACTACCAGCGCCAGGTATGTAACTACCCCCCCCCCCCATTCATTTCCAGGTCACGTGGCTTACGACGTCATGGCCGGACGCCGGCTGCGCTGGGTAGTACTGTGGCTGCGCTGTAGTACTGTGGATGGCGCTGCCGAATCATTAGAAAGAGAGGATGGCGCTTTTCCCACCGATTATTGACACTCCCGCACAATTGTTGATGTGAAACGGCAGCCGATTGCGTGCCGTCGGCCTCTAGCAAAGATAACACTGAAAGAAAATGCACCAAAAACAAAAGCGAAAGGTGCGCATCAAAATGTTCGGCGAACACCACCTACATGCAATAAAAACGTGGCCTGTGCATCACGGCAGGCTACGTCACAGCCGATAACTTTGTATCTGTACACCCTGATTGGTTGTGGCTGTAAGCGTTGATGTCTGGTCATGTCACCGCTAGCAGCCAAAGACATGCTACAAGCTGCATTTTGCAGCAACAATGTCGAGGCGGTAGTGTCGACGGCATGGGGAAGTGCGCCGCCGCTTTCCACTTTGTATCTGAAAGCGGCCGCTACGAATCGGTCGATGTAGGCCGATGTTATAGGTGGCCGATGTAGGCCGCTACGAATCGGTCGATGTAGGGTACGAAGCTATTCTCCACGCACTCGCGTGTTTGAGCTCGTATTGCTCACGATAGTACATTGCGAGTGTAAGTTTGAGGTAGTTCTTACGTATTCACAATAAAGTCGTGACATGCAAACATTGACGCATGAGAAGACAAAGACATGACAAACATTCCCGCGCTTGTAAAAAAAAAAAAGTGCATTCTTGGAATTCAAGCGCACAGTTACACACACTGGCGGCTATGTGAACAAAGATTAAGTGGTGAGCCTCCGGTTAGCAATATCGTAGTTTTTAGTCGGCGTTCGTGCTGTCTTGGCATCCCCCTTCTATACATGCTTGCACATGGCTGTAAGCGCATCTAGGACTCCACGTGCATCGGCCATCAGATTTGCGCCACGCTTGATCTTATGTTTCGAACTGCATAAACGTAAATCAAGTAGTCTCAACACTAAGGCAACGAGTGTTTTGAAGCAAGACACTTGCTCGCTTTAATACGTTTGGGTGCGCCTGCAAACCAATGGTCGGCCCGTTTTTAATGATCCTATCGGCTTGAGAGTTAAATGCTTCGTCACACATGATGCTAACAACAAACATTGTATTACGTCTACAAGAGAGGTTCATTCAGAGCCGGTCGACTGGACAGTATACAGCGGTAAACGTGCACCAGCGAGCTCTTGCCACCAACCGAACGTCCTCTTCTTCTGCCACCACCTTGTTCCCGCTACACAGGTGCACATACCTAAATACATATGTGGTAACATTTCCCTCCGCACAGAGGAAGCCCACTGGGCGAGTCAGTGTCTCGAGGAAGTGCTGGATACGGCACGTCGACGTACCACGGAGCCACAGCTGTTCATAGTTCGCCGGAGCCGTCGTTTTGCCGGTCTGCCACAGACAACAACCGTCGTGGTCGAGAGCGAAGGTCGGGAATCAACTGCCCCGACTTCGCGCAGGTCTACGCTGGCTACACCTAGGCATCACTACATGGAACCCCGCCCGTTCGTGGGAATGGCAGGAGATGTGGACGCGTGGCTAACGCACTACAAAAGGGTGAGCCGGTACAACCACTGGAACTCTATCGATCAGCTGGATAACGTAGCGCTGTTTCTCACAGACACTGCCCTAATGTGGTATGAAAACCAGGAAGAGTCCTTGACAACATGGGCTCTTTTTGCTCAAGAACTGAAGAAGTGCTTTGGCGACTCCGACTCAAAGAAGAAAAGTGCGGAGCGGACTCTGGCTGGAAGAGCTCAGACTCCTGGAGAAACGTGCACTGCTTATATAAAGGACGCTCTTAAGCTTTGCAAGATTATAAACCCGCAGATGTCTGAAGAAGACAGGGTTGGACACTTTTGAAAGGCATAGCGGAAGACGTTTACAATTTTCTGATAGGCAGGGATGACCTCGCCCCTGTCTTCGACGTCCAACATGACTGCGGCACGTTTGAAAAACTGAAGACTCGTCGCATTGCCCCAAAATTTGGTAGGCTGGCAAATGTGACAACGGTCGCTAGCGTCGACGTGAGCCCGCCCACGGACCTTGCTGCTACTATTCGGGCAATAGTGTGTGAAGAGCTGCAGCGACAAGGTGGTGGGGTTGACGAAACCATTTCTCATACACCAACCAATCCACCCTACTACGTGGCGGCGCCATTAGCTCCTTTGCCACCATCGGCATGTATGACAGACATCAGCGAAACTGGAACTCCGTGGCCACGTCACGACTCATTCGCGGCCGACCAGCACTATGGCCAACGCCTTCGTCACGGCCCCACCGCACAGAGGTGGGCAGCCCCCGCTCGGCAAGCTCGTCACCGACCCTTCACAGCTGAGCGGTCTCAGCATTGGTTTGGCGGGCGTCCTCTACCAGTCTGCTACAACTGTGGCTTCAATGGCCACATTGCCAGGTATTGCAACTACCGGCAGCCGCCAAGGTACGACCGATCACCGAGATATAACCGTCCTGGCGTTGCCCAGCACCTCCACCACTCTGTTAAGTCTACGAGAGAGGTTTATTCACAGCCAACGTAAGGGTCGACTGGGTGGTATACAGCAGTGAACGCGCACCAGCGAGCTCTTGCCACCAACCGAACGTCCTCTTCTTCTGCCACCACCCTGTTCCCCACTACACATGTGCACATACCTAAGTTACATATGTGGTAACATTATGAAAACGTGCCACATAGCCTGCATACCCAAGAAATAGCTCTGGTGTGCTTCTTCAGTGACAAGAAGCCAAGTTCAGCTGTAGTGCCATTGGTGTATCTACTGTATGGATAGTCAAGTGCACCTACGCTTCTATGGCACAAGGTCTTTCCACTGGAAAGCAATGCCTCATTTTTAAATGCTAGACAACTATGTCGATTTTCGTAGAAGTATATCAAGTCGATATGATCGTGTCAGGCAGCTGCTGATTGGGCATATTGCATAGAGACATTGCCTTCATTCAAATTTCAGTCCAGTGACTGACACATTAAAACCACGAAAACTGCACATAGATTAGAGCTATGCACAATGTAGGCATAGACGCAAGATCATTTTCTGTACATGTGTGAAAGATGCCAGAGAGGGCATGTGAAACAGCTATGCATGTCTCAAAATGTACAAGTTTACTATTTGGTTTCCACGCACTAGAGGAAGAGCTGTGCTAATCTTTATGGCCAGAGCCTCAATGTAACTGCACATGCACTGATCCTTATCTCTGTTAAATTAGAGTGGCCTTTCGTGTAAAGCTAAAGTTTACCACCATACTTTGATTTTAATGTCTTCGCACTCTGTCCCGAGTTTGCGGTAATACTACTGCAGTAACGCTTGCCTTCCTAGGCAAGAACCTCGGCTAACTGGCATTTCGAAATCGCAGTGGCCGAGTTGCCTTACCATAGCTCTTTCTCTCTCCCGGCCAGGTGATGCGCCAGCAGCAGCAGAAGCAACAATACCTCCTGAAGCGAGCCCAGGAGAACAGCGCGCGCGCCCAGAAGGGCGAACCCCCGCTGCCCGAGGAGGACATCAACAAGCTGTTCAAGCCCATCCCGACGCCGTCGCGTCTAGAGTCGGTGCTCCACTGCGGCCAAGTCAACTCGTACTGCCAGCAGGTGTCCCAGTTCGCCACCCAGAACCTGGGCAAGCTGTTTATGGCCGAGGCGCTGCAGCTGGAGGGGAAGCCAGCGGGAATGCTCCCGTAAGGTCGCGCTAGTGAAAGGAAGGAAGGGGGGGGTCGCGCGTCGTAAAGCGCGGTCCTCGGAAATTGGTCCTAGGGGTTTATCGCGCCGAGATTTCTTTTCTTCGAAAATCATTCTCCCTATTTAGTCGAAGTTGCCAGGTAAACACATGCCGCGTCGTAATGTAAGGGCATGCGAAAAACGTGGAAGGTCGGCTTCAGTGGCTCGCTATTGGCTCGGAACTTTTTGTCCCTCGTTCCCCCTCCCGTCTAATCTTGTTGATCGAGTAGGGTAATTTAGTTCAAACTCCCTTGCTTTTGAAAGCTGAAAGGAACCAAACCTTTGCTACCTAATTTCTATCTGAGCTCTGTATTCCTTTCTTATCTTTGAACCATTCCCCTTTCTACAAGATCTGTTAAAACCTCCAACATGCTGCAAGCACCATTTTTCAGTCTTCGTCTGCGTTTCTTTGACACTCTGTCGCTCTCCCTGCACAACTTATTTATTATTCCTGTTATCTTGATCTTTTGCATGTGGTTTGTTTTTGCGTTTGCATTTGCTTTAGGGATACCGCTGTATCTCCTTGGTAATAGCCTGCACAACTTTCTAAAATTTTTCATGTTGTTTGCATGCTTGTTCACGAACATCTGCATGTTGACATGTTGACTACAGTACCTAAATTTGTCTATCCCTAATTGGTTTCGCCAAATCCCAACTCCTGCCCATAAAGTTCTCACTGCCTCGTAATGGTGTGCGCATCCTCGCCGGACACCGCGTGCAAAAGTTATTTAGATAACTGCGCGGAAGTTGTGAAAAGTTGTCCTGACGGCCATTTTGTTGTCACTTCCACGGCGCGTTGCAGCAGACGGTCATGCCAGTATTCGCACTTCGACGTTCTTCCGCAAGCGACCTCTAGGAATAAAGGATCATCTTTTTTTCTAATGAAGTCTTGTCTCCTCTTTTATTCAAGAATTCGTCAACAGTAATTGCAATGCTCTTGCATTGATTCGCTCAGACGGGCCTCTGCGACACGTTGCACAACAGCAGCTCACAATTGGTAAAAAGAGAGGCAGCGTTTGAACTAGATTTGAGCCCAGGTGATCTGCATTGCAGTCGGGCATTCCACTGCCTTGAAACATTGCAGAGTCCCTATGCTTGTATTATGCCTGCTAGAAATTAACAAATTAATGTAGTGTGGTAGAAGAGTCAAATAACACCAGTTGTCTCAAAATGCATACTGAACGAGTCATTCAAAGCTTTTCGTGCATTACAAATGGCTTAGCCGTAATTTTTCGTTGGACATAGTTTTGAGAAAGTGCACCGTGGGTACCTCTCTCCTCTACAGAATAATAAAGAGTGGCATGGTAAGTATTTCATTGCCTTTCGGATTTATTATTTGTGGTGTAGTGGATACCCTACAACCATAGCTAAGCCAGTTGCCCCAAGAGAGAACGGCAAGTTCTGTTAAGGCCCCTGGCTGTTCCAGCTTTCGCTGCGGCTGTGCTGTATGTTCCGCACAGGCTTGATGGTTTTCTAAGCATGGTCCAAATGCTCTGCCGATCCGAAATTGCAAAATCCCACAAACGTGCCAGCCGCCCTACGAATCGTTTAGCTTGCAGCTTTGGTGAAAAATAACGGCTACGAATTGCTGTCTCTATGGTATTGTCTGCTATGCAGTTGGCAGGTGCAGCACGTATTGGCTGACTTCTTAGTGAAGCTATAGTGCACAATCCTGAGGTGATGTCCCGCATTGTGTAGCGCTGCCCCTTGTGGCGTGCTGCAACATAGTGGCGCCGCATTTGCTACTAATTTGAAGCAGCAGCCAACATGATCAAAGGAAAAAATTAAATAAAAAATCGCGAACATGCAGATGTGATTCTGTCTTGCGATTCTAACTCTATAAAGCGCTGTGCGGACACATTACACCAGTTACAGTAACTCGCTATTCTCAAATTGGCAAACAGCCATTAAAAAATTGCAGCACTGTCTCGGCAAAAGCTGGAGGACTGGCCTTTCGGAGCCTTTTAAGATTTTTTGGGTAACTGCTACAAGCACACTTGCTGGGTACCCACTTCGCCATAATCATTACTTTTGGGCAGTGGGCTGGGCGGCACTTTTTTCTTCCTTTAGCGGGAATAATAGCCGAAGAATCTTTTTTTTCTTCCTTTAGCCGAAGAGTTGCTTAGAGAGAGTAGGCCAGCATTTACTCTGCTATCATCATTCTTCGGAGAAGCATGGTATCCACTTACACACTTGCAAGGAATTTTGTGCAATTTCTTTATGTAGTGGTTGACAACAATAAAGTATTATGGCTGAAGTGGGCATGCGCCACAGTTGGTAAGTGATCGTGGATAAGCTCTTGTAATGGGTTGGAGCATTTCACGGCCCTCTTGTTACTCAATTTGTATTGTGTGATGCCTGGTTGGTCTTTTGATGTTTTGACGCTTTATTAGTCGTATTAACGGATTCCTTTCCCTACATCAAGCCTACCTAAGGCCAGTTTGGAAGAGAGTTCCAAGTACTGGCGTGGCTCTGCGGTAGAATACTGGGCTGGCACGATGGGGACCCAGGTTCAAATCCCACTTACTCCGTTGTGTTTATCTTATTTCGTGCGATAGTGGTTATGGACACCTACGGTGGTGCTGGCTGCGAACAACTATGGTGCCTGTTGTAATCTAATCTATGGTGCCTGTTGTAATCTAATCTAACGTGACCCTTGTTGTAATCTAATAATAGCTTTCACTGTGAAATAAATGTACATTTGTCAAAGCAGTGCCATGTCACTCTCTGTGGATGGACCACTGCTTTAGGTTGATTGACGAAAAGAGTAGTTCTTTCGCTTTCTGACTCAAAGCATCCCAATTGCACTGGAAGTTCTGCAGCAATATCAAAATTGGGGGATCCTTAAGCTTCCCCGTTAACGCTCGCTGCATATTTTAACCACTCAGTGCATACTTTTTATTGTCTCATGCAACTCGAGAAGTTTAAATTATGGATTACTACAGCATAATCATAATGGGTGGCCGGCATTAAACCACGAAGTCGTTACGATAAATCATGTTCTGACACTGAGCTCTGACACTGAACACTATCGGCAGTGCTGCTTAATCATAAGGCATTTTTAATTACAAATAATTCAGTAACTAACACTTTATTACTTGATTGCCCGTATAGTATAATATAACCGTTATTTTTCTGCTACAGCAGTGCAGGTCACTACCAAATCAGATTGACACCCCTGTTCAGTTCTCTTAATCAGTGAAGGTTAGCCGAGCTCTACAGTGCAAGACATCTCCTTGAAACTTGGATGAACCACTCACTGCATTTTCACTTGACTGTTTGGATGCAAGTCCTACAGTCTGTAAGCACCTCCTGGCTGACCGTTGTCGCCATGATCGTTCTCCACATCACAGCGAATGGAGGAAGTGCTTTCCTCGACAGCATCGGCTTCCAATGTGATGGACAATGCACTCGTTCTGGAGTTGTCAACGTCAGTGTCGACGTCTTTCTCGCCTCCCTTGTTTCGGCAGCCCTTGGTAAGTACTGGTTTGCAAACTGGCATCGTTAAGCGTTCGAAGCTAATGCTGACGCTTTTCTCTCCCTCCGTGACGGATGTCTGATCCAGAGCCAGCGGATGTGGGCACGTCATTCGATGGTGGATCGTCCTTTGAGATAATAGAGGTGGCTGTGCACTCGCCTTCGGAGGGCAGTGATCGGTGGAGTTTGACACCTTCCACGTTGGTGTCCCCGCCTAAGGTGGCAGATATCGGGGTCGCCTGGTTGACATCTGCACCGCCTATTGTACTGTACTGAGACTCTGGAACGAGCGATATAGTTCTTTCCTCCAGAGCGCTGTCTGATGCGTACTCAAGATGAGCAAAGTCCATATCCTCGCTCTCTTGAAGCACGTTTCGTTTCAATGCTGCTCGGGTTGTGGGAACCTCTTGGAACACTACGAAACTTTCATTTCGCTCCCCTTCTACAAAGTTCCCGTTAGCATCCTTTGCAACTGCGTTTGGGTCTTTCGTTTTACGCTCCACTGGCAGAGATCCCTCTACTAGATCTTTCTTCTGATGACTCCAATTTTCGGACATTCGACAGCAGGCACGCTTCTTAAAGGGCAACTTGATTTTCGACTTTTTATCGCCTTTGGATTTGCATTTCTTGCTGCCTTCATTTTCTTGAGTATTCAGGGGTGCTTCGTTCGCATGCGATTCTATCACGGTGTCCCCCAGTGCAGTGCTCGAATTCTGACCAATTGTTTGCGTTCTAGACCTCACAGCGCTCGTTCCTAGACAGGCTCTCACGTGAGCTTCGGTGACAGAATGGCTCCCACGTGCCGTCACTTCGGAAGCTAGCGTCTCCGTGTTGTTCGAATTGCTGGTGTTACAGGACAAAGATTTTTTGGATGAGCTGTTGCAAGTGCTATCCCTCTCTCTGTGGTGGGTCGAAGGTTTTTTTCCTTTCTCAAAGCGCTTCAGATTACGCGGGAGCACCACCTCTCTGCTTTGTACTGACAGTGGCCTTCCCAAGAGGTCACTGTCACTGCCACGTATGCCCATGATTGAATGTCTCATGTTGAGTGGCTTGAACTGGTTCGTTGTCGTGATGCGTAGAGTTCTCGTCATGTTTAACGATCTCTGCACTGGTGCTGCCCCCTTGTTTGATGTCGAGAAAGTCGAGAACCGGCTCGAGCACGTAAGCTCGTGGCACTGCAAGACGGTGCTGTCCCTGTTGGCAGATGAGTCTTCATTCTCCTTGTCTCGTCCCTCGATGGTTTTCTTTTTGTCGTCTTCCGGCGCGCCAGGCTGCTTGTCATCGGAGTTACTTAGCGTCCGAGACCCTGTGGCATCTTGCGATTGTGCGCTGCAAATGCCTACGTTAGTTGCATTTTCATTTGCTTGCATTTCACATTCCTGTACAGACTTTTCACCACCAGTTGGTACATTCGTCTGTTCCTGTTTTTCAACATCTCTCAAATCAGCGTGATACCGAAGAATAGCTCGTGTGTCGGCACATTTGGTGGATACAGGTCTAGTACAACTTGTTGCTTTGATAGACCCAGACTCTCGCTCTAAGGTCAAATTTGTCGCCACCTTCTCCTCTGTGCTTTCCAAAACATCAGCAAATTTCTCGCAACTCATTGGCTTAGTTAGGGCTTCCGCCCCTGCACTAGAAAGCACTGCCGCTTTGTCAGCGCTACACGGTCTTTCTGAGTCTACAACGTTATCCAGGTGTTCCCAAGTTTGCACCGAAGAACCTGGGGACTTGCATTGAAGTGCTTCGCTTGAGGGCGACTCCAAGAGCGCTGACCCATTGGTAGCATACACATTTCTTCCACCGCATTCCACAGTCGTAATTGAGTCTCCGTTTTCACTCTTCAGGGAGCTTGCTGTCATACTAAGCACTTCGAGTGACTCTGTATCGGTGTTCGCAAAAGCATTCGTACGTTCATCTACAATCACTTCCCTCGAGTCCTGCACAGCTGTTGAAGAAATGGCTGCTTCACTTCGAAATTCAATTGCTTCTTGCAGCTCTAAAGTATCGACGATCGTCTTTTCTTTGCCGCTGTTAGCAGCTGGCGCGTCCTTCACTGTCACTAGATTTCTGGCCGATTCGTTGTGTCCTTCAAGTGACTCCACAGTACAGCACCCTCGCAAGTCAAAGCGTCTTGGTATTTATTGGAAGCTATTGTTTCCTCAGGGCCTCTTGAAGCACCTTTCTCATTGCTGCAAGAGGCTTCCAAGAAACTGTCGACTTTGCCCGCAACAGTCACCTGAATCCTCCAAAACACCTTTTGCGAACTTCTTGGAGCCCTCGTGAACAGTGCTTTCCTCATTCACATCAGATTCACTCGGTTTTTGCGACGTGCGTCTCATCGCCTTTAGGGGCCAGTGTCTTTTTCTTATTCTCCTTGGGTACTTTCATCTTCACCTCGCTAGTGACCAGGTAGTCGCAGTCCCTGACTACTGTTTCACTGTCGACGTCTTCGATCGTCTTGAACCAGTGCACAGACCGCTGTCGGCTTTTAAACATTGAGGACGTGGACAGCTTACTTGAAGACAGTCGCATCGGTCTTTCCTCAATTCGTGGCCCGGAGGTTGTCTGCACTGATGACGCACTGCTCGCAAAGCTGCAGTCTTTCGATTGTTGCGACTTTGTCGAGGGTGCCGTCCGGCACTTCGCATCCTTGGGATGGCATGCACCGAAACTTGGCCGACTGGAGTCGCTGTGCGGGCGGTTGACGATTCTAGCTGCTTGCTGCTGAGACGACTCCGTCGAATCACTTTCCTGCGTAGCAAGCAAAAGACTGTTGTCATGACGCTTAACAGCGTGCGAGTTCATTGTCGGTAGCGACAACTTCGGGCTGGTCGCTTCGCAAGGATTGTGCGGTCTTTCGGCTCCACGTGGAAGGCCCCACGAGAGCAGTTTCCCCTGCAACGACGTGTGAATGTCGTGCGGAAAAGGGCCATACATTCGAATGATCGGTGCCTGGCTCTCCTCCCTCCTGATCAAGGACTCTTCGTCGAAGAGGTTGCTGTGCGGGTCGCTGTAGTTGGTAGTTATGTTGCCCGAGGTTCCCTCGCTCGCTTTGGTATGCGTTCTGTCGCTGTAACCGCACGTTGAGGACATCTGGGTGCAGACCGCCTGCAATTTTTCAGACATGTACCAACACTTCAGGAACACTTGTATAGTGCAGGCAACATATGCAGAGACAAGTTTGCATGAAGGTGAAGGTAAAGGCGTCGATAAAGATTAGAGTGATCGTCAGTGGTTCACGCATTGTATTTTCAAGCACGGTCATAAGCCTCGTGTTAGATTTGAGCTCTAGAGCATGAATGTAATGGTAGAGTTACTTTTTGCGAATTAGTAGAAACACTTGGGGTCAGACATAGGTGCCCACATTTGACTAGTATGCATACTTTTTGCTGTACAGACAAATACAGAATGTTACAGATACAGAAAATACAACATTCATCTTCTCCTCGCTCTCTTTCTCTTTTTTTTTCTTGGCATTTAGCAAATGAAACTTACACCAATATAATTTCTGACGTGGCTTATTGACCTTGTTTTGTTTATGTTAGAATTTTTAATTAATGTTGCCTGAAGTGGCATCCTAGCATATTGAAATGAGAAAATACATTTACACAATAAATTATGATGTTAATATGGTTCGGAAATGTGTTTCTTAATTTTCATTCACTGCTTTATGTGTATAATATCTTGTACTGAGCATGCAACAGCACAGTCAGCCTACATTTGAAGATGTGGTTCCTAAATGCCTAGACTAGCTATGCACACGTTGTGCTGTTGGATAATAATGTGCCATGTGTCTACAAGTCTAAGCTAAAGGAGCTTCGGGTCACAAGTACGCATTCTAAGAATGGCAAAACAAAAATATTTCTGTCGAGATGGACATTTCTACCACCTTGCAGTGCACGTTACTTACGGACATCTGACTAGCTTGAATCCCGTCAGCCCTTGTAGTATCGTCGTCCTCATCGACACTGGCCCGCACCAGAGACGACATTTGCTGTAGCACGTCTTCCCCGCCAAGAGTCGTGTCGGACTCTTTATCGAAGAGCCAGGGCACTTCGACGCCCGCGCCGAAGCTGTCACGAGTCGAGGAAGACGTGACAGTGGCTTCTCGAACTGGTGGCTCTGATACATGGCTTTTACTTCCCTTCTCAACTGAAACTCTCTGGAGGCCCTCTTCGAGCACGCACTGCATTTGGTCTATGCTTTCCTTTGTCGTAAAGGAAGGTGCAGTCACTTCTGGAAAGATTGTGCTTTGCACATCTTTTGTGCTCACCGGGCCATCGTCGTGCGTCGCCTCTGAAACTTTATCAGTATCATCGACACATGCAGCCCTCAGTATACTATTTTGGCTCCGACTGTTATGTTCATCTGTTGCCTGCAGCTGTTCATCATTTACTATTGCCTTAAATTGTTTCTTGTCTTCTTCCTCTACCTTCGGCAAGTTGTTGCCCTCGGTGTCTTTCGGTGCGTTGAGATAGGGTGTAGATATTGCCACGAGAACAACTTGGTCTCTGGCATCACCCTCGGTGGCATTTGTGGACGAACTTGCTCAGGCCCTTGCCCTCCGCCAACACCTTGCATTCGGCGACGAATGAGGTGTGTTGCTTGTCCGGCACATCTATGCTGCAGGCTGACGCGAACGGGTTCAGGTCACAGGGTGTCGTAATTAAAGTGCTGTTCCAACGGATGTACTCTGCATTTCCCAAGCCACTATTACAGTCTGTCAGAGTCTCTGCCTTTGCGCTCTCTTGGGTGGAGGTCAAGGACGTTCGGATGAAGGCGAAGTGATAGAATGCATCATTGCTTCGCCTGGTCGGTGCAAAAGACCTGAGAAACGAGAGAGGAATTAGGAGACCTTCTCCTAGCAGGAAAACGGGTGCCAACAATGCTTGGCATGTGCGTTCCAGACTTTCACCTTCCTTTTTTTTTTCTATCATATTGTGCAATGCTACCTCTCAACCTTATCCTTCCTCCATGTCAGGAATGGGACCTCCACCCGCATGCTTGCCAGCGCAACACTTCTGTTGCAAACTAACCAAAGAATGACTAATTAAAGAGCGCAAACTAACCAAAGAATGACACAAACATGAAAAACAAGAGTACAAATGCTATTACATTGTGCGTAGCAATGATATTTAACCCTGACTAGGCATAACAGCTATGCATAGCAACGTTTCTCAGTGCATGCTTTATGGCTCAAAATGTCACGATAAATAAGCTGTCTCACACCGCAAGTGATTGGTTTGTTTACAGCATGAACACTGAAAGGGCAGCGATTCGTGCACAGTGTTCATTATTTTTTCTTTTTTTTTCCTTATGCTAAATGTGGGATAAGCAGAAGACACCTGATGGATGCTTGGTATTACAATAATGAGTTGACGAAGACCATCTGCGCAGTCATTGTTGTTGCCGTTGCAACAGAAATGACACGTTTTATAGCCCGTTCCGAAGTTTTTAACAACTGCCGTAGTTGTATGCCTTCAGTACGTGGCTGTAGATAGCACGTACGTGACTGTAGATGCCTCTTGAATCGCATTTATGTTGGCCGAAAGGGAAAGCGCAGATCGGTTTGTGGCTCCACGAGCGTTGTTTGCTGTGTCGTCGGGCGTGTTGCCGGTGCTGTGGTGAACCTCGCCAATGACGGCGCTGTGATGGTCGTTGAACCAGTTCTTCGGAATTTCAAACTCATTTGCTTCCGGGGTTTCAAACTAGAAAGGGAAACAAAAATGTCGTGACACCATGTCAAGTTGTAAGCATATACTACAAGATGCCCCGGGTACCAGCATATGTGTTTTTTGTCGGCTAACCGCACACATACAGGTTATAACTACTACAGGTTACACTAAACAGGCCTGTTCTACGCGTTATGAGGCCAGCCCGGGCCCGTTTCTCTCGCAGGATGTCAACTGTATCTGCAACCTGTTTTTCTCCCTGATCCATTCCTGCCGACCTGTGTCGCTGGTCTTTGGTAGTTTTTTCGGTTGTTTTGTTACCCTCCATATTTCAGGTTCGTATGTTAGAAGGGGCAGTATGCAGTGATTGTACACATTTCGTTTATTGACAGTGCCAGATTTCCTACCATTATTTGGGAGTGCCTGCAGAATGCACTCCAGCACGTTCTTATTTAATGGTGAATTTTTTTTTCATGATAAGGCTCTCCTGTTAGTGAATATCTTTACTAGGTATACATATTCTTGTATACACCCCAAGGTATGGCTGCCAATTTTGACACTCTATTGTGCAAGGTTATTCAGGTGTAACAACATAAACAGAAAATGTCTTTATGGAATCACGATTGAAATTCGCTGGTTGACATCTAGCTCAACTAGCTAGATGTCACCATAGTTCTTCAAAAACGTATTGAAGGACTATGATGTCACTAAAGTTTGTTTGTGCCGCATGCGACTGGTATAAATACTCTTGACTGCATTAATTTGGCATTCCCTTTGACAGTGTGCTGTACTGTACACTTGGATTGGAGCAGTTGAAAAATACTTGCCCCAACAAAAGGATTTTCGATGCTGCTGTCCTTTTGCTGTTGCTCCCAGCTGGTATCGGGCACTGTGTTAGCATCTCTGACTTCGTAATCGTCGACCTCTGCAGGCGCGGGCTGCGTTGTCAGTTCGTTTCGTTGTGGTGATGCAGAAGAAGGTAGTCGTACTTCACGAGGTTCTGAGCCTCTTCTTTCGTCAAAGCCAGCCTCGGGAAGAACCTCCTTGATATCTGCAATTGGACCACGCACGTTTCATGAATGAGCAAGACGAAACGGACTCCTGGCAGACTTGCGATAGCTTACAGAACTGCAACCTTATATTTAACAGAGCTGTTGATGAAACCTCGTTGCGATAAATTTTTGTGCCATTGAATGAACTGTGCTATGAATGCACATTCCATTACACTAAACTAGCAGCAGGACAGATTTCCCATTTGCTTCAGTCACATCCATGTTTGCAAAATCAAGGCTAGCATTTAATGGGTGATGCACACTCCGTTACAACCCTAAGAAAAATTACCAAGGTTACAACTTAAGAACCAAAGGCATGCACACGAGGGGTGCAGGGTGGCAGCCGCCCCCCCCCTGGTCACCAAAAAGGGTGGGCGCAAAGCCAGCCCTATACATTGACAATAATATAAATGGGGGGGGCACTGCTATGAGCCTTCAACCTCCTGAAGGTGAACCCTGCAGACGCCTATGCTAAATACTGCAACATGCCTGCCCTTCACCTGTGAAAGACAGTCAAGCCAGTTGGTTTTTCCTTGAACCGTAAGTACTTTTTCTCGACCAATGTAAGTACTACGCATACTATTATGAAAAATGCTTCACAAGCTATGCTTGGCGAAGCAGGGATGTTGCAAGCAATGATGAAATCTGCCAGGACATTTAAGTTTACTACTTCAAACCAGCGGCACAAATATGTCTTTGTATTGGGAAAGCAGCTATCTGAAGCACTCTAGAAATGCTCAATATCATGAAACTGAGTAAGCCCTATTTAACATCTACATTGGTGTTTTGTGTGGCCAACATTTCAGTTTCAGTTCGTCCTTCATGTGCCAGCAACGTCTCTATGAGCTTCGCTACGACTATTCATTCCTAACATACGTGTGAAATCTTTGAAATGTTGCCCCTTCCAAAATTTTAAGCTCACAAATCAGGGTTGTTGCTCTAGGAACAATTCATATCAGCTGCACGGACAGAAACCGCCACCTCGATTGCATAACAAGTTTTAAAATTTCTCTAAAATTGGCTAGACATAGTCAGTTAAACTGCCAGTCAATGTTTGATGAAGCGAAATGATACAGTCCAAAAGTACTTCAATGAGTATTTATATATTTATATACATATATGGGAGGTCTCAATTTCAGACCATCTGTGAGCTAGATCAGCTGTCTGATGTGGCATGAGGAATCGAACACAAACCCTGCATTGATCACAACATGAAACAAATCAAGAGAACTAGTGATTAGCTTTAATTATAAACTTGGACTTGCTAAGCATGTTAGTTGGTTAGCAGCACCCTGAAATTATCCTCTTAAGTAGTCCTCAGTCTTTTTAACAGAGCTTGTTGATAAAACTCTGCCTCTGAAGTAGCGACAGTCTTCTTTTCTAGAGTTCATTATTAATTAGCTAGCAGCATCTCAAAATTTGCCTCTGAAGTCGCGACTGTCCCTTCAATAGTACTTATCTAAGTAAAGTGCTAAAGTCAAAACATCGAGGAGATATCTTTGCAAGTTTGGATGAAATGGATGCATAACCTGGCCTTAACACGTAGTAGTTACACTGTACACTAAAATCTTGTGGATACATTTTTTATGAAAACCGCAAAACAAAACATATTGTGAAAAATTTGTATTAACATGGCCGGGACTAACGTTGGGCAGGACCAAAAAGAAAAATGTGTTGGGCCAAAAAACGAATTGCGCAAAATCGTATCAACGAGATTCCATTCTACATGTGGCAAGATGCTTTCTTCTTTGGTTTGTATATCTAAAATGAAGGTTCGACTAAAGCGGGTGACTAGACGGACCAATGCTCTTTGAAGAGAGAGCACTAGTTGTGAAGTTTGGTAATGTTCTACAATGCTAGTGTATTCGACACCCACACTACAACCGAAATGTTTGGCCGCACATCACCCTAGCTCATCCCTTGTATGCGAGCAGCCTCTCTTGATGCAGTTCTATAGTTATGCATTCCTCACACACACTGCGAGACTTTTCGAATGTTGCCGCTTGCAATATTTAAGCTCACAATTTTGAGCAATCACTATAGCAGTAATGGAATACATTCATGGAGGCAAAATTAAGTACAGGGTCTTCCTTGTCAATAGGAATGGCAAAAGTAAGTCATGTCCCTAAATGAACACGTCAAGTAAAAACAGAATAAAACACTCAAACCTAATTGAAAACGAAGTTGCATTTTACACAAAACTAAGTTCGTGTATATACGAAAATTCGTTATAGAGGTGGATTCCTCACAATGTACCTATTGCTAGACTATTGTTCATCTGCTTCATTATAACCAATAATTCGTTATATCCAGGTTCGTTATATCGAGGTTTCAGTTACATTGAGCAGCATGTAAAGCAAAGACATGTGCGCACCGGCATGATCAAAGTTGGAAACAGCGCCAGGAATCCGCCGTCTTCGTCTTCTGCCGACTCATCTTGCGGCTTGGCATTCGCATCGGGGTTCGTTTCAGCGTACTTGCATGCGCAGAGCCCGGGCTCGTGTTATGGCTGCAACGATTTCCTTCGTGTTGGGGTTCTGGTTTACTAGCTGGAGGCGCTCCAGCCTGTGCTCTGGAAACATAGCGAGTTTCTCTTGTTATGGCAAAGCTTAAATGTATGAACAGTGCTTTACGGATAGATTCAGTCAAGTATCACTCAATGTTTTTTGTGCAACAGCTTCCTTTGCAGGGTATTTTGACAAGAAGAGAGCTGGCATAATGCAAATCAATTTAGCATACAAATGTGCTCCACTAACAGATTTAGTTAATCATTATATGTAGCAGCTCTCTCATACAAAACCTGAGGAATCAAAATACATGTTCCTGTTAAGAGCGAAGAGGCAAGTTAGCGACAAAGCTGACCAATCAAAATGCAAGGAACACACAACAGCCTCATGAATTATTGCTCATTAATGGAATATTGATGATCGCGCATCGTTCATAGCTTGAGAAAAAAGAATTAATAATACCATAATTGACATATTGGAACTGTCATACTGCATATATGAATAAAAGCAAAGGGTTAAACACTCACACGCAACGAAGCCACGCAACTGCTTGAATTTTATGGGATCTTTCCCATTATTCATTAAACATTTCACATTAATCATAGCAAACAGAGGTAGGTCCACAGGTATTGAAGACTGGACGAGTTGATTCGTCACACTAGAACTTGAGCATTACGAAAAAAAAGATACAGACTCTGTTCTTTTGTGTCGGTCTGCTCGGCCGTTTGTTCTTTTTCATAATGTGCTATAGTTCAACCAGATGTAGTTCATTCTATTGTTCAACCGAGAACCACCTAAAATTTATGTAATGAAGGTACAGTCTTTTTGTGTGTGTGTGTGTGTTTGTGTGTCTGTGTGTACAAGACTTTTGTGCATAAAAGATGTGTTACGTATTGCTAGTAAACCGTTATTGCTAGTAAACCTTATGGTTAGTAAACCGTTTAAAACTCTATGTTGTTGAAAGGGTTACACAAAATCAGCCCCCACAAAAGTGCCTTCCTTTCCAAAAAGAAGAACTTTCAGGCGTGATGGCTTCCAACTAATTATGTATAATTCGGCTACCAAACCCAATTCCATCATGCAATTAGACAAATATCACTTTACCTGTGCATGGCGAACATTTGTCGGCTTTCAGCAAAGTAGCAGTGCGATTCACATAGCCTACTTTTGAATGTTAAATCTGCAGTTCAATTTTTAAAAAATTCAGCAAGAAAAAAATTTGGCCTGCGCAGGGATCGAACCTACGACCTTCGCGTTATTAGCACGACGCTCTAACCGACTGAGCTAGCAGGCCAGGTGGCTGGAGGAATTGTAAATTTTGTACATATGCAATAGGCGCAATCAGTACCCCCTTTTTGACAAATGTATTATTTTAATGGCGCTGATTGTGCTTACGCATGCCGGCTCGAGTGAAGAGCAAGTCTAAGTGATGTCACACATGGCCTTGGCGACTGGCAGCAGGCACGATGTTGGAACAAATCGCAGAGGCCATGTGTATTCCGTTGCATTCGTGACAAAACTGGCGTTCGCAGCTCTAACCACAGCAACCGAAATGACGAGAGATAGCTTTCACTTTGTGATCGACGCAAACTGCCATTCAGGGCACGAGCTAGAAGTCTAGGACACCCCACCAGAACACCTGACCCCACCGTTCTCCAAGCCACGCTCCAAGCATCATTGGACTTGATTTCAATTTCATTTGCGAAGCCAGTCGTAGCCAAAATCGAATAGCGTTGAGGCGGGAGTTTCAAAACAATCGTTGCTGCAGCTCTTGAGGGGACAACGTGACCTTCCGAGGTCAGTACCCTCATTATGGTGGCTCCCTCATCGTCACCCATTTAACACAGTATATCGAGTACACAGCATAGGCGCGCGACCGTTGCAGATATCGGTATCCAGCACACAGCAATGACAGCATAGGCGCGCCCATGCTGTGTGCCGTATACCGATATCTGCAACGGTCGCACCCCAAGCCCTTGCAAATGCGAGGCATTGAGCGAAGCTGCCATGGTTACCCAGCTTGGAGATGTAGGCGTCCGAGTCGTGGTGGAAGTTGGGTATGACGGTGAGGTGGAAGTCGTCCTCGAACGACATCTTGATTTCGCCGCCCGAGTCGGCACCTAAGTCGTTCCACGGGTCCTGGTCGCTGGCGCTGTCGCTGGAATGTGACAACCAGCGGTTGAAGCGCGTCGTGTTTCCGACGGTGCTGCGAACACGACAATTCGTATATTTCCACGAAACGGCCTCTATAGTTTGAGCAGCTGCTGTTACGACCAATCCTCCCCATTCAAAGGGCAGATATCGTACTATTTAGGGTGGAACGTGCACCATGGGAGCAGTGGTGTGATACGAATCATCGACGCAGTCATGGGCAAGGCTTCAAGTAATTCCCTTCCCTCCCCCCTTCCCTTGTTAACAGGCTTTGGGAGGGACACAGCATTTGTGATAACATTTAGCGATAACATTGAACACTCTTGTATAGTGTTCTGGTACTCCGTGCGGCGGGTGTGTCTATTCTCTGGGCAACCGGGATAATTGATCAAAAAAATTTCTCCCAGCAGTCGCCTCCCACTGGCTCTCATAAGTCACGCGACTAACTGCCAGGATAAATTTTTTTTTATGATTCTCCCGGCAACCGGTAGAACTTAACCTAACATATTCAACATAACCTAACGTAACCTAACCTAACACGACGCACGCTAAGTCACGTCTGTCCAATCTGTCTCGCAGCCTAACCTAACCTAATCTAACGCACGCTAGGCTACGTATGCCCAGTCTGTCCCGCAGCAGCCAGTTTTTACTATTCTCTTCACGGCAGTTAGTCACGTGACATATGAGAGCCAATGGGAGGCGACCGCCGGGTGAAACTTTTTTTGAACAATTATCCCGGTTGCAGGGAGAATAGACACTGCTACACTTTCCACCCTTCGAGGAGTGTTAACCAGCCTCCGAACCTTTACACGGAATGTTCAAAGAGATATTCTTCAACTGTTCGATAGTATAGCCAATTCAATAAATTCGAGTTTGATATATGCGGGATCGAGTGTAATCGCTTGCAGGCATTTCCTCTCGAAAACTCGTCGCATGCCCCTTTCCCTACCGAGAATGCTATGTCAAACTGACAGCTTTAACGGTGCTCATTAAAGCAAAAAACGAAAGTCACTCAAGATCTACGACGATTAAATCGTTGCCGTAGGACGAAAACACTCTTCGAAGGGCGTAGCTCCGTCTATAGAGTGTAATTCGCCGCTGCTCTCACCTTTTCATGGCTTGCTGCTGAGCGTTTTCGCTGGCCCCGCAGAAGAGCGAAATAATGGACGGGAATTTTGACGTCTCGTGTGACGAGTGCTTGAGCCCTGTTTTCTTCTTGTCTCGGTGGTCGTGGGGCGGGCAATTTTGAGAAGGATAAAGTACCGATCCGAGTGCCTCAGTGGGCCATCGCCCTGCCGCCCCTCAGCCGTACGTGCCCGGCTTCGTCGTTCTTCACTTCGCCCGCTTACTCCTCGAAACATGTATGGGGTTTACCCTCTACAGATAATCGATTAATAATGAAGAAGGAAATGTTTGATGACGACAAATGAGGAGAGGTCGGCTTGGAAAGGCGGGTTTCTAGCAAGGAGGATTAAAGAAAAATTGCTGGAGTGGAAGCTCCTGCCAGCAGAAGTGAAACCACCTTTTGCCACTGCCAAGATGGCGGAAACATGCTTTTTTTCTGATAGTGCCCACTTAAACATCAAGTGGCTTTGATACGTTACGTAAATGCTACGTTAGTTCTATATTAAAGGATAGTTGTTCCCGACGAAACAACACACAGCAACAAGCATGGATGACTGAATCTTCAAAGAACTTTGCCTCCAATCAGAGGCTCACTACGGAAAACTAGTAACCTTAAGACGTTCTTGGAGCACTATGTGGCCCGAAAAAGTTACCACATTAAACTCGTTGGGCATGCGAGGGAAACGCTTCGTTTTTAATCGCTGAACGGTGATACTTTATCATGCCCCTAGTATGATGGCCGCCGCAACCGCCATCTTGCCAGAGGAACGGCTTCACTTCTGCGCAATCATTTCCACTGCAGCAATTTTTTTAATCCTCCTTGGTTTCTAGCCAGCTATTTAGTCCTCACTGGGGTAAGGAAAGGGGAAATTAATTAATTATTTCAAATGCTCTCACATGCTCCTACAACGGAGTATTGTGTGAGGGGTATCACATAAAATAGGGGTGATATTTACAGGCGATATTATGTGATGAAAGGAGGCGGATGTATCAGGATGGGTGACTATGGCATATAGTACAAAAGCTTGGCAAAAACAGCAATTAGTCTAGAAGCTGGTGGTTAAACAGATGCAGGGACGATCAGAAATAATGAAAACGCAGTTGAAGCATGCTTCACACAAACTTTTCGTTATTGCGTTAGCTCTCTTTACGCCATCTATGTTGGTGGAATTCAGCTTCCCAGATAAAGTATATGATGAAGCGGATGGCGAGGTGAGGGCTACTGTCATGGTAAGTTGGTAGCGGGCTATATTGCAAAAGCTCTTAACCGTTTTGTTGATGTGAAACTCTTCTTGGTTGACTGTGCGTTATTTATTAGTGTAAGAAGCATTGCTGTCCAGTTTTTACTCAACGATGCTTTGTGTGCTATCGAAGAGTAGTGTGAGAAATGGGATATGACAATTAATGTCTCCAAGACTACCTGTATGTCAGGCATCAAATAAGAAAGCGCCATTAACTTTCACGTATAAAATAAGAAAAATGAAGAAGTTAAACGAGCTAGTGAGGTAAAATATATCGGTGTGTGTGTGTGTACGTGTTACAATAAGTTCGAGCCTAACCTGGAACAAGCATATTGAAAATACTTGTAGTTCGGCTGAACGCAACCTGGGTGTTCTGCGGCGAAAGCTAAGAAATATGCCATGCCTGAAACAATGCTGATGCTAATTATAAAACAGTAGTGCGTCATACACTCGAATATGCCAGTATTATCTGGCACCCACGCAGTGGGTCATGAATGGTTGATGAGTTGGAACGGATCCAGCGATTGGCAGCCAAATTTATTTATTCGTGCTTCCAGAGAACGCAATCAGTGACTACGCTACTTCAAAGGGCCAACCTTCAGAAGCTGTCAGAGCGCAGAGAAATCGCACTCTTGAAGTCTTTTAATCGACTGTATAAAACATAGACCAACTCTGTATTTGCATCCTCCATCCCGAGTCTCACCACGAATCAATCGTCTGTATGCTATTTCGCCCTGTGCCACGAGAATTGATGTACCCAAGTTTTCTTCTTCTTTCTTTTTTTTTTTGCCTCGTACGATTGTTGACTGGAACAAGCTCTATTCATTTGTTGATTGTGAGTCAGCTGAAGATTTTGAGCGATGCTTGGAACATGTTTGTACATAGCACTGTAAAGTTTGCTTTCCCACCCCTGTAACAGCCCACGAGGGCTAATAGTATTGTAAATAAATAAATAAAAAATAATTGCATCCTACGCCTCCCCATCACTGATTAACACTAGTGCTCCCCCCCCCCCCCTCCCGCCATTTTCAACTCAGACAGATTGTTTGGCCTCCCTCGAGATCTCTGACCACGGCATTACATTCGAAATTAAATCGTGCCCACGCGCCTGATTGAATTGTTTCTGCAGGTCTGCGCGCTGCGTGCAATAATATGTGTAACGTTGACGTTTGTGCACGCCACGACGTCAAACCGCATGACGTCAGCATGATAGACACACAGAACTAGTTTGAAAGCGTTTTGTTCTTATAAGAACTCTCTGTAATGAAGAAGTAGTGGGTCATGCATAGCTCGGCTAACACATCGTCAGTGCTAAGCACGAGACTCTCGGCCCAGACGTTGTCGCTGCTTTTGCTGGCTAGGCCTACGCTCCTACCTGGTCTCAAACAACAGTTGTGGCTGTCTCAGTTCTTTATTATATCTCTGAAGTCCGCTTTCTTTTTTCTGCCGCCCACCCCATCGCGATCGTGAGCAACGCACTTCTACGTTCTCCGCCAACGCGACAGCTGCGTAACATCATCCTCTCCTGCAACTTCACGTCGTATCACTCAACAACAGAGCACGCGTCCATTACTTCAGCCGGCGTTGGCTTGGCTCGCGGCTTGTCGTGCACCGATGTGGGAGCAGCAATCAACGCGCCCACCGGGGCGACTTTGCCGCATCTACTATACCCTTTGTCTTCTTCCTGGCTGCGCATACGCCGCGATCCGAGCTACAACAGCTGTAGTTGGTGCGGGTCTTGAGACAGCCCGCGAGCGCGTTTCATTTCTTCGGGTGACGCGATCAAAGCAAGGCTTAAGGGTGGAGTTTTGGCAGAAAAAAAACAAAAAAAAACATGCTGAGCCCATTTTTGTCACTTTTGCTAATATGCTGTGCTAACTGTTTCGACTCTAGTTTACGACACATTCCCTTGACTTGCGTTTTTACTCTACCTAGCGCGTGCTACGCCACAAGTTGCCGCCGCTCGCTCTCTTCGTGGTCCTCTTCGATCACCTCTTGCTTCGCTCCCCAAACACTTCGCCCGGCGGGGGATGAAATAACTTGGATGGGCGAGAGCGAGTAGAAAGAGATATAGTGAAAGAAACCAATCGCGAGAGAAAGACAGAGATAGAAAAGGGTAAAAAAGAGGTGGGAAAGGAAGTGAGGGTGAGCGGGAAAGAAATGGTGAAACGTAGGGGGGCAGGGGAAGGGGGGCGGCCGCCCCTTAGTCCATAGGTGGGCGGGTGCAAAGGGGGCGCTGCGACTTGGGGGGGGGGGGGGCTGCAAAGTTAGCCCCTACATTGACATGACAGGGAGGGAGGAGGGCGCTGCGTCTAACCTTCACCCCCCCCCCCCCCCTTAAAGGGAAACCCTGCCCTCACGCCTATGCTCAACTCAAATGATAAAAAAAAACAAATGATCGTAATTATTTTCTGGTGCATACGAAATCATTAAGAGTGTAAAGACATGGCCTCTTTGTTAGGTTGCCTGCGGACGTTGCCACGGCTACCACCGCCCAAACCTGAGTGGTTAGCAGTGGCGGATTCAGAGGGGGCTGCATGCACCTCCAAGGCTTGTTGTCCACTTATCACCAATTAGGACAAATCAGGAACACTACTGTGATGAGACATAAGTAGGACAAATCAGGAACACCTCAGTGACGAGACATCGACAGTACTTACGCTAAGATAGAGTTCTTTTTTCTAACATTATATTTGGCAGAATATGGAAAGGTAGGCTACGTGGGAGCCAGCTATCCCAACATCATGACAGTAATGTGCAAACAAACAAAAAAAATTAAGAAGAAAACAAGAACAAACTCATCAGAGGCACTATGCACATATTATATACATTATAGGGCTTATAATGCATGAACGAGCACAGTATGTATGGGCATAGTCCGGTTCATATATCAGGATCATAACGCGGATAGAGTCCGTAAAAATAGTGGCAAAGTATAATATGAACTGAAGACAGTTAGTTAGATTGCTCTCCATTGAAAAATCACGGAGGGTGCTCACTGCACATTTTGATTATCGAAATGTGGCCGCGTTCCAAGTATTTTTCTAATCGTAAATGGTTGTCTGTCGAGTTGGTTCAAGCAATCGCTCAGTTCAGCGCGTTGTTGCTCATATTGCGGTCATTCTATAAGAATATGCTCCTCTGAGCATCGACATAATCGCAGTGGTCTTTCTTTTTACACGGAATAAGAAGTGAGAAGTGTAAGCAACACCTAATCGTAGACGGTGCTGTATTGTGTCAAACGGTGTATCGATCTTTTGATTGGGTGAAAATTGGAGAGACGGATCTATCTGATATAAGAGTAAAGACTTTGTATTTTCATCAAACCAAGTGTCCTTGCATAATTTGTGGCACAGTTCAGAAAGAACATTTTTGCTTTCTGAGAAATAAACGGGTACTGGTGTCAAGTGAACTTTTTTGTGTCCTTATGCTACTATAAAGAGATAGACAAAAAACAGTAAGGTCATCGCCCCCCCCCCCCCCTGCGGTGTTACTTCAAGTGAGTGCCCCCTCCCCCTGAAATATGTGGCTAGATCCGCTCCTGCAATCAAGTGAAATGGCAAAAGAAAGCACCGCATTTCTTTGCCGTAGTTAGTGCACGTGCATGGAATAAATTATGCATGTGTGATTGAAACAAGTGTTATGAAGAATGTTGCAGTGATTTAGTCTAGTAACGGTTCCTTGAAGGTTGTCGCTTTTAAACCCGCCTAGTAGTGTTTCACAAGCGTTGTGCTGTAGTATTCCGGTAGAATTAATAGAATCATGTCTTGAAACATGTGAGTGGTGACTGCGTTAAAGCTAAATTTGCAGTGGCGCAAACAACCCTTTTTTATATGACCAGATGACAGTACTTGGCGTGTGATAAAACCAAGGATTTGTAAATGAGGAGGTTCACTGACTTAGCTAGCAAGAAACGCACCTGGGATAAAACGCCTGAAATGCTTGATATAGTGCCAGATAATTCTTCAGTGTGTGCGTTCCCAGACATCAGTTCATCGAAAATTATTCCCAGACACTTAATGCCTGGTACTAATTCAAGCTCTGAATCAACAACTCTCAATGGCACATAAGAATAGGTTTGGTTATATCTAGACCTGAAATTTACAGCTTTTGTTATTGATGTGCTAAGCTTCAAACAACTAGTTAATGCTTGTAAATGGGGCCAATTTCACCAGTACATGATTTGCGTTGTTAAGTTTTTATAATTTTCGGCAGTAAGAAGCAAGCTACTATCAACAGTGTATATAATGCATTTTACAGACGTGTCAGTTTTTGCAATATCATTGATATATATGCAATAAAGCAAAGGCCCTAACATGCTACCTTGCAGTACATCTCCTAAATGTTTAGTAAACTCGAGGTACAATTGCTGATGACAATGTCCTGCCAAGGATACATTAGCTATAATTTAATACATTGTAGGAAAACACCTCGAAAGTCACAGTGTGTGTATTTCCTTAGCAGTGTAATGTGATTTATTGTGTCGAATGCCTTTGAGTAGTATACGATACCTAAAGCGAGTGTGGTAGCTTGGACTAGTTGGTATGGCATGACGATAGTTATAGCCCGAGAAGAAAACGACGGCACAGTCCTTCGTGTCCTTCTTTTCTTTGTGTCGTCGTTTTGTTCTTGCGCTATAACTAAAGCGAGTAGTTTGCGCTCAAGAGCATTTAGTAAAAATTTCTTCTACTCTAAAAGAACATGTTAACTCTGTCTTGAAACCGAACTACGAAGAAGTGATAATGTGGTACTTATGTAGGAAATAAGAAACCATGTGCCTGTGAATTAGTTTATCCTGTCCTTTTGAGATTGCTAGAAGTATAGTTACGCACCGTGAATTGTCAAGTCTCCCCCCTGTGCAACACAATCACTTTTGTAACTTGCAACTCTGGTGAGAAAACTCCAGTGAAAAAAAGAACAAGAGCAAGAATGTGATCTAATAATCAAGAAATTATATCTAACACATGTTTAATGAGCTTAATCTGTATATTATGAATGTCATAACAGGTGCTGTTTTTCACTGATGGAAAAGCATTTTCAACTTCGCCAGCTGTTGTTGGCTGATTGATTGATATATGGGGTTTAAGGTCCCAAAACCACCATAAGTCTTTGTTGGCACCAAAAACACACTCTCAGAGATCATGTCAGATAAATATATGGTATTAGCTGAATGGCTAGCAATTCCTTTGCTAGGTACAAAATAATCATTGAATGAGTCTGTTGAACAAACATTGCATATAATGTAGACGTATATCACAAGATCAGTAGACCTGTAGTCATCACAGTCATAGCCAACAAACTTATTTAGCCTAAACAGAGCCAAGTCTTGTTTACTTACTGCATCTCTGTTAGAAGATGTCTTTTCAGACTGTTTATTTCATTTGCCTTTGAAACATTTAAGCAGTTGTTTGTTTTGGTTTGCAGGAAGTTTTATAATAGCTTATTTTTACATTTATTTACAGGTTAACGAGTTTTAGTCAGCTACGGTTGCTTAGCTTAGCGCGTATGCTTGAGCTGTTTATATGCACAGCATTTTTTATTGCAAATTCTTGGCAGTTTGTCATGAAAAATATATATATTATAGGCGACTTCTGGTTCTTGCTCGCAATACAAGTTTATCTCCCTGTGAAATACGGCCACTGTAGGGTTTTCCGAACTGGAATGGCGCATGATTTAGGGCTTCGTTTATCAGCATAAAAAGCATGAATCTGTGCGCTTTTATGCTGTGCTGAGGTAGTTTATAAGAACTCGATGGCGAGCGAAATCCGCTGCTGAATTAAAAGAATAACTGTGCTACATGTCCAAAGCCAGCCGTCCCAAGCGTGAGTCTCCAGGCACTTTTTCATCGCTTCTGTAGGACTGGCTTCGATTCCAGGGTAGTTTATAAGAACTCAATGGTGGGCGAATTCAGATGGTGCATAAAAGAAATAGCTGTACTACTTGACACACGTAAAAGCAGACGTACACGCACAAGCAATTTTTTTCCCGTCAGACAATAAGCTACTTTATTACACACAACTACGCAATTTTTACAAAAAGTGACGTTCGTTAGACCTCCTCAGCTGGAGGATCATCCTCCTCCAGTAACCTATCGTCGTCAAAGAAGTTCAGGTGATCTAGCCGATGGCTCACAACGCTTGTGTCGAACTGATCGAAGAAGGTGTCATCCAACTCTGGTTCCCCTCGGAAGTGAGGTTCTTCGTCCTGGGTAGTCGTTCCTCCAGTTATCCTCGGCATTGCTGTCATCACTGTCTTCCCCATTGAGAGCATCGAAGCCAGTATCGGAGTCATACGCGGTGTCGTGGTCCCTTGCGAAGAAATCGGGTGGACCGCAACGGAACAGGCTGAACTCGTCCTCACCCATGAAGTCGCAATGGAGGTCGTTAAAGTACACGTCGTACACGTAATCAGTATTCACCGCTGTGTCCTTGACTGTCTCCCGAACCATAGGAACGTCATTGCACGACACCTCCGAAGCTCGCTTCGTTTGCCCGCTCATCTTTCTTCGCGTCCTCGCTCTCGTCTTCATCGAACGCGTCGTAAAGACGAAACAAGCTGTGCGAAGACTTGCGCGGAGCCTCCAAGTTTTCGTCGGTGATTTCTTCCGAGCCAAGCTTCTCGAGTATCGCCCGGTGCTGCAGTAGCAAGCGCAGGCGGCTTTCTTTACTGGCTGAACGATGTTCCGTTCTCAGCTTTGACAGCACGTCAACTGGGTGGATCTTCGGGTCTGTTCTGTGACGGCTTGCCTCTTTCACCTGCTCGATAGCCGCCTCGACGTCGCCAAGAGTGTCGACGGTTCCGGCGTACTGAAACGTGAAGTTCTGAGCGGGCTCGCCCTCGGTGTCGGCGGCCTTCGATTTCTTTGTGGCCAGAACGATGGCTTCCGCAGGGCTCTCGTCGGCTTTGCGCTTGATCCTCACGGCGGTGGTCATGGCTTACTCGCTCAGCGACAGAAGACACCGACGTTCAAGCGACCGACAGGATTATCACACGAGCCGTCACACGAGCTTAGCGCGACCCGGTGCACCACAGAATACGCCGTCGTCTTCGAACGCTTTCGCACACACCTGCATGCCACACGCTTGGACTTCTAAAACGACCAGTAATCATGTCGCCGGCCTGCGGAACGCTCGTTGGTGCCGGCGACAGCGCTAGTTCTTGTCCTCACCGCCGCGGCGCTGCACAACGGCAAAAATTAGTAAGGAAAAATCAGCAGTCATGATTTTCAATGATAACAAAGGCAGTGAGCTTAGAATAGAGGAGGTCACGCTAGAGATAACAGATAAATACAAATATCTGGGCGTATGGATAAGCAATGGGACCGAGTACCTGAGGGAACACGAAATATACGTGACGACTAAAGGTTACAAAAATGCAGCAGTCATGAAAAATAGGGCACTGTGGAATTACAGTAGGTATGATGTTGTGAGAGGAATATGGAATGGGGTCATGGTTCCTGGGCTGACGTTCGGCAATGCGGTCTTGTGCATGAGATCAGAAGTGCAAGCAAGATTAGAAATTAAGCAACGTGGAATAGGTAGGCTTGCTTTAGGAGCTCACGGGAATATACCAAATCAGGGAGTACAAGGTGATATGGGATGGACATCATTTGAGGGCAGGGAAGCTATCAGCAAGATAAAATTTGAGAAGCGATTGAGAGAAATGGGGGAGGAGCGTTGGGATAAGAAGGTTTTCACCTACTTGTACATGAAGAATGTCGATACAAAATGGAGGAAGCGAACCAGGAAATTGACTGGTAAATACTTAGAAAACAGCAGGTGGCCAAACCAAAAAGAACTATCGGTTAAGAAGAAAGTGAAGGAAACGGAGACTGACATGTGGAGAATGGGCATGATCAAGAAGTCCGCACTGGAGATCTATCGAACATTTAAGCAGGAAATTGCCAAGGAAAGGATCTACGATAATACTCGTGGTAGTTCTCTACTGTTTGAGGCCAGGACGGGAATACTGCGAACCAAGACATATCGGGCCAAACACGAAGGGGTAGACACAGTATGCAGTGCGTGTGGAGAGGAAGAAGAAACTGCCGAACACTTGATAATGTTCTGTAAAGGGCTTCACCCTATAGTTCAGGATGATGGCGCAGAGTTTTTCAAAGCACTGGGGTTTAGGGACAGGGAGGGCAAAATAGACTTTAAGCGGGTAGACTTAACAAGAAGGAGGTTATCTGATTGGTAAATCTAGTTTTTGATTTATTAAGTATTACGGCTTAATTGGTGATGCTAGCCACCGCCCAATCTAAAGGGTGCAGCCATATCCATCTATCCATCCAACCATCCATTGAAGTAACCACAGAACATTTATATACTTAGTAACTGTGACCATGTACAGTTACTCTAGTGAAAAAAAAAAAAAAAATGCGCAAACAGCCAGGCGAATGCCCGCATTCGTTTTAGTCGTAGAGTTTTGTACAATGTATGAAACTCTATGGTTTTTAATGCCTCACCTCGAGCTGAGATTGCATATCGGTTATTTATGCGCAAGAAGTGCCAGATAGATGACATACAAGTATTAATGTATCTGCGCTTCTTGCTTCCTTGAAGACGGATGGCACAGTGCCGTTGACGAAAATGCATGGATGATTTTTTTTTTTTGGTTCTGCTGAAAACAAAAGTGGTCCACTGCTGTTCTTAGATGTTTTCGGTCGTGTAAATGCTCTATTTGTTGTTTTTGTGCGTGGAGGACTTCCTAACTTCGGGGGCTTTTTTAGAGATGCGAAATTACTTTTTGTTGCTCAAGGAAGGAAGGAAAAACTTTATTGGGCTAGTGAGTTTAGGTATTTATGCTATTAAAAAACTCATATGGCGTCCACACGCAACTCTACGTCCGCCAAGTTAGCGTCGAAAGCTCCCTATTGACATAATAGGAAGAGGGCACGAAGACAAACCTTTGTCCCCCCCCCCCCCCCCCACCACTCCTACCCTGAAGAAGAACCGGTGTGCTTTGCCTAGTACAGTTCAGCAAGGGATGGGAAAATTAAGGGGGGAGGGGCGGGGAAAAGAAAGGGGGTTAAACATAGCATAGTTACGTATAGTGTGGGAAAGCGATGTTAGAGTGAGGAGGGATCGAATGCTGCCTGCTCCGTTGTTTTTTCAGACTTCACACTACTAGTGCATAATTTTGTTGCGCGGACAATATTATAGTTTGCGAGTCCATCTTCCTGTAGTTTAATGCGAAAGCTGAATTATCATATATAATTCAATATTATATATCACCACATAGGTCCATCATATCTCGAGGTAGAGCTACAAATTGTTTAGAACTTGTAATTGACAATGAGGTTATTAAAGGCAAAGAGTTGGCGGATAAATTTAATGGATACTTCACATCTATAAGGAGACAAAAACAGGTTAACAAATTACAGGCCGATTTCAATTCTTCACTTTTTTCGAAAGGACTTAAAAAAATTATTTATACCAGACTGTTGAATTTTTTCGATAAACATTCCGTTATAACTCAATCACAATTTGGTTTTAGATCAGGCTACTCAACCGAAAGAATCCTATTGTTTCAAAAGGAATTGATTCTCAAAAATATTGAGGCCAAAAAGTTCACACTTGGCATATGTTTAGATATGTCGAAAGCATTCGACAAAATAAACCACAAAACATTATTAGGAAAACTGCAGTGTTATGAAATTCGTGGTGTAGCTTTAAATCTGACCAAAAGCTACCTGACAGACAGACACCAGTGTGTATCTATAAATAGAGAAATTTCGTCCGTGCAAACTGTTAAAGATGGTGTTCCCCAAGTCCCTATATTGGGTCCCCTTTTGTTCATTATATTTATAAACAATATTGTACATGTTGACCCTTCAGTCCGATACGTAATTTACGCAGATGATACAAGCTTATTTTTTTCAGGTACGAATGTTAGTCATCTAGTAATACTGCTAACTCAACGTTACAAAAGATATACAGCTGGACCCTTCAAAATTCTTTACTTATAAATTGTCTCAAAACAAAAGCTGTTATTTTTCATGCCAAATCTCCCGTCAATGAAACCACTGAATCCTACAATCTCACATTAAATAGCAGCATAATCGAATTCTCTTCCACCGCGAAGTCTTTGGGTGTTGTTTTCCATGAACACATGAAATGGGATTATCACACTGGAATTTCTATACAATAAGCTTTGCAAAGTCCTGGGTGTCTTGAGAAAATGTCAGGGTTTATTGCCAGTTCCTCAAAAACTTCTGATATTTATTGCGCTCTTTACATCACATCTGAGTTACTGCAACCTAATTTGGGGTAATGGAACAAAGCCAATCTATTAGTAATCTTATTATCTTACAAAAAAAAGGCACTGCAATCTGTTGCTAACCTCCCTTTTATTGCCCATACTTCACAATCATGTGCTAAATACAAAATAATCAAATTAAACCTGCTCTACTGAATATTCTTTAGCAGTCTCTTTTAGATCTGATACCATAAAAGGTCGCGGCTAACGTGATTTAGCTAACTTGCAACTAAATCCTTCAACGCGCCTAAACCGACACTCTGAATATTGGCATGTGCCGAGACCGTGCACAAATTATGGCTTTCAGGCGTTGAGTTATTGCTTGCCGAATATACTAAATAAATTAGGAATGAATTATTAAAATGTTCCTATGCTCTCTAATATTTTTATATGCTTTATTAATTTGTGTGTAGTATTATTTTCTGTATGATTACTTCTTTCTTTTGATGTATAGCATGTGCGTTTTTGGTTAGTACAGTTTATTTAAATTTTTTGTTCTGATGCAAAGCACATGCATTGCTGGTTTAAAATGTCCTGTGTTTAATTTGATTTTGCTGTTTTTGTTACCACAGTTGCCATGGGGATATAGGGCTTTGTCAAGCTGTTTTATACAGCTTTTTTCCTCTGTCCCAGCCACTTACTGTACAACTGTACGTGGTAAATAAACTAAACTCAAACATATAGTTAAACTCTAGGCATAAGCCAGAGACCTCAGTAAAAATTAAGGTGTCGTGAAAAGGGGTGGGGAGCGGGTTCTGCACTGGAGCTTCATGTCCCCTTTCGCCACCCTACAAATCTAAGAATCTGTAGTATACATATAAGTGATAAAACAAGAACATAGAAAGACGCAGACAGGAGACTGCTAGCCGTCATCTGGTGTTTTTTCCCTCGTTCCTGTTTTATTTTCACCAGTAACATCTATTATAACAAGAACTAACTGGCCCAACTTTCATAATAATCAGCGATGTACCACAACTGTTCCCGCTATAACTGGTGTAGCATACAAACATGTCAAGCTATATACAAAATTGGCTAATGGGACAACAGGCAAAACAAAATAAATTAGTTTAGACTGATAACTTAAACTCTGGAAACCGTAGTGTTGTTAATTTTATCACCATAGGCTTAGAACTAATGCAATAATGTCAGGTTCTGCTTTCAAATTTTCTGCCCCAGTTTCCGATGGTGACAATCTGTTTCAAAGTTTTTTTTTTCTTTTGTATTTAGACTGCATCAGCCGAACAAAATTTTCTGAAACTTAATGCAATCCTCTTGATACTTGACAAGTCCCTCTGACCACAATGCACTTCTTTTTACTGATTAACAACCACCCTAGCCGCACAAAATGTGGCCGCAACGTTAGAGCAACTTTCTCAGTGTTCCGGCAGCGTGACCCCAACCATGGCACGACTAGGGAATGTATTCGCTCGTAAGTGGTAGGAGCCGTCTAAATCTATGACGTCACCACAGCAAATGGTGGGTGAACTTCAATGTGGTGTCGCCACCCGCATTTTCATTCTGCGAGTCTTCTCGCATGCCTAGCATGATGTTTGGCATCGTGAGAGTAATGGTATCAACAAGCGAAAAATTTTACTTTTTCTCTTCGGTGTGCCCTTAATCAAATATTTTTTTTTACTGTTAAGCTCTCAGAGCTCTCGGTCAATATGGGAGTGTATATACGCCCCCCACCCCCCACCCCACATCTTTTCTCCGGTTACAGCTACCATTGGTACTTGCGGAAAAATAACCACGAGTGTGTTTGAAACACCATCAAATCTAGGATGCAGCATCAACAGTGTAACCTACCAAGGAGAGCGAAGGCCCTAGGTGCTCAAGCCTCTCCTGGAAATTCAGATGGAGGGGTGCGTTCTACATAAAATAATGAAAATATGTATTTTAAAGGTGTTTTAAAATAGTTAAGGCCATCCCCAAGCAGGCCACGCTAAAGAAAAAAATGTTTTAGCTGAAGTCCTGAACCTAGCACGCGATCTAACTGCATCAACTGTCCACAAAATTCAGCAATTCCTGAAAGTCACATCGTCATTCTGAGAAATTATGGCCTTTTATGTCTATTTGATATATTCACAGAAGTATGGTGACAAACTTAAGCACAGATTGAGGCACGACAAGCATGCTAGGCTAAACCTGTGTGTTTTGACGTCGTATTGTCAACACCGTGGCACAATAAAAAATAATAATAATCGTAGACAAGACAGAGCAATGTTCAAAAAATGACATTGCTATTCTTTGATTCTGGAACATGTACATGCCGTTATTAGTGACTTAAACCTCTCCCGACAGGCTGCACTTTTTATATCAATACCTGTAATCGCACTGGAAAGTGATGTATAAAAATTACACTGTACTTTCGTATACAACTTTTTCTAGTGATTAAATAAACCCAATGCATTATGCATAATGATTTGCACAATTATAGTTACAGCTTTACCGTGGTTCATCAGATTGCTCTATGATTACATCACATGATATCAGCCTGACTACACCCACTGCAGGGCAAAGGCCTCTCCCATGATCCGCCGATCAACTCGGTCTTGTGCTTTCTGCTGCCCCAGTCAATACATCCTGCCAAAGCGAACAATGGACGGGTGACAATCCACTCTGTCCGAAGTACTCAATCCATTCAGCTTTTTCACGCTATAAAAGCTAAACAAGGTCAGGTATCGGTTGTAAGAACAAATCTAAAATGCTTGAGATGAATAAACTTTAGACAATCACACTGTGCAAGAAATGGCAAGTGTATGCCACACATGTTGAGCAGCAGTTGAAGAAACTTTCTTAGAAGAAGCAAGTTTTGTGAAGGTCAGTCATTACATATTAGAAAACCAACTGCATGTCTTCCCCACACTGCAACGCACTTAATAGGAATGGCTGGAAATGTTTGTCTTGAGAGAAAAATAAGCATCGCACAGCTAGACATGCTAGCACTTAGCATCACTGTATGAAGCCTTTCAAGCTTCTACATTTTCCAATACAAAAAGCCACATCTTCAGTGAAGTTTTATTCTCTAACATATTCTTCAACAACAATTTGTATTGAGGCATTGTGCTTGGTTAACATAATAGACCAAACAATGCTGACAACATACTAAACTGGTGCAGATATGGCTTCTGTTAGGACTAAGAAATGGTCCCACACCTTCAAACACAAGCAAAAAATACCATTAAGTTACAGAGACGCTAAAACAATTTAATGCATTTTATACACCAGCTGCAGCTGACTTTCCTATGAGGCACAGATGTTGAGGCAAGGACCCAGAGAGAGACGCCAACACTGCTCATTCTTCCATCAGTTTATTTCTTTTTTTAAAACCAACAACAAATTGTTACAAGACACCAGAATCATTGAGAAACAAGTAATTAAATGCTCTGGTGCCACACACTTATCAGTCAGAACTTTAAAACAAACAATAAAATGGAAACGCAGGTTTAGGAAAGTAGTGAACAGCACTAAAACGAGGAAATGAAATGTTAAGGCATTGCAGAAAACACACACAAAGAGAAAAAAATGAAAATAAAGCATGCCTCCAACACAGCTATTCAGTGCATGAGACATGGCAATATAGTTAGCTCAAAGAGGGGCCCTCAAAAAGAGGATTCCTCAGAGTGGTCGCACTTGGCACCCTATGAAAAAGGCGGTGTGCCGCCAGTGCTGAAACAAGTGTACACATTGCTTCAGCGTCCCTCAGATCATTCTGACATAAAACAGGAGACGAAAGGAAAAAGCGAAGAGGAACGGAAGATCACAGCTTTCTCAGGAAATATCGGCCACAGTGGTACAGTCATCATCCTTGATACAAGTTGCTGACTAGTCGCGCTAAATACTGCATTGCATATACGCACGCAACCGAAACAAGTCTTTGCAAGAAAAAACACGGCACTGCAAACACAGTCCAAACGATTGTCCACTGTTCAATTTAAAGCCACGCAACTTCGGGTCATCCGAGATTAAAAGAGAGGACGTTTCGAGCAAGCTGAGATTACGAGTCCAGTTGTCTCTTCTGCTAAGCGAGCCTCAAAGCAGGTGCGGAAGTCCTCACTGTGAAGAGCTTCATGCGTGAAATGGTCGTAACCCAATCCTAACGAGATAGGCACATTGTGATTTGTGACACGGTACAATCGTTCTTGCTAGACCATACGCACGTCCTTGGTAGACTGCACACTCATCCTTGCTAGACTGCACACTCATCCTTGCTAGACCACACACTCATCCTTGCTAGACAATTTCGGCATCGCTGCATGGGTGGAAAGTAAAATGGCATTGCTTAAAAACTAGTCTATACAGGTATCATTCTAGAGTTTTATGGACCACCTAGCAGGGTAATTTGTCTGCTTTGCACGTGGCACGGGAATGTTGCACACAAGCGCGCATTGAAAACGTTCATTTCGACGTCTAATACGCTACAAGATTCTGGCCTACCTGGCGTAGCCTTATCTAGGCCAAGCTGTCCGTTAGCATAACAGGACAATAACGGTTTATGTATAGGACGTTATCGTTGCATCTCATTGCCATGAGCAAGAGGTTCATCTACGAGCGACGCGAAGAATAACTTGGGCTACGGGAACCCCAGCACCACGACGACCGCTTCGAAACGACTCCGCGCCATCAGAAAAACAAGAAGCGCGTTTCTTCGAAATTAAGAAGACAATCCTGTACATATAAGTACTCGATGCAACAAGTGCGGGTGCTACGTATGATAAACAATGTCGAGCAGGAGCGTCAAACACGCGTCGGCAGGCTTTTTGCGGAGGCCGGCAAGCGGGAAGCACTTAAAGAGAGATGTAGTCTCTTCTTGCCGAGTCATTACGAACTGCAGTGGGTGCTTCGGATTCTCTAACAGAAGATGCTTGCGTGACTCCTCTTAGTTTGCTGAAAAGAAAAAAAAAAGAAAGAAACTCTTTGGAGAGAGAAAGAATGAAGCGGGTGTAGTGCCGAGTGCCAAGCATGCAGGTTTTGGAAATAACTTTCCAAGTTAACCCCAGGTGCAAAACCAGGCACACACACACGTGCCAACAGAAATTTTTTGTGTGGCAGTCATAAGATTGTGCAAATAAAAACACCCCATGGAAAACATTGCTAGGGAAAATGCACTGTCATGACATTCGTAGAATTGAATCATTCCAGCGTGTGGGGAATCCAAGGAAAATTTTTGTGCCATAGAATGCCGCATGTATGCCTAGTCCCATATTTTTTGCATATGAATCTCGGTTCTTGTCTTACACTCGGCTGCCTCAATTTTAATGTGTCACACTTTCTTGACGTGTTTGAGAGTTACGTCGAATCATGCCATGTTAGGGTTCACCGAATGCCCTGCATTTTGCGGCATATTCGATGCATTCATGCGTCACTTGTGAGCACTTGCAGTTGTACCCCCAATCAGTGCATTTTACGGATAAAATGTATCATCCGCAAGATCGTGTCAACCGGAAATCCACCAAAACGCATGACACAAGGTGACCCCTAGTGCTCAATAAACCAGTCGACCCAAAAAAATCAGCCAGCCTTGTCTCTTTCTTCCATTTTTTACGAATCCCCCAAAAGCTCCCCGAAAATTGTGAGACACGTTTTACAACATTTGGGTTGCTTCTTTGGAGAGATTCACAGGCAGCGCTAAACAGAAACGGTGGCATGCAAGCCTCCTCGACATTGATGCCGTTGAATTTCGTGTGCCGTGCGCAGTAGAAAAAGGTTCGATGGCAGGCAGTGAAGGTACCCAGACTAAGAAAAGATAAGGATAAAGTCTGTAATCATGCTCATGACTGGATCTACTTACATTCTAACTCCTGAAAAACACACAAAAGACGCACACAAAAAGAACACGTGAGCAACAAATAAACACGAAGTGCTGGCCATGCAAGAGACAAAGCACCAAACCTTCACATAAGTACATTTTTCTTAGTAATGTTAATAATAATAAAAACTGGCAGCCTGGAAAGACTGCATGGAATGTAAAAAATGGCAAGATAAGGCTTGGTAAAAAAATTCATATGTTACATATAAAACACAAGTATTATGGTAATACACAACCCACAATGCAAACAAAGATGAAAAAAGAAAAGACATGGAAACTAGATCAAAAATGCTAATATACAAGAATCGGCTGCCAAAGCTGTTAAATATGGCCTGAAAATAGTAGATGTAAAAGAAAAAAAAATGACACGATAAGCACAAACTTAAAATCAAACATGAACGAATACTGGGATTTGAGCAGGTCATTCTAAACATTCTGGCTTTGAGTTATTTATTGAGCCTTGTTAGTTTCACAGCTCTCTTATGCCTAGTTTGTGATTTCCTTCTCATTTGTGTGTAAGCCTGTCGCTTCTTGTTCCCTTGCGAATGTGAATTCGCTGAGCTAATTACAAATGCTACAGATTTGCGATTACATCCTGCCAAGTCTCGCACATTTACTGTGCTCATGTCGTAGCCATAAAAAATATACAATGGCACTTCTATGAGTAAGCGACACGCTTCTACCTTGGGGGTCTCTTGCATTGCAAAAAAGTGTACGAGGACTATAACGCTGCAACTTTGAATGCAACAAAGTAAACAAGAAAAAAATATCATATGCAAAAGACTACAGTGCAACAAACAACAAGTACTGTGACAACAATGCAAGGGTAGCACCTAAACGACACTCAAGTGTGCAATACACAGCAGCTGGCAAAACAGTGCGACAGCGCGTGCAAATAGCAACGGTGCACGTGCATTGTGGCCCAAAGCACAGTGCATCATGGCAACAGATATGTGCATTGCTCTTATGGCCTGTAAGCTCCGTAGAGGTATGCATACTGACTACATAATGTAAACACTGCAATATGAAGAATACACAAAATATGAAGGAAGCATGTGCAAATCTAAGAAATATATAAACCTAAATATCTTACACAGAAATAAGTGTTATATCTGAAAATTTGTAATAAAAGTTATTCTTAGCACTGTATCTATTACAAGGCTACAAGGCTATTTTTCATATTTCGTTATATCCGCGTTCGTTCTATTGAGTAGTTATATAGACCACTACCTGATTCGGTACATCTACAACTAAACTTTGTTTCTCTATCGGAAGGTGTAATTCGTCATTGAAAAAAAACAAAAACACAGTCACACTTTCATTTCCTGAACTTTGTCTTGCGACATCAATGATGCAGAAGCGACGACATATGTAAACAACGTTGCTGTAGTATTCGAGCAGAAAATGTTATCCGAAAGTTACATAACAGTAGTGAACTAATTTATACAAGACCTCTTGAAACGAGCCGGTGCAGTACTTTTGAAAGTATGCCAATAGTACTGCTACCCATCTCTCCTACTGATTATATCTTTGGCCCCAGTGTACTTCCGCTAAATAATGGCAATACTGGAGCTACTGGAAATGTAATATACAAACCTAACCTGACACAACACTTCCCTTTGAAGTCCTTCAAGCATGTGTTAACACGGCTATTCAAACGCAAATACTTATGGTGCTACAAAAAACTCAAGCAATCACAAACAATAGGTATCTTAGTAGGCAGGTTGACATCACTGCGCTAAAGTCAGCGTTTTCGGGAAAGAGTTCAAAAAAAAGGTGCGTACAACAAAGTGGTACAGGTAACAAAATGACTGTGCCGGTGCAACCGAAAGAAAGGATAGTCCGCAGGCAAAGGATGGTTTTTTTTTTCTCTTTTTTTTGGAAGTTCAAGAGAAAACGAAGCAACATGACAATACTTCGTACTCGGCGTACGACGGATATTCAAGTAGTGAGCGGAGCTGAACAAAAGGCATTACAAAGATGTAACAAAAAGATGCAGCAATATTCAGCTGGCTTGTACACTAATACTGATTGGAATGGATAAGAAGAGAGGGATTGTAAAAACATGAGATGGCTTAATGATTGCTTCGGTATACTGGATTAACATAAAATAGGACGATTCGATATAGTATTGCTTCCTGAAAGTGTTTCTCAGTGTGACCGAGATTAGCCACATTAGAAAGAAAAAGAAAGGTACTGTAAAACAGCGAATCAAGTGCCCCCTCCTCCACACACCAACTTCTCAAATATGGAAAAAATTTCGATTTGACGCCAACAGGTGGTGCTTCAGGCGCATTAGTTATCTCGACGCAGCAAGAGTCCTAAAATGACTCGGCGAATTATAACGTGAAGCCAAGATTACTATGCATAGCAGAGCCGGCACCGCAGCAATTCAAAGCTCATGGAATCATCAAATGACCGTCAGTCAAGACAAGCAAGAAACCTTTGACATACTGGTGCAAAATAGTATTAAAAATAAACAAGAAACAGGGTTAGAACAATGAAGCTGGGGTTCTGGCAGCAGTGGGTAACTGCCCAATCGTGAGGGATATTTTACCCAATCATGAGGAATAATATTTTACCAATAAGCAATAGTATTGAAATTCCCAGACGATGGTGGCACTGGCCCGTGGAGACAAACCTTCACCACATACTCTGGCTGTAAAATATTTATCATAATGAAAAAAAAGGATAATCCCACATTCTCCTGTGAAAAGCGTGCATCTTGCTACGGTGACCATTTAGCCGCAATAAAATTTCTTTTATCTCGTTTAATTAATTTACTTCTGTAAAAAATTGCACCTCAAGCTTGAAGCAATGCTTTGTGCTGAACGTATCGAAATAAGCGAAACGCATTGCAGACAGCTGCAACGGCACACGAGAGCAGCGAAACAAAAGCACCCGAAAACAAAGGCACACCACTTAACGACGCTTGAGCAGCATACCGATGAACAGAACACATCTGTGCAGCACGCGAACATGCGACACGATCCGACGAGCAGGCACGGAGGAAGCAGGCAGGACGGTGACGGCTCTCAACGGGTTTCCGTCGTGCAAAGGGCCAGGCCGACGTGCTCATCACAGACTCTTCGAGGGAGGTGAGGGGTGGCGGAGGGAGCGGGGACGGGGCCAAAAGAGGCGAGCTTATCAGACCTTTCGACAGTTGGCCTGGAGGTTGTGCGGGGCTTCGTTGAGCTCCTCGAGCTCGTCCCCGGGGTCCGAGCTCGGACTGTAGTTGGAAGTACTGCTGACTCCGCGTGGGCCACAGCAGATGCGTGATGATGGCGTACGCCAGGAAGTCGGCGCAGGAGCTGATGCCTGCGTATGCAGCGTGGAAGGGGCGGTGATCACTGAAAAGCGCTGGTCACATTGCAGGGTTTGTCAAACAAGGGAAACAACGCCCGCATTCAAGTTTTGTTAGCCTCCTCTTTCGACATTCAGTCCTCTTCCTGTAGACAAGGTCTGACCTAGAAGTACCGGAAACAATTTTTTCCTAGCATTACTGTAAGTCGCACTGCGTGTGTGCTGCGGTGAGGTATACGATCTTCAAGACGCGCCAAGCACCAGTAGCCTTCAGGTGCTTAATGCAAGCTAGGTAGTGTTTCTTAGGGCACCCCTGTTGAATGACTCTGTGCGAGAGCAAAGTGCAGGGAACGACTGATCACCGGTACGACACCAAACGTCGTATTGGCTAGACAATATCTGATCGACTAGTGACGAACAACATTGTGACGATTCCCCCCCCTCCCCCCCACAGCCTCCCGACTTCTTTACAAAACATCATGATTTCTTAATTTTTTAACTTAGTCCACCTGTAGTCAAGTGACCAGCATAACCCCTGCTACTGCTACTACTACTACTACTATTACAAGTATACTTTCACTACACTACTGCGATGACGACAATGACATATGGTAGAGCACAAAAAATTTGCTGCAAAAAAAAAGGGGGGGGGGGGGGGGATATTCGTAACTGATCCTTGAGCTAACATTTCTCCTAAACAGTAAGACGTTAGTCATAGACGACTGTTATCACCTCCTACTCACCAAGTATGAACTTCTGCCTCCAGAGGGCCGACACCTGGAGGGCGATGAGCGCCTACGACGGGCAGATAGACGAACCAGCAGAGGAGCCCCGCTCCGAAGTGGAGGTAGAAGCGCAGCTTCCTGTGGTCGTTCTCGTCCATCATGGTGGACCGCAGCTCCGTGAGGAACCAGGCGGTCACCACGAGCCGGAAGCAGAGGGAGATCCAGCCCGGATACGTCTGGTACTCGTCGATCTCTTCGATTACATCCACTTCCGTCTGCGAAGAAGTCAACAGCGAGATGGCACTGACCCTCCTAGATGCGACTTGTCAAGACCTGTCTGTAAATGAGTCAAACTTGCCCAACATTATTGCGTTGCACTTAGCATTCGAGTATTCAATATAACCAAAAATGTTATAATATACTTTGATATGCCTGTTTTAGAGTAATTATTCTCAATTTGTAATTTAAAATTATTCCTGCTGTGGTCACTCATGTTTTTGTATAAATTGAATCGAATCTCTGGCTAGAAAAGTAGCACAATATTGTTTCCAGTTATAATTATTTTGAGCAAAGAAAAATCATACTTCCGACGTAGCCTCAGAGGGCAGCGCCTGGAACAAGTTGTCAAGCATTATTTTAGCATTAATTACCACACTACAATTAAGAGGGTATCTGCTACACTGACAACACGTGGTGATATCAGTTTCGGAAAATGCATGTCGTAAGACGCGACCACTTCTCTGCACAAATTAGTTCGAACACAAAAGTTTAATTGCGTGCATTCCAGAATGCGGTTACGCTGTACCTAAAATGGTGTCTGTGAGTAGCTGCTTGCATATTGTAGTGAATGTAAGGCTACATCAAACAACGCAACCTTTTTGCATCTTCGATTGATATATATATATGTAGATTTTAACGCCCAAAACCACCATATGATTATGAGAGATGCCGTAGTGGAGGGCTCCGGAAATTTCGACCACCCTGGAGTTCTTTAACGTGCACCCAAATTTGAGCACAAGGGCCTACAACATTTCCGCCTCCATCGGAAATGCAGCCGCCGCAGCCGGGATTCGATACCACGACCTGCGGGTCAGCAAACAAATACCTCAGCCACTAGACCACCGTGGCGGGGCCTTTTTGCATCTTCAGTATGCAGTGTATTCGTATTGTTTCAGAGCACAGCGACACCGCTAATGGGACCGAGTCACTCCATTTGTTCAGTATTAAGCAGGTTCAAAATTGTGATGTCTTTCCAGGCTAAGAATTGCCGTATTATCGCCACAAATGTACAGGAACCTCATGTCACACTGCATGACGTGTGCCATATCTTTTTTTCATTATTTTTTTTTTTCAGATGTGATGCACTAAAACGAACTGCACTGTAATGAAGGCGCACCTGACGCTAAAATAGCTTTCTTTTATACACTGTTCAATATACACTTATATCTATTGTGCTGTGATTGTAGAGAAAGAACTTGCGTTTACTACATCCAATAATGAGTCATATCGAGTTGTCCTTCATATCTGGGATTCGTTATATCGACGATCAAGCGCATTTATTGGTCACTAATGCAAGAACTCTGCTTAGCCTTCGCGAGACTTGCCAGTCACGTAAAGTAATAACACAGTGGAGCGCGAAGCACTAGACAGAGGCTCACCATGTTCCAGACGTAGAGCAGGATCTGTATGCAGCTGTAGACGAACCAAATACAGAACAGTACTGGCTTCCACGTCAGCTCTGTACGCGTGATGGCCCAGCCTTTGGCAAGTAGCAGCAGAAGCAGCATGAACAGTGACTGCAAATAATAATAATAATAATATTAATAATAATAATAATATAAGCAGAGTTTTTCTAGACAGAACCAGTAGCACTCAGCCCAAGGGAGTCTAATTAAGAACGTAATATGAAATAAAAGGTGTACCCTTAGGAGACGACATGCCTGCAGAGTTGGTCAGGGAACTATTAGGCATTAAAGATACCTTGGTCGAAATTAAGAAGAAATGGGCACGGACAGCACTTGTCGCACGAAGGCAAGATAACCAACCACTGCTCGCCATAACAGACAAGATTCCCAGAAAAGGCAAGCGCACGAGGGAGCGGTGCAAAGTTAGGTGGGAAAATGAGACGAAAGTTGGAGAGATAACACGGCCACAGCAAGCGCGAGTTGGGTTCTTCGGTGAAACATGGGAGAGGCCTTTGCTGTGCAGCGGGCGTAGTCAGGCTGATGACCATGTAATGTGACCTTCCAGACTTGCCGGGAGCTTTTCAGCTCCCCCGTGAATAGCCGCATATCCTCTCAGAGGTCCCGCGTACTTGGGAAACATGTTTATTTGCAAACACCGCCAATGAATACAATTTACAAACCTGAGACAGCATGTAGCTGACGTCCCCCACGATCCCCAGTGACGGGACCCCGTCGCCGTCCATGGCGAAGATGGCCAGGTGTGCGATTGTCCAGAGAAACGAGAGCAGCTGCAGGGTGAGGGCGGCCGTGAAGAGTCGCGTGACAAGGTGCTTCTGTCGAATTACGGCGTACACCTGGAGCCCTGCCAGGACCAGGTAGAGGAGGAAGAAGAGGAGAACCCTCTCCAGGCTGCCCTGTGGATGAGAGCAAGATGGGAAAAGTCTTAGATTGCATGGATTAGGATGGCAGGGAGTTTCGGGGGAAATTGGGGAGTTTCAGATGGTTAGGAGGCAAAAGGGTGAAAAAAAAGGACATTGGGGAGTTGCCATAGGCAGCAGAAATTAAGATGGTAGGGAGTTTTAGAGACTTAAGAAAATCATCAAATATGGGAGGTTGTGGGGAGAATTGACATCGTGACATAGAGATTACGGCAGAGAGATGACAATGGCAGGCAGCGTAAGAGAGTTTTAGAAGGAAGGTCGGCACAATACATTAGGAATATTGGAGAGATTCTGTTAGGAATAATGACGACACAAGGAAATTCAAAAGAAAACAGCATTACATACAGGGTGTTTCAAGAAATGTGTCCAATATTCTTTAAAAATCAGAAAAGGCGCTATTTGCTCACTGTCATCACAGTTGCTTTTTCTGTAGCGGCAGGCATCTTATGAGGGTTGAATACATCATTTGGAACACTAATTAAGAAGCTTAAATAAATATCTAATTAGCAGAGTTAGGCAGTTAAGTCAAGTGAGAGAATTGAAGTCCTTCAAGCAAAAAACCCATCGCAGCTTGGAGATTTCTGAAAAGCTGCCTCTAGTAATAAATTAGAAGGGAAATCTCCCCAATTGGGTGGCGAAATCAAAATTCGAAAGAGCGCAACTGCCATATTCGTCCAAAATGAAGGAGTGTTGTTGTGTGAACCTTCAAACCGACTTTATTGAGTGGGTGTGCAGGCATCGCTTGCAATAATAGAATGCATGACGCACATACGTTAACGAACGAGAAATAACTACATTGCTGTAACCGCTGTTTTGAACAGTGATGTCATCGTAGTCGTCTGCATGTTGCGCTCATCAGTGCTTTGGTTTCAATTTTACCACAGAATTTAAGAGAATTTTATTACTTCACAATTGTTACTAGAAGTCGCTTCTCGAAATCTCAAAGGTGCAATGAGTTCTTCGCGTGAAGGACTAAATTCTCCCATTTGACTTAACTGCCTAACTCCACTAATTAAAGATTTAATTATTCTAGCTTTTCTAATTACTCTTCCAAATCAAGTCTTCAACCCTCGTATGATGCCTGCTGCTACAGAAAAAACAACTGTGAAGACAGCGAGCAAATAGCACCTTTTCCTGATTTCTTAAAGAATATTGAATACATTTCATGAAACACCTTGTATAAGGGAGAACAAAAGTGGCGACGAGGTTGCAAATTTTTTATGAAACTCACGGTGTTATAGCATCAGATGGTCTCAAAGGTTAAAACATTCAAAAGCCTTTAAAATAATAGCACTGCAAGGAATTTTAAAACGGAACATCAGAAACCCAAGCAAGGCCAAAGGTTCAGGAGAAGTTGGACGCTTGAAGAGATGAGAGTATTTTTGAACATAGCTCCAGCAATACACCCGTGTTCGAGAACATTGGTCACAACCTTAGAAAGACTCAGAAGGAATGGTGCCTTTGGAGCTTTGGCGACAAATTTGACGTTGGGGAGTTTTGCAGAAAGGCAGGCCCATAAGCTAAAGACAAAAGATAGGTTATCCACCTTGCACACTAATCAATAAGAAGACGACAATGTTACCCTGGTGCATGCTGCTGGCAGCCACCAAAGACTGATTATTTCGGCACCTAATTTTCTTAAAAGGACTGTAAACATAAATAGCTTGTGGTTGCCCAACAAGTCGACAAGACCATCACAGTAATTAAAGAGAGCACCAGCCCGTCATAGCATGTCTTTTCAAAGATGAAGCAATAATCAATCTTCAATCAACTCTTTCACTCTTGTTCACTAGTTGTCATAAGATTTTGTACCGAAATTCCAATGACGACTACACTCATCTACAAAAAATGGTCCCACATTAAGCAAATGGCAACTATGCTCATCATAGTTGTGTTCCTAGACGCTAAATGGCCATATTAGTCCATGTTGTGACGTTAGTTTGTTTTCTTTCATTTTAGATCCATCTTTATTTGTATCGTCATGAGCTGAAACTATCTTGTGGTTATGTTTTTGTAAGCAATTAATGAAATAACAGAACCCTACTGAGCTGAAATGCTCCCCCCCCCCCCAAAAAAAAAAAAACTCTAGTTGAGCAAAAAAAATGGGCACAATTATTCTTTTTTTTTAAATGGTAACTAAAGGGTTAAAATAAATGTGTTTACTGCATCCACAGTCACTTTAACTTATTGACATAAGATGGTTAGGTCTATACAAGGATATTTGAGCAGTGTAGACTGACTTGCTATTTATGTTTACCTCGACTGACTGCACCATAATTTAGAAAGAGTAGTAATTTTGTACTGAGCTGCTACAAAAATGCCAGTGTTAGGTGGGATTCATGACTGCATCAATGTGCTTGAAAGCACAATACAGCTTCTACCCTGAACTCTGTCAAACTAAATTCTGTCATGTCAAAATTCAGAACCAATCAGAAAAAATTCAGCTATTCTTCGAGCCAATCACAGACGGCGAAGCAAAATTCCAGATTGTCAGGAGCCTCCCCCGTCCCGTTCAATTTGCTCTCATTGTAAGCGATCCATTCAACACCGGCCGATTCGCTCGCATTGTGTAACATCATTGCAGACCTGCTTTGAAAGGCTGGTGGACGAACTGAGCAACAGCGCACACACACCTTTAGACTAAACAGAAGAAAAACGAAACAAGGGCTTTGAAAACGAACCACATACAGCTTGAGCTAAAGACGTGCAGCTTGAGCTAAGGTTTTGCTAACTTAACAAAAATAAAAGAACAACTTTCAGCAGACTAATTTTTGTGATGGCACATGCCTTAAAAGGAAATAAAAGATAGAGGGGGAGGATACCAAGGGGGTAGGCACAGCGTGCTCATCTAACAGGACTGTTTCTCCCTTAAGGCAATGCGTTATTTCACTGCGACACATGAGCCTTCCCGAGAATTTGTCTAATGTAGAAAGTCATTCTGTTATTTAGGCAAGAAAAACCTTACCACCATATTCTTATTGGCTAAACTATAATATATGCAATGCTTCTTAGCAAACTTTCAGCTTATGTGTGCGTCAGTCTTTTTTTTTTTTTTCGCTTTGTCCTTTCTTTTGTGCAAGCACCCGCTTTTCTTCTTTTCTTTTTGGCAATAAGATGAACCTATACAAACTAACCCACATGGCTACATTGCTATAAAACCTACCTGCTGCTCAAAGGAGAACTGGTACTCGAAAACGTTGTGAGAGGGCGCAGCCGGGTTGCCGTTCACAAGCCAGATGTCGTACGCTATCTCAATGTCCTCGTCGACCGAGTCCTTCCACTTGCAGTCTTTGCCCTTGCCTTCCCGGTAGCACGAGACCATGCTGACGTACCAAAAACTAAACAAAGGAAAGACGGAAGCATTACAACATGCCCATAAAGTAACTAAAGAAAGAAAAAAAATTGGGCCAATTGCATGCTATGGCAACTGTTGGACAGTGAAGCTGTAATGATGATGATGATGACTTTCAGTAGAAATAAGTCATTCTTACTTCAAGAATCTTTATCGTTATATCACTTAATTTTTTTGTTCCATCCCGACGTTGGTCACGTGACCTGCATGATGTCGATTACTACTACTATGATAACAACACAGGGGTAGAAAGCTTTCCGGCGGAACAATAATAACAAATCATAATATAACATTTGTGCCTTCCATCAACGTTAACCATAACTTGTCTGTCCAGTAACCATGCCGCTAATTATTTACACTCTACCGTTTCACAAGCCAGTTCACGTTACTGGACTGCTTGCCATTAGTGCCGTAAAATCTTGAGCATGCCGTGTAAAACATCGTTGGCGCAAACTTGAAAGAAGACAAAAGAAGAGACTCAGGAAAAGCACATACTCGCAACTGACTTTTATTGAACCGAAGCTAATCTTATGAAACCCTCACGCATGCATACAACCACACGAAAAGCCCAACCAACTATAATAACAACCTATCAGCTAGAAAAGTTAATTCATTATCATACGATGACAGGGACGGAACACTGATACATTGTTTGCCGAAATTGCCTAAATATATCGCTTCTGCCAATTCACGTGCCACTTTGTCTTTGCTTCTTAGCAAGATTCTTGTGCAGTGCAGTAGCGGTTCACACAAGCACTCTTCACAATGATACGGCAAATGTGAACCCATGCCGTTCCTCATTGACAGCGCATGTTCCCTTAAGCGATCGTTTATACATCAGCACGACTGGCCTTATGTACACCTTGCTACAACTGAGCAGGATCAAGTAGACACAAAACTTCCTTTCAGTGCTTCATTACACGAATCAGCACTTGGTACGCCACCCGAACGAGCACAAACGCACGAAAGCCTCAGAGGTGCCGAGAACACGACAGGGACCTCCAAACGAGAGGCGATGTTTTTTTTCCTTTGTACCTGAATTGCCGGTGCCGTCATGTCGAAATTTTTTTTCAGTAAAGCTTCAGATACTGACGTTAACAACAACAAAGGAAAACCCGCAGACACGAGCCTGGATATCTGCACCCTGAAACTTTCCTCAAGAATGAGGTGGCAAGACCTGGTAAGAGCCAACTGTAAGCTAGTACTAACAATGGCCCTTTTTACTAACTTTAGAATGCATGATATGATACGGCAAGACAGCCTTCTGAGCACGAGGGTGATACATCCAACAAGCATGGTTTTTGTCAAGCATGAGATGGAGATCTAAAAACTGCAATTTGTCACTGATGGGAAGCTTGTGTGTAAACTTGAGCCCTTGTCCGAACGCCCTAAACTTATCTAAAACAAAAGTGACACATTCAGAGTAGGGTTCATCAGACTCCTTTTTCAAAAGAACCGAAAAATCGTCCACGTATCTAAAAACGCATACCACCTTGTCTTTAGACAAAACAGTGTTCAGGTGTCAATCTGAGCCGGGCGTTGACGGTATAGACATAAATTATCATTAACATTGAGATCTCAGGTAATAGTCTGAAGCACAAATAAGCAAACAGTGCAAGTGTGCATCAAATGCATGCTCTGTATTTCTGTAAAAAAGCTGCACCTGACACACGAAATAACTTATGTGCAACAGTCGTATTAGCTTTAAACATCTACTGTGACAGACAGATGTACACATATAGTATGGCTATGCTAGTCCCCCCTGCAATCTACATTGATAAAAGAAAGTCAACACAAGCTATGGTCACAGTACATATAAACTATGGCTTAATTCACAGACATTCTGGTGAGTCTCCTAAATTTCTTACCACGCACAGAAAAGAATAACGTGGACAAGGTCAATGGGTTCCGTACGTTCCAAGGGAGCGTGTTCCCTCAACAGCAGTTTTATTTACTAAGAAAATATATAAGAGTTCAGCACTTAAACAAGGAATAAACCAAATTAGAGGCAGGTTCCACTTAGGCAGCAATGACATTTAGGCGATCTCTGCTTAGCGAGATTAAACTGTGTTGTCATGCTACTGTTGCAGCGCAGACCACAGCAGCTAAGGTATTAGTTAAATACTAAACTTTTTATTGAGTCAACATGAGTGCGTCAAAAGCAGGTGAACGCTCAAAGCACAATAGCAGCAGGCACAATCGTCGAAAACCTGTCCACCATTTCAATGTTTTCAGAATCATTGCACATGCATCATTATACAAGGGTCACTGTACTTTCAAGCACAATCACTGCCTACAATTCAATTAGATAAGTGTCGTATGGCTGAAGGACAAGATTTGAGAAATTTCCAATACACTCTGCCAAATGATTCACTATCCAGTCAGAAATCGGCAGCCAGAGAAGAATAAATATGTATATCTGTCAATACTAAAAAGAAAGCAAGACATCTGCGGATTCTTTTACGCAGATAAATGAACAACAAAAAGCAGAAGTCCCGAGAAAAGTGTATCTGAATGTAAAATAATCTATCATTTTATATAGAGTTGGAAAGCCAGAGTAGAATGTATATTAATAAAAAAATATAAATGCAGACCTCTGTCTCTTTCCTGTTTCCATGCAACTGTTGCAGTTTTTTTTTATTATTATTTACACACTGTACTCACTCACAAAAGTTGCACAGGTGAACCGGCACTGCAGCGACGTATTGTGTGAGAAAAACAGCTGCCAGCTGGGCTTGAAAGGAAACAGTGCCCTTGTTCGAGTACAGAAGAGTGATGACGCATGACTCGCCCGATTCTCATTCCACGTATTGTATAAGACCGCACTTTTCAAGAACTGCTCGGACTTGAAGCTACCTTTCTTTTCATTTTTTTTTCTACAATATGTCATGCAGTGCAAGAAGATGACCCGCTGTAACAAAAGGGCGGATTATTTATGCCTGCAACATCATGCTTCGTGCAGTTACATACCGTGCACTTCAAAACTAAATGAGTGGAAATATTAAAAAGACCAAGGGTGGTAGATAGTGTCAATTTAATACTTAATTATAACTGGCAGTTCTCAGATTTGTTACATACGTACCGTGAACTTCAAAACTAAATGAGTGGAAATATTAAAAAAACCAAGGGTGGTAGATAGTGTCAATTTAATACTTAATTATAACTGGCAGTTCTCAGATTTGTTACTACTCATTAAAAAGTGGGAAGATATGGCAAAAGGGACAAAAAATAAAAAGGAGGTAAGAACATATCTTCAATACTAGCTGACAATTCGTACGCTGGATCATTCGGTGATGCGAGTGTTACTTGTACAAGAAAAAGAAATGTAAGATTACATAAAAAACATCTTCCCTAATAGTCTATTAAACTATTTAGTCGAAATTGAAAAGCATAAACCCTATACAAGTCATATTAGAAACCTTTATATAAGATTACGTAACAAACATCTTTCCTAATAGGCTGTTCAACTAATTACTCGAAATTGAAAAGAATACACCTCCTACAGGTCATATCAGAAACCTTTGCCTCCACGCTGACTTATATGTTATTTTTTCAGTGACAGAGTGGTTTTTCGAGTGACGTCCGTCCTTTGGTGCAGATTTCACAAAATGAATGATCGACGAAATTCCTTGTGAAATCGGAACACAATGGCGCCAAAGGTCATGTTCGGTGATCTGGCTGGACGAGTTGCAGTGAGCATCGTGAAATGAACTAATTACTACTCCCATTCTGATACTGATTATTTCAGTTCAGCATCCCACCAATATAGGTAAACGTAAACGTGTTATTAAAACCATGCATGTTTAAATGAATGTACCGAGGTGTTTATCACAATTTGATGCCACAGCTTTTTATACACATTTTTTTTCCGTTTCCATATCATCATCATCAGCCTGACTACGTCCACTGCAGGACAAAGGCCTCATGCACATGCATAAAATTTTATTTTATGTTGTTACTTTATTTTTCTCTATACTACTCCAAACATTTTCTTTTGTTCCCTGTGTTTGCTTGTGTTGCCTAGTAGTGCATGCGCATGCTGCCCTATGTAAGGGCCCCACACATTCAAGCTGCATTTCAGCACATTTTTGTCGGGGGACCTTTCTATTAGGTTGGTAATAAACTTGACCGATATTAATATTAAACCTAGAACTTACAGCAACAGAGCAAAAGCGCTTGGCCTACAAGTCAACACCACCGAAAAAGACTTTTTGAAGGAGAGTACGGAGCAAGAACTACCTTCGCCTGTGCTGCAAAAGTTTTGGGAGTTTCCACTAATTTTCTTTTGAACTCTCCTTGACAAACCAAGTGTTGCTTTAACTTTTTTTTTTTTCAAGTCAGAATAGGTATTCCTTTTACTATGTCTTCAAGTTGGACTTTCGGAAAGATGACCTTTTTAGATTGTGTACCTCAGAACAAAAGTAGGCCAGACATGCCAGAGCTCCCTTTCGCCAAACAGACGTCTCCACGTTCGAGCTTCCTTTTATTTTATTTTTTTCTGGCGGACACTGCAACAGAGGCTATAGTTTCCGACAAGCAGGCTTATCACTCAGCTGCACTGAATCACACGGGCACGCACAGACTTCTGGGGTCGAAGCCTTATCAACTAGTACGATAAGGAGAAGAACGAGACAAATAAAAAAAAATCAGTCCTTGCAAGCATAGTACGTGATGTAGACTAGCCGAAATGTCCGTGGATGTTTGCAACAGATGTTGCTGGGGCAATGGTGGCGCCACGGCATATACATACATATATATATATATATATATATATATATATATATATATATATATGCGTTCCACTCGATGATACTACTTCCTTTTCCGCCCCAGTGTAACCTATTCCACCCATCAGACCACTTGTGCGCGGGCCACCCTCGCGGAGGATTGACCCAGAATCGGCGAAACTGCGCTAGACTGGAAGTACCAGTTGTAAAACGACGCGCGCTCGTTTTTTCCCGCGCTTCCTGGTGTGGCCGAAATTGAAAGGCGCTTCCCCCCACCTCCTCTCCATTTTCGACCGGCCTCTTTCTGTTTCATTTTTGGCCACCTAGCCACGCATTGGTAACAGTCTTGACACCCATTAGTGACCTCCTCATGACTCTGCCCCACTCGTATAGGAGACGGCTAGACGCACCGCTAGACCGCGCGACCTCCTCTACACCTGTACTAGACTAGTAACCCAGAGCCACGATTCAAGATTGTTTATTGTCTCTTTTTCATTTTCACCACACAAGCCGCGCCTGAATGTGACACAAACTTCCGCGTAGGCACGTGAAAACATCGAACGAAAATAGCGAATGAAAACGTCGGCTACCGCCGCAACAAGCGCGATGATTACAGCTTGTCTGTAACTTCCGTCCACGTGACGAACAGGACGGTTGGCGCGTATATCGTTACAGCACACTTCTGCACAAGACTTAAGGTAAATACCGCATTAGCACTCGGTGCTGTACAACTAGGAGGTTAATTCTACTTCGCGAGTGAAACGTTCGTTCGATGTCGTGTAATTATGGTTTCGATAAATGCAGTAAATGTTTTTTCACAATTACGTATTAAAGATCCGCTTCTGCAAGGAGGCCAGGTGAAGAATTTGGGCACAATAGACAGACGCTAAGTCCGCGTACTGCCCTAATTCAACCAGCTGGCTTAACTCAAAGAATCCAACTCGTACGTGACGCAACCCTCGCAAACGGTTCCCGCTGTGCTCCGTTGGATCGTCGCTCTCCCCCATTACATTCCCGCACGCACTGGAAACACTTGGCTTTCGTAATAGCCCCGTGCGGTACATGTCAGGGGTGTATGCAGCCGGATGTTTACAAGCGGAACGGGTCGAGTTGCGGGCTAACTTGCAGCTGCGTGCCAATTAGCATACCGCGCGCGAAACCAGCACGAGTAGACAAAACGTGAGGAGGGCCCGCACGGGCGAGGAGTGAGTTATACATACGCTGTCGCAAGGATAATTAAGGAAGACGGTTCGTGCCGGCTCCATGTCCTAGATGAGCCGTAATAGGGACCCGGCCGCGCAGTTGATTATAGCGGTTGTCTCGCGTAATCGCGCTGTAACGACGTACTACAGGGCCGTATATTCAGACGAACACACCTGGGTAGTTACGACACAGAACGCGGGGAACTGTTTTGTTGTTGATGTCGACCAAAAGCGTTCTCAGGCTGCCGTGTCTAGGTGAATGCGGTCGCTAGAACACGGAATGACAGATCGACCACTCAGCATCATCCTGTCTGGTGATCGAACGGGCGTACCAAATCACGCTCCCGTAGTTTGTTTTAACCGAGATCGTGCTCAAGACAGACTAGTAGTTTGCCTCGACTGCTAACCCGAAGGTCGCGGGATCGAATCCCGGCCGTACTTTCGGTGGAGGCGCGAGAACGATTGAGGCCCGCCTACTTCGATTTGCGTGCACGCTAATGAAGCCCAGGAAGGCGGAATTTCCGGAGACCTCTACTACGGAGTCCAACAAAATAACATATCGCGGTTTCGGGTTGTTGAACCGCAACAATCAATCAAAATTGACAGCTTACCGAGCTTGATGAAGATCGCGTACGGTGTAGGTGAACTGGTGACCGGCTACTACGCGACTTGGCTTGTCCTCATCCTCGCACAGCTTTCCGGCCGCGCAGGGTACGTTTCGGAGAAAGTCCTGCGTGCCGTTCGGGTTGCAGTTGCTGTCGAAGGCGACCCGGTTGATGGCCGCGAACATGAGGTCGCAGACTGACGACGAGCTGGCGTCAGCGTAACCCTGCGTCCGATTGCCGTAGAAGGCGAGAAAGTTGTCCCTGTCGGCGACCACAAGCGTACCGCGGTGCGTGAGGTCGCCCTTCGCCGCCGACGTCGCCGTGACGTTGCCGTAGATGTAGCCGAGCGTGTTTTCGTGGTCATGCCGGTCGGTCTTCTTGAAGCCGAACTTCGCGAGGAACGTGAAGAACTGTCCCGTGCGGAAGGTGCCCCGCAGGTGAAGGCACTGCGCACTCCATGCGGTAGCGGCGAGCAACACGAACACGGCGCGAAGAAGGCGCATCGGTAGCAGTGGGCGGGAGTGAAGAACGGGAACTGTAAACGACGATGACGGCTCGTCCCTTTCAGGCCAGCGACGTTAACTCAACTTGCGAAGACATCGTCGCGACGCGCCACTCTGATGGGGCGTCGTTTTTTTCAGGTCGGAGGCATCACGACCGCGACGTAAAACGCGTCCTCTCCCTGGAGGTGGCCGAGCAAGCGCACGCCCGCAACTCCCGCAAAACGCACCGCAGGACGACGCGCAGAACTGCCGCCAGGCGGCGACAGCACTTTGGATCGACTTCTGGATTGACTCGACTGAAGTAAGTGACTTTGCTCAGGCTTGCTTTGATTTTATACGAGCCCTTAGTAGCCAGCTTTCTCGCCGTCTCCGCCTACGAGCTAGGTCGGAGCGATCGCTTTCGGATTTCCGTTTTGTCCTCGTATTACTATTTATTTTTATATTGTCGCCAGATCGGTTGCCCCGACATGCTTTCCAGTAGAAGAAAAACGCATTGGTAGGTTCTTCTCTTTAAATTTGTCACGCTGGGCAGCTTTTCCTCGCGAGCAGCTCGCGCTGTCGGAATCTCCAAGTGAAAGTAGTTAGCAGTGGTTTTGACACTTCGACGATGTCCGGGTCTTATTATTTCGTGATCGTCGGTCACTTCGACAACCCAGTATACGAGATGGAGTTCCACCCCGCCAACAAGCAGGCTAACAAGGTAAACTTGAACTTTGTAGACGGCGTGGATGACTTGATTCTTCTCCAGTAAAATACAGGGCTGTGTCTTCGTGCTTACGTTTTTCTCTCCCCTCGAGGGACTAAGATAGTCTTGTCTTGTCTTGTCTCCTAGGAGATAGTCGTCTGCTGGATAATTCAATAAAGACTTTCTTCTCTTTTTCAATTGTGACTTTCGATCAGGAAGACCACCGTTATCTCAGCCAGTTCATCGCTCATGCCGCCCTTGACCTGGTGGACGAGTGCATGTGGGCCACCAACAACATGTACCTGAAAGTGGTCGACAAGTTCAACGAATGGTTCGTCTCGGCCTTCGTCACGGCGAACCGTATCCTTAGCGATGGTCGGCGTGGTTTCGTCTCTCGAGTTCGAGGGTGTAGTGCAGGTGTTGTCATATAGTGTTCTGCATGCGTAGCAATTGCTGGCTAGTTGGCTCATCTTTAAACAGCGCACACATACGCACACTAAGACGCAAAGAAGTGACTCGCAAGTGATCGTGTGCTGTGTAAATGTCACGATGTCTTGCTATAGCGCACTACAGAAGCTCGTACTAAGCTCTGGATGTCAGGGCACAGTAGAAACCAAAACTAGCCTTTTTCATATTGTGATTAACCTTACAGGGCATACTCGTGCTTACTGGTATGTTCTCCTACGCGCTAGAGGACGTGACCCTTCCTCTGACGTGAAAAAAAAAAAACCCTAAAATTTCTCGATGTCAGTACACCATTTAGGTTCCGCTTACCGATTCTGCGTTTGAGATGGGGCAGGGATTCGAATTTTTGTTTGAGTGTCACTTACCCCTTGACAAGATTACCAAAGGCATGCGGTTCCTCGTGCTGCACGACGTGAAGAACGAGGACGGCATCAAGAGCTTTTGCACCGAAATGTACGAGTTCTACGTGAAGGTACGGAGCCCGTAACCCTCCGGTCTGCTGGTTCACTCGACCGATTCTCGGCGTTGCTATCCAAAAGCTCACATGGTTCCTTATGCATTAGTTTGAGAAATGTCTCCTAGAAACGTTGGTATAACATAACTCGAAAGCGAACAACCATCTTCCGCTTTTTCTTCTCATCTGATGCATTAATCCTCCCCCGCTATGCTCTGACATCTTTCTACATCCAACATGGCCTTGCACCACCTCCATGATTGGCAATGCCTTAGAGCAGGAAGCAATTCTGTTTTTCCCCAGAAAACAATGCCATTATTGTGCATAGATAAAGCATTATGCTTAATCATACACAGATTAAGCATTACGTAGCAGACCACATTTCTATGAATAGTTCGCCAACTTCACCTTATGCGTGTGCATGTGTGTGTTTGTTATGTACGAGTTTACGTATGCGATAATGAAAAAAATTTCGCGTGCAAAATTTGTAAGTTTTGAGGGAAAGTTGACCACCCCCCTTTCTCCCGGCCACATCAATGCTGCAGATGCTGCCAAAATCGAACCGAGAACCTCGAGGTGGTGCCTGTACTTTCTTATCGCATGTTTTTCTCACTCCCTGGAAGCCATCTCCACTCAAGAGTTGCACTACCAGTGTTGCGATCGGGTGATTTGCTAATGTGATAGAAATCGTTTCTTTCTCTAGTGTCCCTCTATGTGAAATTTCAAGTGCCTGCTGGTCGAATGCTGCCTCTTTTGTGTCCATTTCAGTACGCCTTGAACCCATTCTATGAGCACAACACTCCCATCAAGTCGGCGGCTTTTGATGAAAAGGCCAAGTTCTACGGCAGGAAGTACTTGACAGGCTGAGCACGTCTGCGAACTTGCGTGTTCCGAGAGAGAGAGAATGAGCTCGAAGTTTGCAGAAGATCAGTGAGCATCAGCTCTGCCTTGAAACCATTTATGTTGTGTGTGAATCACGTTTCAAATGCTTTTCTTTGTGTGTGGGAGGGGCAGAAGGGTAATAAACCTGTGATGGAAGAACTACTGCTTTGTTAATTTGCCAATCAAGTACCATTTTGTTTCTTTCAGTAACATGTTAAAAGACAGCATTTTCTACTTGCAGTACATTCTGAAAGTTGCAAAGCTGACTTGAATTGCTGTAATTCATGCACATTTTGACAGTTCGTGAGAATGAGTAATGTTATGAAAGTACAAGCAGCGATGACACCTTGATGCATGACAAAGCGCATTCCAGTTTGCTTAATTATGTCAGGATGGACTTACTGAGTCACGACCTCCAATTAAAATGCACCTGTGTTTGGTCTGAATGGTGGTGGAATATGGATGCCCAAATAGAGTGGATTTAAGAATCAAGAGAAAGCGTTGCTTCATTTTTTAGGGCCCAGAGTAGCACTTCTGTACAGCCTCGCAATAAGACAGTTGTGCATTGACTGAAGTTTAGAAGTCTCGGTAGGCTTCCAAAACTGCTTCCAAGCTGTAGTTGCTGAACACGTCAGCGCTATTGTAGGTATTTGACATTGGGTGTTGATTTTAGAGCCACCAGCCGCAGATTAACCTCGTACAAGAACAAACACTCAGTTCTTAATGCTATGTTGCAGAGTTATACAGAGTCTAACGAAAGTTGGACAAAATCTGAGGAAAAGATTATCAGGTTTTCAAGCGAGCACCTCAAATTAACTATTGCTCCGAAAGACATAGAACGCGCACACAGACTCGGTACCTTTTCGCCGAATAAAACTAGACCAGTTCTAGTAAAATTCACCCATTTCAAAGATAAGGAAAAGGTGCTAACTGCTAGTAGAGATCACAAGCATCCCAATGTTAACATTGTGCAAGATTTTTCACCAGCCACACGCCTAGCCCGTAAAAAACTGGTCGAGTTCAAAAAAACTCAAACTTTTCCCAGCAGCCTTCGTCATAACAAACTTGTAGCAGGGAAGAACACCTACGTGTATGACCCGGTTAATCAACAAGTCGTTCTTCGCACGCCGTAGCAGTTAGCTAGTGGTTGCCCTTACGGTCCCAAGGACTATTTATCGTTTCTTTTTACTAATATCAGGAGCGTACTACCAAAGCGGGATATCTTGTCCTGTTTAATTGACTCTTCAGATTCCAACGTTATAGTGCTAACCGAAACGTGGTTAAACTCGTCTGTCATCAGCGGTGAAATATTCCCTTCTTATCCAGATTTCAATATTTTTCGTACCGACCGAGATGGCAGGCGTGGTGGTGGCGTGCTCATTGCTACTCACCGTGACCTTGGCTGCTATCGTATCAATATACCAACCTCACTCGAAATGGTGTTTGTGTGCTGTAAAGCCATTCAACCCCACGTAGTCTTAGGTGCATGCTATCGCCCACCTGATTCCGACAGTACATTTATACCAATGTTTCATGACGCGCTACAATCACTAAAGATTCATTTCCCTAATGCACCAGTTGTCCTATTCGGCGACTTTAACTTTCCGAACATAGATTGGTCTGACCTCGTCCTTGTCACATCGAAACAAAACATTGAAAGCAACTTCGTCGATACATGTTTAACATTCGCTTTAACTCAAATTGTTAATGCAGCAACGAGGCAATCTAAACACTCAGCCAATATACTTGATCTAGTACTAACAACCCATCCTGATAGAATCACTTCGCTTTCGTACCTCGACGAAATCAGCGACCATTCCATAAGGTCATTCATGGCACATTCCAATGTAGGCTGAAGCGCCCAGACAAAACAAGGAAAAAGCTTACCTTATACGATAAGGGTGATTATAATAATTTCAATAAAGAACTAACAAAATTCTGTCAGTTTGTAGTTAAAGATTTTAACAAACGATCTGTCACTGAAAATTGGTTAATGTTTAAATCTAAAATGCATGAGCTTATTAGTACTTACATTCCAACAATTATGATTGGTGAACGTAGCACATCCCGCTGGTTTAATCCTGAACTCAAGAGGCTCAAAAACAAAAAGAAACGACAATTTCGCGCCGCAAAAAACAGCAACAATCCTGTGGCGTGGCAAAAATACCAGACTACCACGAAACTATTCTGCTCTGCCATCGATAAAGCGAAGCGGCTGTTTAATAATACCACCTTGCCCAACTTACTCCGCACTAACCCAAAACAATTTTGGAGAGTGATTAACCCGCGAAGCGAAAACAAATGCATATCAATAATGGATCCAACTGGTCAGCCTATCGCGAATAGTGCAGTAGCAGAAGAACTAAACCATACCTTTTCTTCCGTTTTCACCAGAGAACCGATTGAAAACCTCCCTGATGTCTCCCCCCACAACTACCCTACCATGCCGGACGTCATTTTTTCACCTCAGGGCATCCAGAAAATTATCGAGTCGTTAAAACTTACATCATCCTGCGGCATCGATGGTATAAATGCTAAGGTGCTCAAAAACACCAAAGAAATCACCAGTGTCATTCTTTCCTATATTTTTCAGCAATCACTCTCATCCGGCATCGTTCCTCACGACTGGAAAGTGGGTAAGATCGTTCCGGTTCCTAAGCCTGGTTCATCTAGTTACCGGCCAATTTCCTTAACCAGCGTCTGTTCAAAAATAATGGAACATATAATTCATTCACAAATCGCTAGCTTCCTTACCTCAGTTAAATTTTTTCACCCTAACCAACATGGATTCCAAAGGGGACTCTCATGCGATACTCAGCTTGCACTATTCATCCATGACTTAAGCGCTAGTGTAGACCTTAACATACCAGTTGACGCCCTTTTTATTGACTTTGAGAAAGCCTTTGACAAAGTTCCCCACAACCGCCTACTACTAAAACTCTCCCAATTAAGCCTTAACCAACTTGTCTACAATTGGATTCAGGACTTCCTCACTAACCGTCAGCAATTTGTTGAAGCTAACGATACGCCCTCTTCCCTTTCCAACGTAATCTCCGGTGTGCCACAAGGTACAGTTCTAGGACCCCTCCTCTTCTTAATTTACATCAATGATTTACCCGATAACATTTCATCTAACATCCGCCTCTTTGCCGACGACTGTGTAATCTACCGACCTATTACTAACGTTTCAGATACAATTACTCTCCAGCAGGACCTACTAAAGCTGGACGAGTGGTGTCGCAAATGGCTCATGGTATTAAATACTAATAAAACTGCACTTATTTCATTTCACAGACGCCAAAACTTACCCACCACTAACTATAATATTAATGGCTCCATAGTTTCTTCCCTAAGTTCCATTAAATATCTCGGTGTTAACATTTCACAGAATCTAAACTGGTCTTTTCACGTAAGTAAAATAGTTAACAATGCTAACAGAGCTCTCGGTTACCTTCGTCGTAACTTGCATCTTGCCCCTCCATCAGTCAAATTACTAGCCTACAAAACACTAATTCGCCCAAAACTAGAGTACGCATCCGCCATTTGGGACCCATTCCAAATTAACCTAAGTAAGTCCATCGAACTAATTCAAAACCGAGCAGTTAGATTCATCTACTCAGATTACTCGTATCATACCAGTGTTACCACCCTTAAAAGAATAGCAGATCTACCTAACCTTGACCTACGCCGTAAGGTTTCCAGACTATCCTTGTATCACAAAATGTATCATACGTTTTATTACAACTGTCCCATTCAATCAGCTCATCGTACTTCAGCCCGCACAAGCCACCACAAGGCCGTGTACCCACCTCCTGCATGTACCACAGCCCACCATCACTCCTTCTTCGCTCAAGCAGCCAGGGACTGGAACGATCTTCCCCCAAGTGTCATCCATCATAGCAACACGGATAGATTTAAAAATGCCATAGAATCATTGTTTTATTAACCCTATATTGTTTGCCCACACCCTCATGTAAAGCCCCCTGTTGGGTGGCCTTTGAGGTATATTAAATAAATAAATAAATAAGTAAGAAGCTGCATGTTTGTGGTAAGGAGAGATAACCTTAACAACACTTTAGGCACTTCGGGTATTTCTGTATCAGTTTTTATTTCAATAACCTACGAAGGAGAAACAGCAGTGTCACTCGAGCACACTTTGATGGCTGCTGAAGAGCACTGCAGTTGAACATTACTACGTCGTCTGAGCAACCTGTGCGCAATGAAGCGGTGCTGTGGCGAAGCTAATTTCACATTAATTTTGTTGTTTCAGAGTGCAATAATAGTTAAAGAAAGACCATGGAAAGGAGAATGAACATCGGAGAGCACATTACAGCTCGGATCACGGTTCACTCTAAAAGAAAAAAAAAAACGCAGTTGTAACCCATGGTGGCATAATTCTTACACCAAACAAATATAGCCATTACCTATCTTGTGTGCCTCTCCTTGCTTTATTCCCGCGCACGTGGTATCTGCAGGTAACACATCGCATGACTCTCGGCAGAAGAGTGGCAATCTCTGAGTGACCTCGGTGCAGAGTTGCACTTGTTTACGAGCTCCTAGTGCAATTGAGCCGGTGATGATTATTATCACCATGAGACACAGATAACTCACAATAGTTGAGAATTTCGTAAAAATAACTACATAATTTATACTAGGCATGCTTATTCCAAAAGCCTGCTTTAAAGCTGTTCCACAAAATTTTTGCATCACTGCCAGAGTGCTCTGAAACAGCCAGTTCAATGTGCCATAATTACACAGTCAAACTAAGGAGCTTCAGGTAAGTTTCGCAACAATGCTCTTTAGCAACCACTGAGCCTACTACTTGCTCACGCGACACAGATGTGATGAGAAATGCTTCGGTTGTGGCATTTGCCCTTGGCATCAGCCATTGGAAACAACAATGGAGAGAGCTTAGCTGCTGCTCAACAGCTTCGATAGTGTGACCAGAGTAGAAACGTCATGTAGGATGTACCTAAATTTGGATTGGCATTGTGTAGGTATAGCTGTTTTGTCACTGTCAATTGTTGGCCCATGTCACCAAGAGGGGAGGGGGGGGGGAGGAAAGGCAGTAACCAGTGCTTTCACTTCACAGTTTTAACTATTTTTCCATCATCACTATTGCTGGGGTTTCTACGGTAGACATGGTCAAAATCGTGTTGTCCACTGTTGGTCATTTCAGATTGGCCAGGATGGCTGAAACAGCCTCTTCAATCGGCCTAAAATGATGCCATTAAAAAATGTTACAACATGGCAGAATTTGACAGTGTCCAAAATAGCACCCGAAGGCGAAGGTCAATGGCGACATGCCGCTTCACAGACATGATCAATATGAAAGGAAACGGCTAAATTACCTACAACAGGCCACTGTAGCTTAATGCAGCTGCCAAGGGCAAAAGTGTTCATAGCGATAAATGCACAAAAAGAAAAGTACTCATAGCAAACCAATATCCCATATTCGCTTCCCCCCTTTCCAAATAATTGTTGCTTAAACATGAACATAGCATTCCCTTTCAAATTTTCCCCGACTGCACAATGACGTCGCACATGACGTTTCTGCTCAAGTCGTGTGAACCTGCGCTGTTGACGTGCAAACACTCTCCGGAAACAACAATAGCATCACTAGTGGTCCCTTCAAGACCCGGACTGCGGTTTCCTGATCACGTGAGCGCAGTCATACTTCCCGCGCACAACCTTGAGCTTGAGACCCGGGACGTCCTTCGTCCGCGACTTGTACACCAGGACGACGCTGTGCTCCTGCAGGTTGTGGCCCACGCCGGGCACGTAGGCCGTCGCCTCCTTGCCATTGGACAGGCGCAGGAGTACGCACTTGCGGTTGGCCGAATTCGGTTTCTTGGGCTTCTTGATGAGTGTCTTGATGACGACGCCCTTCATGAAAGGCTTGCTGTCCAGCGGGTGGCGGCGCTTCTTCTTGGGTGGCGGGATGCCGCCAGCGTGGACTTTTTCCAGGATCGGGTCGTAGATGAGGCCGTCGTGGTGGGGGCTTCCCTTGAACCGGACGAAGAACCTAGAAGAACAGACCACAGGGCGAGTTTATTATCCATTGTGAAGAGAATTTGCAGGAAAAACCAAGTGCATGAAAGAAGAAAAAAACAGGAGACAAGCGCAGACCTGTGGCGCACCGGTTGAACAGACGGCAGGTTCGGCGCCTGGATTGGCAGCGTGACCGGAGTGTTTTCAGTCGACTTCCTGGCATACGGGGTCGGCAAGCTCGCCTGCCATGCCGTTGTTGCACAGAAGGATAGACCTGCAAGTGGTAACAACAGCGACCAAATAAGTACCGCTCACCCCGAAGAGGTCATGAGTGCTATTTTCTGGTGTGAACGTGCGAACTCTTCTGGCACAGCATGGATTGCTGAGCCTCGACAAGTACACTTAAAAAAAAAAGCTGGTGATGGTCTTGAATACCGCATAGCGAGGATTTGACAAGGAACAAAGAAAGAAAGAGCATCCAAGGACATGACAAAGGCAACGAAGTGCATGTCCCGTGCTTAAGTGTCATTTCTTTCTCGGTCCCGTGTCGAGCATCTGCTCCACAGTATTTAATACCATGAACCAATTAGCCCTGAAACAAGCTTCGTTAAACCGGTGATGGTTTCTTTTTTTGTGTTGTTGCTACAGTTTGGCCAGATGAATATGTCGGAGGCATGGGCGTGCACATGCACATGGCAGGCGAGGGGGGGGGGGGGCTATTCACCTAAGAGGGGAGAGCACTAAGTCGCCTAGTATAAGAAGACGGGACGAGCGAAGTCTATCAACAAATTTATTTAAACTTTGACTGAAACGACACGAGCTTGCTTGTGTGGTTACAGTTCCACAAGACAACTTGGTGGTTTTCAATGAACAAGTGGATAGTCGGCGTTCGTTCTGTCGTCTACTACGATGTCTCGTTCCCAGGGCAGTTGAAGTTCTCGAAATTATATCGTAAAAGCTAGCTCAGTGTGCAGCAGGTATGTGTTTCATCGAACACGCATGCACACAGTGTGCGAGTTTATTATTCACCGCAAACAACCAATTGAGACACGTTTCTAAATCGATGAACGAAGCATGTGTGCATCATCTTATCGATATCTATTGCGCAAGAAAACTGCAGCAGTCGCTGCAGTTTTCTCGTTGCTGATACTCCTGTTACACGCACGGATAGTTTGAATGCTGGGAATGTTTCGAAAGAGCGCAGTGAACGCTGATTCGCGGCGTGGGTTGCGATGGGATACTCGCGGATAAATGGGGACGAGACCGCGCTGCTTTGACGAAGCGAGAAAAAAAATCGGCTTCGGCGCGACACTTACTCCGGGACGGCATGGCAGCGCGAATCGTCATTTGGGCGAATGCGTTGCCCAGGCTTCGTAGGCAATTCATGATAGCGGAGTTTGCGTCGCGGAACTTCCGAACGATGCTAAACCACAGAACAGCAAAAACACACGCCGCAGCGGTCGCAAACGCCGTGAAAATAAAGTTACCCTTATTTTACGGAGAAGTTTACTGAGTTTAATGATGATGATGACGTCAAATGACGATTTAGAAATCGAAATTATTATTGTGGCGACTAATGCCACTTACGTTGCAATATTTTCTAATAAAAATTTATATTTGTGTTTTGAGTTTATACTGATTACATTTTTAGAAGTGCTGAAACTGAGCGGTATTGTGGCGGTGCGCTGGGCCTGCTCCATTTTCACAACGAGAGTGGGAAAGGGCTGAGAATAGGGTTCCAAGTAGTACATCAACAGGCCCAGATGGCATTCCAATTATGCTGATAAAGACATTGAGTCCGAAGTCTAAACAGACTTTGAGAGAGGCAGTGAGCAGAACAATAATCGATGGTGAAGTTCCTAATGGATGGAAACTTAGCAGGATGAGCATGATCTATAAAGGAAAGGGGGACAAAGATGGCATAAACAACTACCGTCCTATAACAGTGGCATCAGTGGTCTACAGGCTGGCGATGCAGATTGTAAAGGAAAGACTGCAGGCATGGATAGAGGATGAGGGCGAGCTGGGGGAACTGCAGAATGGGTTTCGGAAACACAGGAGGTTGGAAGACAATTTGTTCTCACTGACGCAGTGCATCGAAATAGCAGAAAAGGAACTCAGGCCCCTGTGGCTAGCATTTTTGGATATCAAGGGAGCGTACGATAGCGTGGTTCAAGAGGACTTGTGGAGAATACTGGACCCACTGGGTATTGAAGATGAAGTTACTAATCTTTTAAAGGAAATCTATAAAAGTAACAACGTAGTTATAAAGTGGGAAAAGCAGGTATCCAAGCCCACAGAAGTAAAACGGGGACATAGGCAGGGGTGTCCACTGTCACCCTTGTTATTCATGATGTACAAGTATTAGAGGCCAAATTAGAGGGAAGTGGACTTGGCTTCAACCTATCTTTAGTCAAACAAGGAAAACTCATTGATCAGGCACTACCAGCATTAATGTACGCAGATGATATACTGCTACTGGCCGACAACAAGGAAAATTTGCAGAGATTGATGGACATCTGCGGTAATGAGGGAGATAGGTTATATTTTAGATTAAGTAAGAAAAAATCAGCAGTCATGATTTTTAATGATAACGAAGGTAGTGAGCTTAGAATACAGGAGGTCACGCTAGAGATAACAGATAAATACAAATATCTGGGCGTATGGATAAGCAATGGGACCGAGTACCTAAGGGAACACGAAATATACGTGACGACTAAAGGTAACAGGAATGCAGTAGTGGTGAAAAATAGGGCACTGTGGAATTACAATAGGTATGATGTTGTGAGAGGCATATGGAAAGGGGTCATGGTTCCTGGGCTGACGTTCGGCAATGCGGTCTTGTGCATGAGATCAGAAGATCAAGCAAGATTAGAAATTAAGCAACGTGGAATAGGTAGGCTTGCTTTAGGAGCTCACGGGAATACACCAAATCAGGGAGTACAAGGTGATATGGGATGGACATCATTTGAGGGCAGGGAAGCTAGCAGCAAAATAAAATTTGAGAAGCGATTGAGAGAAATGGGGGAGGAGCGTTGTGCTAGGAAGGTTTTCAGCTACTTGTACATGAAGAATGTCGATACAAAATGGCGGAAGTGAACCAGGAAATTGACTTGTAAATACTTAGAAAACAGCAGGTGGCCAAACCAAAAAGAACTATCGGTTAGGAAGAAAGTGAATTAAACGGAGACTGACATGTGGAGAATTGGCATGATTAAGAAGTCCGCACTAGAGATCTATCGAACTTTTAAGCAGGAAATTGCCAAGGAAAGGATCTATGATAATACTCGGGGTAGTTCTCTACTGTTTGAGGCCAGGACGAGAGTATTGCGAACCAAGACATATCGGGCCAAATACGAAGGGGTAGACACAGTATGCAGTGCGTGTGGAAAGGAAGAAAAACTGCTGAACACTTGATAATGTTCTGTAAAGGGCTTCACCCTATAGTTCAGGATGACGGCGCAGAGTTTTTCAAAGCACTGGGGTTTAGGGACAGGGAGGGTAAAATAGACTTTAAGCTGGTAGACTTAACTAGAAGGAGGTTATCTGATTGGTGGCTAAAGTCAAGGCACGAGTGAAAATCAAACCCTTCACTGCAAAGTACGAGTCCTCAATCTCACTATTTAAGGGGAAAAAAAGATAAATCTATTGGTTAGTTTACTAAGTATTACGGCTAGGTGGCGTTAGCCGCCACTCGATCTAAAGGGTACAGCCACATTTATTCATTCATCCATTCCTTCAACCTGGCGCCATTTTCGAGGTTATCAAATCTGGAGTTAATATCCTTCCTTACTCCATGAGGGACACTGTACCTCAGACAATACACGCTTGCCACCTCTTGTCAATGTGTTTGCTCTGCTTATATTACGGGTGTTCTGTGGTGTTCCCAGCTTGCCTTCCGTGTTCTCGTGTGTTGCATTTGCAATACTGCGGCGTTGGCAGTGTCCTCAACTTCTGCGTGCTGCGTCGACTTGTAAATGTGCGTAGGCTCGTTGTTGCTACGTGTTGATAATGCAACCCGTCCTTTCGCTCTGCCGTGTTACGATGTTGGCTCTTATCCCAGTGAGACACACTTAGTGATGCCGGAGCAATTACAGAGCTACAAATCCTCGATGGAGGCTAATTACGTCACTAGCGGTCTCGTGGAGAAACCAAGGACGATTAAAAAAATTGCTGGAGTGGAAGCTCCCGCAATGCCTTGCCAGCAGAAGTGAAGCCATCTTTTGCCACTGCCAAGATGGCGGAAACATGCTCTTTTCTGATAGTGCCCACTTCGAGATCAAGAGGCTTTGATTTGTTAGTGTTAATTCTGCGTTAGTTCTCTATTAAAAGACAGTTGTTCCTGACAAGATAACACACAAAAACGAGTACGGGTGACTGAATTTCCCAAGTATTTAGCCTCCAACTGGAGACTTACTAAGGAAAACTAGTAACACTAAGACGCACTTGGAGCACTATGAGACCCGAAAACGTTTCTACACTACACTCGTTGGTCGTGCGAGGGAAACCCTCCGTTCTTAATCGCTAAACAATGGCACTTTATCAGCCCCTAGTAAGATGGCCGCCACAGTCACCATCTTGCTAGAGGCACGGCTTCACTCCTAGGCTATGATTTCCACTTCAGCAATTTTTTAATCCTCCTTGGGAGAAACCGAGGGTGAAGTTCCTCGTCGTCGTTGCAAAAGTAAGCTGTACATAGTGTACCGCGTAAAAGACTATCCGCAAGGTTAGCGACAGGGTAAGTGATGTATCAACGATGTGGCACCCATCGCGACTTCTTGCCGCTGTTTACTCGATTGGTGGCCGAGTTGCCGTTACGATGTTGAGGTCGTTCTCGTAGTATCTAATCCCGTGAGTGCAGGTCCACCACTCACAGGCATTCAGGGATCGAATAATTTCTGTGCGCGCACTGCCCAAGAATCCGGCGGGTCTCGTCAAACCTAGCTGGCCCCCGCCATTGGACCTGTTTAGCCAATCTTCGCAAGAAAAAAATATATCTCGTACAACATTTTATTTATATCGGAGAGATAATGAAGGAACGGGTTCGTACACAGTCAATTGGATTTTTCTTACGAAACACAAAACTCTTAGAAGACGTCCTGAAACGGCTACAAACGGCTCGAAACGTCTGGGTCTGCGAGAAGACCGGAAAAAAGACATTTTCTAGAAGCGAGATTCACTCCAATGGGCTCAACACAGTTTATTAGCCCCTTTTTTTATCAACTACGATAATCTTTTCTACCAAAAAAATCGTAACGTTTACTTCGACTTTTTTTATAGACAATTTGTAGTACGAGCTCACTACCACCTCTATGATCCTTCAAATGTTTTGTCGAGAAGCGCCCGAATGCCAAAACATGTCGAGAGGACGGCGACTGTCGCTTTTACAGATTTTACACCATAATTCGAGTGTACGTGTAAATATGTTACGATCAATAATTGGATAAGAATATTCTTTCCAAGCCAATCATGTGAGGCGCCGATTACGATGCTGCTAAAGAAGCGCGCGCTCGCGCAGTCGCACGAGCTTGCGCCATTAAATTTACATTCGGCACACACAATTGGCCCACGAGAATTACTCGCATGGATGACGTTGATTATCGCAAAGACGTACGCTTAATAGTTCACAAGGGTTCGAAAATGCGAGGGGTGAAGCTTGAAAGTGCAGCTCGACATTGGTTTAGACCAGCAGTGCTACTTGGTGGCACACTGCTCCGAGCCTCGCTGTACAGAGAACCTAATCTCACCTAACCTAACAGTCGTGGAAGGAGTTTGCACAACGTATACAGTTCTTGTACTGCTCGAAGACGGTTATAGTCCAGAGCTGGCAACGAGATCACTCGGTTCACCCCCCACTTAACACTTACGTGCTATTAGAAGTGGGCCGTCCACCATGACACTAATACATTCGTCCGTGAGAGTGCGAAGGCATTATAAGTAGAAATGCGATGCAGACGACGCTTGATCACGTGGTTTCCGGAAGTGGTACCCTATACAGCACGTAATTCATCCGGGACTCACGTGCGTGTAAGTAGCAAAGAGACAAATGCAGTATACTCAAAATTATAACTACCTAAACAAAATAAAATGCGTATGTACAATCTTACAGACATGTGCGGTGTACACATAAAATTATAACTATGTAAATAAAATAAAATCCGTATATACAATGTTATCTTCGTCAAGCAGCTTGTGGGCAAGCCGAGACACTGCCAATGTCAGCTGGTGATGGCCCCGGCAGCGTGAAAAATATCGCATCTAACGGTCTATTAATCGTGTTAGAGGTTGAAGACCGTCGTCCATTGACTACAGCGAACGACGAACCGCTATAATTGTTCGCATATCGACGCGAATCGTTCACAAATCGTCTTTCCCGGGCAAGCTACAGGCCAACGGGTTGCAACGACGACGTCAGACGAAGCCGATGACCTCCAGGATGTTGACGGCGAAGTCGTTGCTGGCAGCTAGCGGCGGGTTGTCGAACGTGTCGCAGTGCTCAGTGCGACCGTTCTCCAGCGACTGGTCGATGTACAGACCCATGCCGTTCCTGCGCACAAGAGCACGCATGCATGGTGTTGTCGAAAGCATGGGTTAATTTGCAGGATTAAAGGCGTGGGCAAACCAAGCACAATATGCATCGGGTTCCAAAACAATTAGTTTATGCAACTGGTGCCCCCCCCCTTTCTTTTGCGAATATAGTCATCATCAGCCTGACTACGTCCACTGCAGGACAAAGGCCTCTCCCATGTTCCGCCAGTCAACTCGGTCCTGTGCTTCCTGCTGCCAGTGTATACCCAGAAACTTCTTAATCTCATCTGCCCACCTAACCTTCTGTCTCCCCCTAACCCGCTTGCCTAAGCATGCGGGTTAGGGGTTAAGGATGTCATAGTTGAAATCAAGAAGAAGAAAAGAACATGGGTCGGACATGTAGCGCGTAGACAGGATAACCGCTGCATGGTTATCCTGTCTACGCAACTGACTGAGAGCAACTGACTGGATTTGCAGAGAAGGCGAATATAATACGCTTTAATTCATGTCGCCTGATCTTTATGACCCCCCCCCCCCCCTTTAAAAAGATCACAGATATCCCCGGAGTGAATGATGATGAGTGGTACGAAGCGTCCGTTAGTGTGTTCGTCCATGCATGCATCCGTCCGTCCGTCCGTCTGTCTGATTGCCCGTTCATGCGCGCATCCGTCCGCACGTTCAATCGTCCGTCCGTATTATTGCACACATGGATGGATGGATTGGATTAATATGGCTGTACACTTTAAATCGGGTGGTGGCTAACGCAACCTAGCCGTAATGTTTAGTCAACCAAAAACTAGATTTATCTTTTTCTCCTTTAAATAGTGAAGTTGAGGACTCGTACACACTTCTATTGGACCAACGCAATCTAGGAAATGAGACGAGAAATGGTGATGAGACAGCGCCATCTATTATATTGTTTGGGAGGTACTGCCAGTTACGCGTGACGCAGGACCAGGTTACATTAAGAGGAGCTACGCCCATAGAAAGCAATTGGTTAGCTATACACTAGAGTGCGAAGACTGGAAACAGCAGAGCTCGTGGCCTATTCTTTTCACTAATTCTTACTTCCGTTGCCAATACACTTGGGTATGCTATGCCTCACATTAGACGTCCTAATCAGATTTTCACCTTCCACCCTCTCGCTATTCTGTAGTAAATGCTATACTATACTATATACTATACTTAAATAGCTTGTTTGTGACGTCATGAACGCAGCTTGTGAACGCAGGGGCTCTCCATGATGGCGGCTTCGATGACACGCAAGTTGTGGTTAACCAGCTTCAATGTGATACTGAATGTAACGTTTCGATAACATTTACGTGGCATCGCAAACTTCGCTCCCACCAATGCTGGCGGTCCAACAGTGACGCCAATTCAAAGCCACCTACACACGTACGCTGTGCGATATGCTTTCTCTCTATTATTTCCAACTGTTCTCTTTATCTTTTGTTCTCTCTCAACCGTTTATTTCTATATTCTCTTTTTATCATCCTTAGTCTTCCTTTTTCTCGCGCTTGTTCTCATACAGTGCCTGGACAGCCGTGCGGTTACGACGCTTGCCTGCGGACGGCATACGTATACGCGAATTCCAATTCTGCCTCGTCATTCGTCGTCTTCTATTCCTCTCTTCCACACCTCGCCTCACCTCGCCTCAGCACAGTCTTACGTCTCGCACCTGCCGCACTCGGCAGTGTTCATGGCAGCTATTGATATGTGGGGTTTAACGTCCCAAAACCACCATATGATTATGAGAGACGCCGTAGTGGAGGGCTCCGGAAATTTCGACCACCTGGGGGCCATGGCAGCAAGCCGCACGAAAAAACAAGATAGACAGGCTGGCATGGAAGAGAAGGCGAGAACAAGCGCTGCCGCGTTCTTGCTGCGTAACCGTCCTGTTTTTTTTTTTTTCGCACTGCTTGCTGTTCATGCCAACTCAGATTCATGCCAACTCTGATCAGAAGTGTGTCTTAATTATATTAATTAAAACCAGAATGTTATGAAGTCAAGGAAAGTAAGTCAAGTGAAGGAGTAAGTCAAGGAAAGCGCCCGTGGTGTCTAAATTTGTTTCTTTCTGTGTGTGGTTGTTCTTTCGGCGCGACGTTGAATATTTAACCAAGACATGCACCAACTAGCCCAACAGCGAGTTCTACTAGAATAAGTGCCGTTAATTGCACCGTTTCAAATGTATTGTAGCAACTGCATTACGGATGTGAATAAGGGAGTGATCGAACCTACAACGCACGATGCTCTCACCCAATTCCGGTGGCGCATACCCATCCGAATTTCCGGGCACGATTCGCATAGCTAACGGGTATACGCTGCCAAAAAGAACCGCCAGCACTTCCTCGCTTGAATAGCAGACAGACTAAACATGGAGCATGGTCTCCAAGATAGCGGGCGCGTGTTGTGAACCCGCCGCGTGCCCGCGATCTCGGAGGCTATGGAAAAGAGAGAAAGAGTCACGTACCCGCCGCCGATGAGGACCATGTTCTGGTTGGCGGACATGAACAGCTTGGCGGAGTGCGGCACGTCGCGCACCGCCCCGACGCCGATCCAGGCGAAACGCCTTGCCTCCGGCGTGAAGGTGAAGAGGAAGGTCTCGCCGGTGCCGAAGTAGGCCTGCTTGCGCTCCATCCAGCGGGTGGAGCAGTAGGCGCCGAAGCACTCGCCCCGCGTCGTCAGCACCACCAGCACCGTGGGCTCCCAGGTGTCCGTGTGCCCGTAGAAGTTGGTCAGGCTGCTGCCGTGCTCGTTGGTCGAGTAGATCAGCTCGGGCTGCAGCGTCGTGATGCGTGGCGGCAGCCAGTTCCACAGGACGAACATCTGCGTCGAGACCAGGAAAAATACGGGGTTTGAACGCCCCGAACCACTCCACTGGCTACTCCATTGCATTGACCGTGAACTCTTGCCTCGCGGCCGTCATGAAACTTCTTGTACGCCACCCGAGTGATTCCATCAGTCTTTGTAACAGTGGGGGATTTTAGCTTTTACGTGACCCTTCATGTGTCCGCCTCCGTTCGAGGCACGGAGGCGCGCACAACGCTCCCTAGTTCTATACTACGTTACGTTACCGTACTACCAGATACCGGAAGAAATCTGCGCATGCTCAGGCCTTTCCGCAGAACGTATGAGCTCTACGCTATACGTAAATACCCGCCCGATAGGCTTTATATTTGTGGCCCTATCTCGTAAATCTACCTTCGTTCGTGGGTACTCGCAACATCCGTTTTGCGGAGACAAATAAGCCGACGTGCGATCGATCACCCAGCTTGTTTCAGACACATTGTTGAAGCTAGAGTGACCTAATACCGATGCCGTAAATTTTCTACCTCTCCTCTTTCTTTCTCTGTCTCTTTCCGTGCATCTTGTGCCGCTACCATGCATGTTCCGTATAAGCAACGGGATGGTGTGTTTTCCTTCGACACTATTCTGAAAAGATTTCGTGTACGACGCGAATGGTGTAGTTTATTCCGGAACTATAATGCAGCCACTAAAGATAATGCTGGAATCCAATTCTGCATGTTTAAATGCCCACGCGACTTACCTGCCGATCAATTTTCTCGACAACGGGCGCCTGCGAGCATCAATATCATTGAGCCCCGAGTCTCATTCTTTTTCTAAGTTACCAGTTCACCCGATGAAGATTTTCATCTCTACCATCTTGAGTAATTGCTCTATCCGCCTCGATGGTCTATAGTGGTTAACTTATGACGCTGGACTGCTGATCCGAAGGTCATGGTATCGAACCCCGGCCGCATTTCCGGTAGACGTGAAAATGCTTGGGGCTGCAAGTACTTTCAAAAAGTCGAAATTTCCAGAGCCCTCCACTGCGGCGTTTTGCATAATCAGGGGCCTAGCCCAGGGGGGTGGCACACTGGGCTTGCGCCTCCTCGAAATTTTTTTTTCGATGTGACATGGCATAGAGAGCTGGAAACGATCATTTAGAAGGGCCAGAAGTCGAGGAGATGGCCCTGCGAAAATAATTTCTGGCTACGGCCCGGCTCATAATCATATCGTAGTTCTGTTTCGTTAAAGCCAGTTCATCATCACCAACATCATCACCATTATTATTATTATTATTATTATTATTATTATTATTATTATTATTATTAGTATTAGTATTTAACGTTTGATTTCTTCGCCGTCATGGACACCTTGCAATACACTATAACTGTACGTGGACTTCTACTACAACTTCATGCGGTATAACAAGCGAGTATATATCGCACTTAACGCATTCCGAACGGGGGTGCTATTCTGGACACTGTCAAATTCCCGCCATATTGTCAAATTTCGTAACGGCGGCATTCCAAGACCAATCAGAGAGGTCGTAGCAGCTCACTTTGGCCAATCAGCATCAACCAATGGCGGAATCTGACAATACGGCGGGAATTCGACAATGTCCAGAACAGCACCCCGGGTCGTCGTCGAGCACCTGTTCGCGGCTGAGAATCTCCGAGCGGAAGTCGGCGAGCTGCGGCGCGCCGGCCACCAGGAGGCAGGGCGAGCCGAAGCGGCTCCTCTTGACGCGCAGTACGGACGAGCTGACCTCGAGTCGGTCGTTCATGATGCCGGTGTCGGGACACGGCGAGCCGACCAGTCGCTTGCCCGCGTGCGACCTCACGTACGCCTCGGACTTGAGCAGCTGATCGTTGAGCACCTTCGCGCTGACACCCTGCGCGCGCGTGTGGCATCAGGCCCTAAGATTTTGTTTTTTGTTGTTGAGCCGTTTTTGCATTCGCGGATGGCTTGGTGTGGCGGTGAGTGCGTTCTAGTTCTGCCTATAATCTAAAAAAAAAAACGAGCTTTGAGCCAAAGGTAGTGGAACGCCCCACCGCGTTTGTCTAGTGGCTATAGGGTACTCGGCTACTGACCCGCAATGTCGCGGGATCAAATCCCGGCTGCGGCGGCTGCGTTTTCGATGGAGGCGAAAATGCAGTAGGTAGGTAGGTATAAACTTTATTTTTCCTTTGTAAAGGAAAGGTGCAATGGAAGAGAGATGAGGAGAGATTGCTACGCTCGATAGTCCTCCGCAACCCTCTCTGCCCAACCCAGGATGGCCTCCTGGACGTCGGGTTTCAAGCTGCGCATGGCAGCCTCCCACTGCTCCTCATTACTAATTAGTTTTCGAAGGGACGGTGGAGGGGGTGCTTAGGGCACCCCCACATGATATGATTAAGATTTGCTTTCTGTGCGGGGCAATATTTACAGGAGGAGGACGGGTAAAGAGAAGGGTACATGAGGTGAAGAATGTAAGGAGAAGGAAAGGTGTGAGTCTGCAGCTGTCGCCACAGTACTTCGCGCCTTCGTATGGATTTCGACGTTAGCGGCGGTAAGGATAAACGACCAAGGCGGTAGTGACTACAGATGTCGTGAAATGTTAAAAGGCGATCCCGCGCAGCAAACGGTGCCGTTGTAGGCCTGTGTGCTCAGATTTGGGTGGACGTCAAAGAACACCAGATGGTCGAAATTTCCGGAGCCCTTCACTACGGCGTATCTCCTATATATGGTGGATGTTGGACGTTATACCCCAGATATTATTACAATTATTATTAAGAGCAGTGGTACGCTTCTCGAATGATCTGGAAGACGTCCTGGTCACAATGACGCGCTTCGAAGCTGAAAACCACGTTGCAAAGACGCAGTGGGATTTGAGAGCTCGCGCGCACCTGTATGCCGTAGGCCGTCCTGAGGAAGTAGTCCACATTGTACGGCATGTCCCTGAGGTACACTATGACCCGGTCCAAGAAGGCGCCGGCCACGTCCATCCCGCCTTCGCCGGAGGGTCCTGGAGCTGCGGCGACGATGCAGACATCCAATGCGTTTTGGTTACACTGTGACATGCCTTTATATATACTGCAGCAGGTTGTAATGTGCGTGCGTAGAGTTTCCCATCTGGGGAGGGGCGGGAAGGCTTATCACAGTGCCTCCTCCGCTCCCTACTGAGTAGATCTATGGGGTAGATTTCGCAACCCCTTCGCGAAGGACTATAGGGGGGGGGGGGTAAGCGGCTCTCTCCTGCCCCCCCCCCCCTTTTTCCCCTACCCTTCCGCATGCTTAGGTTGGTGGAGATTGCTCGCGGGACGAAATTGAAAGTTAGCGCTGTGTTGTGTCTATGTGCCTTCTCTTGTCCGTGTTCGTTGTCTGCGCTACCATCCATCATCATGAAATTGAACAGATTCATCAGAATCGGAAAACGTCAATTCTTTCGTTTAACCATTTAGGTTGCTTCTTTCTATCTTTGTTATATTATGAACACTACTGGCGTAGTGAGGGTGTTCGGTATTTATAATTTAACAATTTCATAATGTACAGCTGTCTGTTGGAATCCTCAAATCAGTTTTGCATGTATAACACGGACAACGCACGCGCGAACACATTCGTTACGCACAGTCATTTCGTTATCGCTTCGGTACAACACCTGCATGATTGTCCGTAGAGCGGTTCGAAGTCCCACCTTTGCTTCTGCTCCTCCTTCTGAAAAGTCTGGTGAACATCGACTCGTTGGGATATTCTTCTGAAAGAGAAAGAATAGAAAATCACGGCGTATCCGCAAAGTCAATGATGATGAGTTGGCGAAGCAGTGGGATGGTTTGCACGTTACCGTAGTTCACCCACGACATTGACCACGCATGCATGTAAATGAGAGACAAAGTGGTGTACAGGTGTATGAACTGCCCATTGGTCATAACGGGTACGTTGTGTCGAGCTGTGAATTTCATTTCGCCTTCTTCATTACTGCTCTGGGGTATCGTATCTGGCCTGAAGTTGCCCTGAAGGACTGTGCACGTTCCCCAGGGTGTTGTTGGTTTTTTCCAGTCGTACATCGCAATGCATATCGAGACGTCACACACTGCTCAAGCCAGTCATTATCCGTTATCACAATTATCATCTTCATTGTCAATCACTGCTACGGCACACACCAGTGCCTCCAACGGACAAGCCTTGATATTGAGGAGCTCAATTCGTCCCTAAAAAGAATTCGAGTCATCGAGAGAGAAAGAGAGAGAGAGAATAAACTTTAGCTCTGGAGCTGTTCTGCCAAGCGCTGTTCCGCAGAACGCTTGTGGATGGGTCCTCAGTCCAGGACTCCTGCGGTCTTTGCTGCCCGTCTGGCACGTTCAACCAGCCAGGTCTGGTCGTCCGCTTCCCGGCTGGACAGCGCAGTCTCACACTGCTCCGGCGTGGTGTTGCGTGAGGCGCCGCTTTGCGAACATTAACTCGGACCGCATATAGTATCGTGCCCCATTGGTAAGCATTAGCTGCGTGACCTCTTTCCTAGAAGACCGCCTCATGGACAAAAATACGCAGGCATAGACAGTTTGCGCAGGTTGTCGATCACGTACTTTCTCGGCGCACTGTCACTCCAGCGTGCAGCTAAAGATGCATGAGATCACATGATTCAATGCCACAGCCAAAATTCAGTCATTGCGATGTCATTGAAGCGCTGCATGCGTGTGTGCCATAATTTATCACTAATCTAAACGTTCCCGGATGACGCCTTTTGTTGTCAAATTGACCTTTATTTATCAGCTCTGGCCCATATGGCTGCGTGTTCTCGCAGGATCGAAATGCCGCCTCAGTGCATCCTGAATTCGACGATGGGGCGAAATTCGTCAGCGCACCTTGTGGATCCCGAGCGCAACAAACGTAGAAGTCTGGCACATTATTGTTGGAACCTCTAGTCGGTTTCACTTTCTACCACTACACACAGAATTTGACCGATAGGGCAGAAACTCCGCTGTGTCCAGAACATCACCCCAGGGGATCCCGAGCACAACGGATGCAGTACATTCTCTTACTGGGTCTCCATCATGGCGGACACCTTCGTCCTTTAAAGTGGGAGTCAAGTTATGACGTAACTACTATCCATCTATCTATATATGGACGCAGGACTCACTCGAGTGGTCCTGGACGAACAGGATGAGGATGGCCATGGCAGCGCGGTAGAGTGCCCTCACTCCCTCGATTAGAAAACAGTCCATGGTGCGCACCTGAAGAACCAACCGACAATCCTTGTGGCACTACAGCTCCAACCAACTTCTTAAAGGGGTGCTGACACAAAAACTTTGGCCTCGCGATTTTCTGCCGCAATGCGTTGATGGGGGCCTGTTAGTCATGACACGACACATCGTTTGCTGCAGCACGCGACAGATAAATGAGCACAGGCCCCTCATTATCAACGAGTTTCAGTTTCGGTTTGAGAGAGTTCCAAAAACTGGGTGCCACTGTCGCCACCTAGCGTGTGCAACTCTTGATCACGTCAGCACGCAGAACCGTGACGCACTTCCGCACGGTCCGCATCAAGAATTACCTTCGAATAGGAAACGAGACTGTAATGTCGCCAAACACAAAAGTTTCTACGCGTGCGAAACGGCCACGAACTTGCAACCAGCCGCCGAGAAATATAGACTTCGGGGACTAATGCGGCAAAATAAAAATGGCGGCTATGACGTCATCATTACTTGTTTTGTTGACCGCAGCATAAGGACGTGATGAAGTAGGGGGTCACCTCGGGGTCACCTCCGAGGGTGTCTATAGCGCTATGGAGTCGGTCGCTCACGCAAACTTCTAAATTAATTTAAGATACCTCCCAAGCTATATTCGCTGTTGATATCTTGCAGATGATATACGAATGTTCACAAGAATCGACCCCGCAGGCTATCTCGGCCCCGAAAGTTTGTGTCAGTAGCCCTTTAAGCTGTACAACGCATTTTGTCCCAAGGTCATTCATCGCGTCGCTATGACCTTGAGCCGCCAGAGTGCAGGCGCAACGTCACGCCACGTTATCCGCTACGGAGAGGTACGTCATGCCTGTAATTTAGTTTTGGCGTAAATAGTTAGTGCATGAATCTACAGCGAATTCTAGGAGGTTAGGACGAGTTTGATAATGCTCGTTCTCACTCGTTCCTTTCGCTACAAGTTCCGTTGGTCGGCACGTCTATCCGCCCCTCCGAGTGCTCATATTCGCCGTGCTAGTAGGGAAAAAAAAAGCTGTGAATGCGCCAACATCGCGGTTAACTATACGTTTTCAAGATTCTAGCCAATTTCTTAGTTCATATTCGCTTCTCTTGATCTCATGATTGCTACACTTCAATTAAACACTGCAATCAGCCTCGCCCCTGTTTTTTCTTGGTTTCGTTATCTGTCGTTTTCACGTACCATGCGAAGCAAGAAAACGTGTACCTGCATGTCTGCGCATAACTCTGTTCCTATCTTACTGAAGTATCGTTGGAGCAAATAGCTTTCTAGAAGCGTTCGGCTACACTAGAACAAGGCCCCGCCGCGGTGTTCTAGTGGCTAAGGTACTCGGCTTCTGACCCGCAGGTCGCGGGATCGAATCCCGGCTGCGGCGGCTGCATTCCTGATGGAGGCAGAAATGTTGTAGGCCCGTGTGCTCAGATTTGGGTGCACGTTAGAGGACCCCAGGTGGTCTAAATTACCGGAACCCTCCATTACGGCGTCTCTCATAATCATATGGTGGCTTTGGGACGTTAAACCCCACATATCAATCAATCAAATACACTATAAAAAGAGCGCATAAAAGGGGCATTTCCACACAACAATATCAATCAATAAGGCTTGTTTGCGTTTCTTTTCTTTAGAAAATCGGTGCTTGACCTATTCTCAAGGAGGTTGCTACGCCAAAATGATAACGCGCATATTGTTCGTGTCTTAGAAAAACTGACTGTTCAGCGATAATTACAGGTAAGGCATGCTCTGTATAGGTCTGTGTTTTTGGTTAAATAAAGAAAATCTTATAAACACTCTACGGTAAAATTTGTGACCCTTCAGATTTATTCGATAAATTCAAGCTGAACGGATCTTCTGGCAGTGCTTGGACGCGCCAGAAGTTTACTCAAATAAATGCCAAATTTACGCAAAAAAAAACAAATAACGCTCCTTAAAACACCCTCGCAATTTCAAGAAAAGCAAACTCCAAAAACACGGAGCCCTAAATATGGCGATCATTGTGGTACAAAAAATACCCTTCTTACTCTACTTTTTAGAGTGTATATTCTCTTACACCATCCATCAACGTCGAAGAATTCTGCAGCACAATATCATTCTCTTTTTTTTTCGTGCTCGGTCGTTGTCGTCTGTTCACGTACCAGGTGGTAGAAGGGCAATCCGCGGAAGATCCACAGCTGCCACGTCAGAAATATCTTCTCCAGGTCCTCCTCCTGCTGTATCTTGCGCAGTAGCTTGTTGTACGTCTTCTTCTGTGCATGCGGTAAACAAAGACGGCAGAGTTGGGTGCACCCGTAAAACAAAAGAAGCCATATGCCATTCGTATAGGCGCTTTTGTTCTCCCTGGATATGTGCCTGTAACCGGTCACTGAACGCACGCGATGCAAGAGTTATTCCATGCATTATGGCAACGTCGCATCTTCCCGCTAGAAAAAACCTGCACGTCCACCACCGTTGAACAGTACTTGAGCATGTGCATGAACGCTTCAGAGATGTCATAAATGAAGGGAAAAAGAATTAGGGGACTTTAAAGCTTCGTCCTTTAGAGTTGAACGCGATAGCGATGTCCTGTTCCTAGTGCGTACTCCGAACACTCAGTGCATGAAACTTTTTCGAACTTGTTATGCATCCACTACTTGGGGGAATAGGCGCAGTAGCTGTGTGCCTTTTTAGGGGCGAAGCTCCTTAAGGTGTGGGCTGTGCGTCCCCTGTATGTAGCCACCTCTCGTTTAGTTCTTGCAGTGTCCACTAGATGGCGGTACTTGTAGCTTAAGGTGAATAGATATAAACTAGACGGCGGTACTTGTAGTTGATGATGAAAGATGCGAGATGTTATAAAATAGGAATGATGTCACATGTGGCGCGTGTCATTGGTGGAAGGCAATCGTTGGATTCAGTGCGGCGACGTACGCTAGGGAGAGCGTTGTAATAAAATCGAGCGGGCGAAATGTACGGAGGATTCATGGTTTACCAGGTTTACCTCCGGAGCTTCGCCCACTCATTATCATTCACTCCGTGGATATGGCGGCACTTTTTTTTTTGTTTAATCGTGTTCTGGTGTCCTCTGCTCAATGGACGCATGTACTACGCATTTATGCTGCAATAATTCATGTTGTCTTGTGAAGGATGTATACAGGACGCGTATGTTTGTAAAACATGAAATTTACTTTCACTGCATTTTCAGAGGAAGTTATTTTCACTGTATTCAGAATATACGCGTGGTTGTGTAGCAGAACACCAGCTTGCCACACAAACGGCCGGGGTTCAATTCCCACTTGGACCCAAACGACACGAGTTTGATTCCCACTCGGCCCCACAATTTTGTTTTAAAAAGCTTATTTGCATCGTTCTCGGGTTTTCAGTCACGCATAGGATGGTGATTTTTTTTTTTTTTTGCTCACAACGAACGAAGCCGACGCCGCATTTTCCGCGAACCGAGCTCTTTAACGCTATCGCGTTTAAAACGACTAAGGTAGCGTAACGTATGCAATTCGGCCTGCCCCGGCAAGCCAACCTTTTCTGACGCCACCCTTCCCGATCCACACGTGGTGCCTCCTGGGTAGGACAACGCAACCACAGCAGACGCAACCAAAGTGAGCCGGCCAATAGAAGCTCTTGCCGATCACGTGACCAGTGTTTCTAATTTCTTCTAATTCATGACTATATGATTTAAGATCGCCACGTGGTGCTCCCTCCTAAGTTGTTTTTTCTTCCTCTATGTTGGTTTCCATCTCGGACTTAATCGTAAAATCGAACCATTTTGTCCAATTCTGTAATAGTGGAATTTCGAGCCATTCGCAGAGCATATGCAAGCCTTTCTCCGTGGGCCAGTCAGAGGTGCGCGTATTTGTGGTGTCACATACGTAGCTCCGACGCGTTATGACGCGTTATGTGATCGCCGTCACTACTGGCGTCACCCTTGAAACGTGGTATCAACAAGTGACTATACTTAGCTCATTTGCTATAACAAGATTTCAATTCATTTTTTTTGCGTAGTCAAGACCCTGGTAAAGCATGCCTGAACAAGGTACGAAACAAACAAGTGCTAAGAACGGGACGTAGATAAAGCGGCACACATGACGGGCACATGACATGGTACGTGTGTACCTCTTGCTTAAGGAACTGGACATAAGAGGCACACATCTGTTCTAGGCCGAAACAAACTTGCCAAAACACATCTCTTGCTACACCTCTATACATTGCATGCACACATCTGTCCTACTCTGTGCCGAAGCAAACTTGCCAAAACACATGTGTTGCTACAGCTTTATACATTGTATATATGCACACATATGTTCTTTTCCTGTGCTGAAACAAACTTGCAAAACACATCTCTTGCTACACCTCTTTAAATTGCATGCACACATCTGTTCTTTCCTGTGCTGAAACAAATTTGCAAAACACATCTATTGCTACACCTCTATACATTGCAGGCACACATGTGTCCTACTCTGTGCCGAAACAAACTTTCCCGAACAAATGTCTCGCTACACCTCTATACATTGTATACAGCTCGAAGTCCACATGTAATGAATTTTCGTTATATCAGTAGAACGCTATAGCGAAAGAGGTATGGCTCCACGTACCGCTAGGCTCTTGGTCAGCTTCATGAGCGTATGGGCCGACGTGTCGTACATGAGCCGCGTTTGGCTCAAGGTGACGCACGACGGTGCCTTCAACGAGAGCGCATGCGCACTCGTATGTCTGCGCAACGAGAGTGAAGAAGAAAAAGGGAGGGCACTGCTTCAGTGTTATGTTTGCGTTTCAAGGTGTACGTCTTGATTCAGGGTCTCACTTAATGAACCGCTATAAGGCGCGACACTGTAACGGTGCCCTTAATGTCACCGTTTGTTAGACACTCGGCTTCAGCGGGAACACTATTTTCTTGGTTGCCTCATGAACACCCAGTACAACAGACTTAGTTCGGACTCAAGAGCTGGGGGAAGGGAGGTAGGGGGGAGCTAGGGCTCGGATTGCTCCTGAATTCGGATGAATCAGGGTGTTTTGCCGAGAATAACAAAAAATGGGGATTTTACGAAGCCTTCAACAAGTGCCCCTCCATCCCCATCCCGAAAAAAAAAATCCTGGCTACGGGCCTGCAGGAAAGGACGGGCCGAAAGAGCGTCGCCATTGCCCTACCAAATTGTCCTTGTTGCCTTTTCAATTAATGGCGAATCAGTCCCGAAGTGATGGAAGCTCCATGCCAACGACATGCCCGTATATCTATGGGAAGGGGGGGGGGGGGGAGGGTGCGAACGCTAAGTTTCAGCGCGAGTTTCTGTCTAGTTCGGACATCTGTGTCGGTCCTGTGGTCCAACTCGAACCTCTCTGCGCCGAGAATCAACATAGCATCACATATCTAGAGCCTAACAACCTAAAAGCAACCAGATTAGACTTCAGACTCCTTTAGCTTCACTATTTCAAGCCCTGCGTGACTTAGTTTAAGCTTAGCCATTGTTGTCTTACTTTATAACTGAATGTGAAAAATGAGTGTTTACTTGGAGGGTGTGAAAACAGACCTGTTCCTCGGTGAGGTAGTGTAGGAGCAGGCAGACGAGCGGGTGCAGGATGGGGCAGTAGGTGATGAAAGGGTAGTTGACCGACGCCACGTACAGCACCCGCTCTGCGCGTCGCTGCCCTTCGTCCGAGAGCAAGTAGTCTTCGCCGAAGATGGGGTCCGTGAAGGCCGGCATACTGATGGGACACAGGCCGTCCAGCGACTCCTTGACCGTTCTCTCGTAGAAGCCTTCGGGAATCGCCATCTTGACGTGTCCCTGGCACAGTCTGAGCCACAGATAACCCCTGTGCAAGTGGTCGATGGGCCAGTGCTGCGTCCGCACTATGGCCTTCGCCTGTGTGTAGGAAGCCGGACAATGCCACGTCAGTAATAATAGCGAGTCGGGGGATCATTGACCGCCGTACATTGCCCACTCAGTCATGCAAAGACGTGACAACACGTGTGGAGAGTATATAAAAATTACTTATTAATCACATTGCGATGTCCTGTTGAGATGTCCATATCCATGGCGTGTCATGCCGACAGACAGAGGACATGGCCTCGACCCTAAGCTTCGCCCCTAAAACTATGTGTGACTTTTGCAGTGCCCGGCTGCATTATTATTATTATTATTATTATTATTATTATTATTATTATTATTATTATTATTATTATTATTATTATTATTATTATTATTATTATTATTATTATTATTATTATTATTATTATTATTATTAATATTATTCATAACGCAAGTTACGGTACCTTTTTGGTGTAATAGGATACCCCCCCCCCCCACTCAGAAGATTGAATTTCCGATTTCGGCAACTAAAGATCCACTGCACTCTGAAGAACAGACCTGTAGAAGTGCGATGAATGCTGTGCCAAAGTGTGCCGTGCGCCCTCTGGTGTAAGCAGCACGCGCTCATAAAACTTCGTTTTTTTTTCGAATGGCATTTTGTATGAATTTTTCAACCTCAATGTACTTTTTATAAAGAAGTATTATTAGATCGATTTCGATGAAACTTCGCATGCGTAAGCTTGGAAACAATCTGACGTGCCCCGTGCGCATACCACTGCCCATCAATCTTCATTTTTTGTGCAAACATCAACAGAATGGAACGATCTTCCTGCTGACATCGTGCACCACTGCAGCAATTTTATTTAGTTTCGCAATAACTCCATAAAGTGTGCCATTTTTTTTAGTTCAGATGTAACCCATGAGTATCTACTATAACACGTTCGAATATCATTGCATTTCTTTCGGTGGTTGTTGAGAAAATGTACAATGAATAAGTGAACCCTCTTTAAAATTTGGGAGTGGCCCATAGAAAGGACAGGTAATCTAGAAAGAAAAAAAGGGTGTCACGGGATTACCATTGAAATTCTTTGTGAGCCCGTGAAATTTTATGTGAACACTTGCATAAGTTTTTAAATATTAGGTAAAAACTGACATATAACATTTACCCCACCATACCTCATTTACTTACGGTGCTATAGTTACGGTTTCGCAACCTCAACTGACCTCCTTGATCTTGCCCTGCTGGATGAACCGGAAGACGTCATCGTACGCCTTTGTGACGGGCGTCGGAGATGAGGGGATGGGCTTCATCAGCTTGGTCGAGTCGACAAACTCCGCTTGGAAGCAGCTGGGAAGCGTCATCTTTCGTCGTCACCCGCTACAGCCGAGTCTGAAGGGATGTGTTGCAGTGAGAAAAAAAAAGAAAGAATAAATGACAATGATGACCGCAACAACGACAACGATAAGCCTTTTACCTAATCCTGCCGCCCGGTTCTTGGCCGATCCCTTTTTGTGGGTGTGCCAGAGTAACAAGGATCATCATCATCATCATCATCACCAATAGCACGAGCTTTACGCCCCAAAACCGTGATATGGTAATGAGGACGAGGTATCTGGAGAACTTGAAATTTTAACCACCTGGTGTTCTCTAACGTGCTCTCGGCCTCTGTATACCCATTCGCTTATTGGAACATGGACACGCACAGTCACCCAGGGGCCTAGCCTGGGGTTGGAGAAGTGGCATACCGGGCCCTTGCCCTCGCCCCCCCCCCCCCGAAATGTTTTTCTCCATGGCTAAAGGGGGGGAAATGACCATTTTAAAAGGATGCCCTCAACGAATTCAAAAAGGTGCTCCCCCCACCCTCCCCCCGAAAAAAAATTCTGCTGGCTATGCCCTTGCAGTCAACCCTTCCTAGGCACGGCGGCGTGCTCCCGACCGGGCTGCAGAAATTATGTGCCTTTCTCCTCTTCTAACCACCACCACCTCTTCGGCCGTACGTGGAAGGAGGCTGGTAGGCCTAAAGCCTCCTTATAGGTCTGTGGTTCGGTAACCGAGTCGACGGAACCCGAAACGATTGGCTCACCTTGTAACGGCAATGTCGTCTGACCAGCGGTGCGGCCACGTAGGGGTGAGGTCCGCAGAACGAATCCAGGCGCGTCGTTGGACTGGGGAGACCGTGTCGACCGACCCCAACGGACGCGTCGACGCGTGGTCGTTGGTCCGAGCCGTCGAGTGAAGGACGGGACGTCGCCAGAGGGCCGTCGGGTTGCGGCGAAGGATTCCTTTGAGGTTGTCGCGACGTCGTCGAGGACAGCGCTGCTCGATTGCGACGCGCGCAGAGAACAAGTTCTTCTTCGATTAGCACGAGTGCGCGAGACGTGCGACTGTCCCGATGTCTTGCTCCTCTTCTTCTGAGAGCGCGCTCCGTGCTGTACCTTGTCTTGTCTTGTCGCCTAGGATATCTTGGCTCATACCCACACGGGGGATTGGCCACACTGTACCTCATAACAGATAATTTTTTACAACGCTTGCTAAAAAAAAAAGAAACAGAAATTAGATAGGAACAATAATAATGTTCCTTTTAAAAAACGTGTAAATGTGCAGAAGAATGCGATAAACCAGAATTATAAAACAAATTAACAAGAATGAGGAAGGGGGACAAAGAATTGAATATATCTGGCAGTACCACTAGCAGCGTATCCTTCCGGTTGCTGTACCTTGATTTTTGGCTCCTACCGACTAAGGGGGATTAGTCATGTAATACCTTGAAATGACGTGACATATGAAATAATTAATTAAATAATTAAATTATATATAAGTAATTAATGGGTAAACTGTATTTAAAACGAATCACCGACTCAGGAAGACCGACTGCAGGAAGACCGACTCTTCGAAAACTGGGCCTGGCGAACTATCAGAACGTGTTCTTTCTTTTGGGGCCACTGTACACTCTGGGGCACAGCCACAGGAATGTTTTTGTTTGCCATTCAGGACTTTATCACAGCTACTAAAATAATCTCTTGCTGAGTTCGGGGCGCATTACATAATTCATTACTAGTAATTGACACATAAAACAACTATTCATTAATTAATGAACTAGTCGACATAAGAATTACGTAAGGCTGCAATTGTGGCGAAAGTTCATATTTTTCTCGGCTTAGAAGGTCGAGAAGGAGGAGTCCGGCAGTTTCCTTCGGGTGAGGCGGGGGGGGGGGGGAAGGGATTAACCCCTGTCCCGTCCCACCTTCCGTCGATGATGATGGCGTTGCTTAAGGCGACGCCTCGAAGTCCTTGGACCATCTTCGGCTTGCCGGACAAGAACTTTCTTTATTCAGGTCCTGAACAGATGACTTCATCTGTAACGGGACTCGTAAACCTAGAGCCACCGCACCATCGTGGGCCTCCTGGACGGTCTGAAGTTTTGTATGTCCTGTACTCTTGAGGGTGGGGGATTGCCAGGAGACCTCGCTTTGAGCTGAAGAGAAATATTGCTCGGGCTTAACGCCCACAAACAACGATATGGTTACCAGGGACGCTGTAGTGGAAGGCTCCGCAAATTTCAAGCACGTCCGGTTAGATGACGTGCTCATGTATACCAAGTAGACAGGGCCCTCAAGTCCGGGATTCGATCCCGCGACCTTCGGAACAGCGGTCGAGCACTGTAAACACTAGACCACCGTTGCGGGAGGTCGGACCATGAGACCGGTAGTTGACTCGCTCTCTGGATTTCGTGCCGACCGGTTGTGCCCCCGCGATCTCCGACGACAGCGCAGCTCTGGCCGACCGGCTCGCCCTACGCCATCTCCTGCCGCCGACAAGAGCTCTCGCTGAGTGGTGACCCGTCCTCGAACTCCTTCGACCGGGTCCATCTTTTCTATCTCCTCTTTACTTCCGTCGTTTTCTGTCGTTCGCTGTCCCTGGTCCTCGCTCTCTCCTTCCTCTCTCTATCTCTATACATTTAATCCTATCCTTTTAATCCCTCCTTACCCTCACCCCTCTTGAGCTACTGTGGTGTCCTTTCCCTGAGACCGTTACAGGGGCTCACTTTTCTCTTCTTTTCTCTTTAAGAATCACATAAGAGAACCGGTAGTTAATGCAAGGAATAGATCGTTGGCATAGGGTATAAACCAACTAAAGAATTACTTTAAAATTACTAAAACTACTGGGAACTACTTAGAATTACTAAAGAAATACAATGAGATTGATTACAATCATCCAGTGAATGGAATTTCGGAAAACCAAGTTTCGATTGTGAATAATATAAACAAGACATTATGCTCAGTGCCTCGATGATAATCGCATTTTTGGTTGTTCCTTCGTAAACGGGTGCCACCCACAGCGGAGGATCGGCCACTGAAACGGGAGTTGCGTTGTTCGACAAATAAAATTGTTTATCTTCTAAATGTGTTGAGAAATAAGCACTTCCCGAAATAAAAATTTAGAAAATAATAAACCGATATGGGTTGAAAAATTAGCTGAATTTGTGTTCGTTTTGTCTCACGTATATAGGAAGCAGTCTTTTTTTTATTGGTAAATAGTTTTCATGTTACAAAAAAAAATGATGCAGAGATATACACTCATTGCAGCAGGGTCATTCATTCCATCTTCTTCTTTTGAAGAAAGTAGCAGAACATGTAACTGCTATGCGGCAATAATGATGTGCCATTTTCTATGTTCCCAATTCATTCCATCGCAAATGGATAACCATTATGCGTGTTTTCAGTCGCCGCTGATTAACTCCGATCATATAATGTAATAAGATGTAGTAACACGTTACGGGTACAGGGGCCCCTGTCAGGTGTTGCTCGCCTTTAGCTCCTGTACCTTTCTTGAAAAAAGTATACATTATAGATGAAATGAAGGTTCATTCCTTCATTCTTGCTTAGCATTTTTTTTTGTTATTTTAAAGACGAACTCTCGTCGTTCGTCGAGCTCGGAACGAATAAACCCAAATTCTTACGTTCACGGCATCCTCGCGCAGCGAATTTCACCGACCGAACATTGCTATCTGTAATCTACTGCAGGGGGAGCTTAACGAGAGAGTTTTTCGAGGGTGGGGTGCTTCACTTCTATATACTTTATGTATGTCCGTGCGTGCGATTGAATATGTGCGTGTATACACGCAAGCGAAACTGCGATACTTTGGGGAGTAGGGGGTGGGGGGGGCTCCTTGAGTACGCCACTGATGAACTTGGATGTACCGAAAACCCTGTGCCATATGATATGGGGATGCGCACCTGACATCTTATGCAACCAAGCGAAAATCACAGTTCCCCTACGGCTACCCACAATCGCTGGGAGATTGGCCGAGATTCTGGGAGTTGTTCCTTATTTGTGTTAATGTGTGTGTGTTTTTTTATTTATTCTTTCTTTCCTCCGACCTTGCTTTCTCCATTTCCTCTTCGCAAAAAAGCAGCCAGGCGTTGTGCCCCTCTATGCGGCAGTTGCCAGCCTATTTCTCCCTAATTACTCTGTGTCTTCGGGTATTCTTTGTATCCAAATAAATAAATAAATAAATAAATAAATAAATAAATAAATAAATAAATAAATTGCAGCCCTAACTGGGTGCAGAGTTCTCCGTTTGAGAAGGAAGCAGAGGGGGGATGAAGTCCCGCTGCATGTTACGATAAGTGTGCTGTCCCCCCCCCCCCCCCCACCAGCGCACGTCTACGGTTGCAGTGTTTATTTATCACAAGGTCTTCTACAAATACACCTGTCGTACGAATTGAGGGGGAATTCATATGAAGATGAGCAGATTTTTCCATCTTTTTTTTAAAATACCGTTTCGAACAATAAGACGCTTATTTCTGCCTCCTCCTATAGCTTTCTTGAACGACTCTTACAAAACGAGCATGGTTAAGCGGCTGAGCTCAGGCTCTTCTATTACGCATTTCTCCGACGCACACCTGTGACCTCACCTTTAGCTTGGGCGTGAAATACCGTAACGAAGCACATGGTTAATTTGCACGGCCGACTGGACAGAAGGGAAAGAAAAGGAAAGAAATAAAATGATAAAAAAAAAACAAGGGCGAGGTTCAGCGAGCGTGGAACGACCGTGCGTATATATAGGACTTCCGCCGTACGCAACGACCACAAACAACGACGCGGCGCTGGCTGAATACCGCACACCATGACATCGTGATTCCGCTCTCTCGTCATCGCACGCACACACAACCACGGTTCCGCTACAGCGCTGCTAGAGCGGACGCCTTTCAATGAAACGACGGACTGCGGAGCAGGACGGCAGCAAAAAAAAAAAAAAAAAAACAGAAATAGCAGTAATAATAAATAGATAAACAGGGCCTGGCGAACGCATCGCCGGGTCCCACATGGTCCATACCACTCCGAAAACCGCTCCAACCAGCAACCAAAAATGGCGAGGGGAAAAGAGAGGAGAGACGACGATCAAGAAAGCTCGTATGCCAGCAGCGCAAAGAGTCGCGCCAAACTTTATTTTGCTCGCCAAGCGCACGAAGTAGAATAAGAACAAAAGATCACGCCAAGATAGCCAGCCAGTAAAAAGAGAGAGAGAGAGGGGCTGCCTCTCGTTTCAAGCAAGGTCGTTTCCAGTCCGGCGGTGGCCATTTTTTTTCGCTCCTCACCCACGAAACCGGACAGCGGCGTTATAGCGACGTCGTCGGGTGACGTCTATAGCAGCCCTGGCCGGTCGCTTTGTGGAAGAAGCTCGGCCGAGTTGCGTTTGTTTTCTGCAGTTTGTGTTCGCTCTGTACGCAAGAAAAGTTGCGTGTTCGTGTCGCGCGTGGCACGCGGCGAAACGAACCATGCACGTGGAGTTGACAAAGCGCAACAGGTGAGTTTTTTTGTTGTTGCGGATTTCTCCGAGCGGAACGACGCGGACGCTATAGCCGTGCTCAGGAGAGCGGCGCGATCTCGAAACGGCTCATAACAGTCGCAACGAAGTGCCAGCGTGCTCCAACACATATCTGCTGCATCTGAAGCTATTTGTGACCCGGTTAGCACCATCTGCTTCAGCTAAGGCTATAACACTATCAGATACAGCTTGAATTATGTGACAGCTATGGGTCCTTTCCTACTGTAGGTAAAACCATGTAACAGAAACTGCTAGCAGTGGTTTCTTTTACGTACAGTCCGCTTCAAAAGTTTATATATATAAAAGAAACCATGAATATTTTCCGCTGCCTCTGTGGCCAGCCTCGAATTTAGATAACCGCGGCCTCTTCTTTCGACCGAATACTCTCGCAAATTGTTGAAAAGTTCGAAGTTGTCGTCAAACCTACAGTGGTCTCTAAACTTCTGACGCCGACTGTACACATATCTACTAAAGTTGCCGCCCGCGATACGAAGTATGTCTGTGTGTTTGTATGCATGGAGATTTTTTTTTTTTCCCTCTACGTCTGTGTGCTGGAAAGTTGTATGTGGTGAGTGAGAGAAAAATAGAGAGTGTCGGGGTGCCCAGAATGTATATTTCGTTTTCGGTTTCAGAACAATGCATGCGCTATCTGTGGCGAAAACATGTTTCGGATGAAACCCAAATTTCTCGACGAACGTACAGAAAAAAAAAAACGAGCAGAAAAAGACATGCTTTCTGATGCACTGCGCTCTTTTACACGAAAGCGACAAAATCAAAGTATAACGTACGTCACAACAAATATTACGCCAGTGTTGACAAGCTCATATTGCTACTTTAACTTGTTAGCAAATTGTTGCCGTGCAAGCGGTCATGTATGGTCGATAACTATGCTTCGCATATGCGTACTGAAGTAAGTTGACCTATTCCTACCCTATTTGCGATCAACGTGTCGAGGAATAATTTATTATGACAGGGTGCCAGCTAAAGGTCATTCAGTCGCCCACGCTATGCTACGCTGTATTCACTTTGCTCTGGTATAGCCGCCCACAAATTTCTTTTTCTCTTTCGATTCAGAGCAATATACCGCATTCGATTCGGCTTCAGCCTTTTATAGCGGCTTGTAATCTCGGCTGCTTAGAAGAAGACGAAGCTGCGAGAATTCGGGAGCGTACAACATTTGTAAGGTTATTTTTTCTATTACCTCGATTACTCTACGATTGAGTAAGATTTTACAAGACCGCTTCAATTCTTGGCCAGTCCCCCCCCAGTGGGTATGAGCCAAAAGAGAAGGAGAAAAAAAAAAAGGAAAAACAAGGGAGCGCTGTTCCAGCGAGGCCATTCTGGGTTGCTTCATTTTACGGTACGATTATACGCTGTGCCAATTTTTTTTTTTTTGCGGTATCTAGAACTCGGCCTTATCTGCGCGTGTGATTACAATTAACAGAGCACGACACATATTTACCATGTACGCTATATATCGCCTTTCTGTTATCGCGATACTGAGCAGCGCGCAGGTGTATATATGTTGGGATCGCTAATGGAGTGGCAGTAAGCGTATAGAGGTTATCACCGGTCGCGATATGTGTGCGATATGCCAAAGCCATGCGCAGATTGAGCATTTCCTTCGAATGACGTGTCCTTCCTAAACCGGACAAGCTGCTACAGAGCTCTTATCAGATATGCGCTGCGCCCAGCAGCCTTTGGAAGTTCTTGTCGTTTGCGGTGTAAATAAAATGCATGGATTGCGCTGGCCGACAGGGAAAGTTTAGTGTGTTGCACCGCGTCGTATGCATGCGTCCTACCGGATTTCCTGCCCGCCGACGTTCGTGAGGCTGTTTCTGGTTTCTGAGAGTTTTGTGGCGTTTTACCGCTCGCAGGTGGAGGCGTGAGGCGCACAGCGGCGTCAGGTTGGACCCATGACCGACGAACGTGGTGAATTCGTCGAGTGGCGTTTTTGGCGCTTCCCGCCGCCCAACGCCAGCCACCAGCGTTTCGGCGACGAGATCGAGAAGTTCGCAGCGACCATCATTCCTTCGCGTGCTGCTGGAACTACGACCGTCGTCGCTCGAGCAGCCGTCGCCTGCGAAAAGCGAGACCGTGCGGCGCCAAAATGTAGTACGTCGTCGCCGCGGTGTTCGGTCTTCCTCGAGAAGCGACCGGCCGCCGTCACCGTGCAAGATGAAAACGGCAACAACCACCGAAATCCAGAAGAAAAGGCCGGCATTGCGCCGCCATCGGAGCCCGTCGCAACCTCCCCCGGAGCAGACGACGCCGTCAAAGCAGACGACTCCGCCGTCGTCACAACGGATTCGTTCCAGTCGAAGCGTAGCCACGGTGCGAGCCAACGGGACCCCGCGCCCGTGGTCTCGGTGGCCAGCCATTGGCGGAGGATCGTTAAGCCTGACCGCGTAGGTCGTCTGCTGCGCGTCGCCGCCTCGGCAGCAGGTGATGCGTCGGCCGCCGAAGGCGGCGGCTGCGATCATGATGACGCGCACGCAAGCGTCGCACCGTCAAGCCCTTTGAAAGCGGCAGCTACCGCGCCCGTAGGAGACGCCATGGGCAACAAGTCGAGCAGCAGCGGTAGCGCCGATAAGAGAGTCAAAGGCTCGAGCGACTGCTTGTCCGAGACGCCCAAAGGTAGTCCCGGGTTGTTTCGGTTGGGCCGCGACGTCGTTAGGGGTAAAGTACGCAGGACTCCGCAGCCGACGCGAAAGGCGGCGGCTCGGGAACACGACATCGCCGTAGCCTCGGGAAAATGTCAAGGCACCGAATCTCACGCGGTCGTTGCGAGTGCAAACGGCACTCCGAAGAAGAGGAGCGAGTCGAGTCCGGAGAGCTCGGTCTCGGGATCGTTGTACGTCGACACGGTGTCGCACCTGGCAGAGTCCGAAGACGGCATGGTTGTCGCCGGCGACGCGTCGACCCCCAGAACGGCGGCATCTCTCGAGGGCGCCGCGACGACTCCGCCGCAGCGGTCTCCGAGCAACGCGAGCGATACGACCGTGTTCGGAGAGGACGTCGCCGCGGACTTCGTGTTTCCACAACCGCAGACCCCGCCCTCGTCGGCGGCGCCTGTCGCCGCGAATGGCGCAGCGACCGCCGGCGGCAGCGGTCTACCGTCGTACAGGACCTCCGGTCTGCGCGTGCGTTCTCACAGTGAAGCCGACTCAACGACGCTTTCGTACACGCGCGCGCCGTCATGCACGAGTCTGGGTCGCGGCGACGCCAACAAGGCGGCCGTCGCCAGCGACGCATCGGTGGGCTACGCCGCGCCCACCTTCACGTTGACGCAGCACCGCAAGGTTGTGCTTCCCAAATTCTCGGCGCCGTCGAGCGCACTGTCTTCGGCTGCGGCCGCGGTCAGCGAAGAAAGTGGCGACGCCAAGCCCGGCAGTGGCCCAGTTTCCAGTGGTGGTGGTGGTGGACGTCGTCATTCGGCGTACGATGACGCTCCTCCTCTGGCCGGTAACGTGCTCCGTAAGGTCGCCTCCCTGACGCTGGAGCGAGCCGCCATCGAGGCCAAAGTGAACCGGCCCAAAGTGGTTCCCGAAAAGCTCGACTTCAGCATTTACGAAAAATTCGAAGGTACTTGCCCGTGCCTCTTCATTGGGCTTGTTTATCGTGCCTTATGTTTACAGCCTTCTGTGTGTGTCTATTTTTTAGCTAGAATGCATTTGAAGCGTGTGTACTAGTAGTGCTTTGGTTTTGGGCAAGTTGGTCTGACACCTGCAAAGTTAAACAGCACGAACGACGAGGCCGTAAGTCCTGTGTGTCCATGATATCGCATCCAAGTCCTTCGTATTGCTGAGAAAAAATCCTGAGTAAAAAAAAAAAAACTCCATAAAAATTTCGGAGGTGGGGCCCTTCTCTCTTGGCTACGGGCCTGCAAGCAAGGTATAGGGAACATTGCTTCTAGTCTTGTAATGGCATTGTAGTAGCAATAATAATGTGAAGAGGGGTGAAAGACTGCAACCTTCAGGTAGTGTGTCGGATGCTGTACAATTAATCTACAGTGTCCATCATCTTTTTGTCCACTTTATTGGGTATTTTCTGCGCATGTAAACCTGGGAGTGTCAGTCGGTACCACCCGCAGCCATAGATGTCAGACTCTGCCCAGGCGGCGCTGCGAAAAACGCCGCCACCAGCGCCCCCTTCGATGCGCCGGCCATAAATGGGTAGTACAAAGTGAGCCGTCCGCAAGCGAACGTGCATAGGCCCTCCTCTTTCGCTCACCTTGAGGCGCAGTTTCCTGAAAATCAAGGACCTGGCAAGGTTCTTACTTCAATTCAACCTCTCTTCAGAAAAGTATGCAGCTCATCAAAACAAACTGCGGGTACGATGTGAAAGATGTTTCAGTAAATTCGGCGTACTGCAACTGGCACGTACTTTAAGTGCAAGCGAGCATCGCATGACATCGAGTTACAGGCAAGTACTGCGACATTCGTTCTGTAATGCCTAAATGCGTTAAACTTGGGCATACACATGATGCCAAAGTGATGAAGTGTATAGATGAGCAATCTATTTTACGATCAGTGGTACGAAGTTCACTTTATTCGGCACGAATAGCCCTGGCGATTTTTGTCGTTGCAGTTGCATTCTCCTTCGATCTCTCGCTTCCAGTGCGTTGTCTCGCTTCCAGTGCGTTGAACTGTTTTATCATGCATGCTAGAATGTTCTGTTAACGGTTGTCATCCATTTGTATGTACTGCGAACAGGGATGCATGCATGTCCACTTTCTCGGTGTACAACAAAATGTAAAACCGAGGCCTCCGAGATAGCTCCGGCAATTGCGGAGACCAACGGCAAAAAAAAAAACTACTGTGGTCCCGATCATTTTGCGATTTACCTGTATGACGTGCCTGTTCGCATTTCATAGATGAAGCCAAAACTTAGAGCCTTGAAAGCCCTCAGGTGTAATGCTGTGGGGCTTCAGGTTATCAGCAGTCACGGCATGTGCGATGTTCATAGTCACCTGTCTACTGCTGCACGGTGCGCACCATGGTCAGAAGCTCCGTTAAGCTTCATAATCAAAGTTACTACGGTTCCTTTTGATATCAAAGCTATTCAAAACAATAACAGGAGCCCTTTGTTATCACACTTTCTCACGCGAACGGCTCTAGACAACGCGAGTGATTCGCTTACCCAACACAATCGCACATGTCCAGTGCTCTCGCCGTTCTGTTTCGCGAAAGCTGTGGAAAACAGTAAAACGAAGTCCTTAACGTCCGTAACAATTTACAACGCAACTGTAGCGTTGGCTGGTGTCTTTTTTCGTAGAGCGCGGAGCTGTTGCATCTGCTTTTGTTTTCGCCGTCGTTCTGGGGAGTGAACCAGCAAGCCCTTCACGGCGGTTCGGTGATGCACCTGACTAGCGGAGAAAAACTCGCAGCTCTTTTTCGGAACGTTCAATGCTAAATACACCTTACATTTAGCTCAATCACTTTTTTTTACGCTGCAGTTGCACCTAGGTTCGCGCAGCAAACTGTGCTAGATATTCGGGCTTTGCACTACTCAAAACTGCGTCGACAGGTGGGGCTGCCTGTCCGCAAAACTCCAGAGTCTGACGTCTATAGCTAGGAGCGGCACTGACTAACACTCCCAAAATTTAATTTTGATTCTCCTTCTTGCTTTCGAAGATATTGTTATTTGATGATAATCCTGGAGACTTTAACCTTGTGTATTGCCTGGTTTGTTATTCTATGTGTCAGGTGATAACTACATGGTATGCACAATGTCCATACAGTATATACTCATGCACTCGTACACAAAAGAGTAATTCAATGTTTTGTCCGGGTGTGTTGCCCTTGCGAAAACCAGGCAGCAGCAACAGGATGGCGCTCCAACATTACTGTGGCTAAAGAATTTAATGTGTAGGCTTGGTGTAGCTGTGGCATCTCATATGTTTCAGAGCAGTAGACGCCATACCATTCTCGCAAACTGGCCTGCAGTGCATGCATATTGATTTTTTGTGTCTCAGCGAAGCCCTCGACAGCGTGATAGACTGCATCAATATTCGTTTGCTACAACACGCATGTTCAATGTTGCATGACAGCCCCCCCCCCCCCCCTTGTTGGTTGAGTCCGAAAGAAAACGGAATTGGCCATTGAAGCAAAAGTAAAATGAAACAAGAACTTACTTAACACAAGGGCCTGCTAATCCAGGGCTGATGAAGGTGGTGACTAAACAGTTCATGGAATGCATCATCAGGGGTCCACGGTTATGATTATCACGCGTAGTCACGACCGTGCTCTATAGACAATGCCAGGAGAGTCCTGACCAAGTAAAAGTACAGGGTCAACAGGGGTTTGTACTTACGGGGCGGAGACGGCTGCTACCTCGGAAGATTTGCTAGAGTGGGGTGGGGGGGAAAGGAGGAGGACAAAGGGTGTTCTGAAGGAATTAGCTTTTAGTACTGCCCCTCCAGAGCTTCTTTAAGGTGGGGCTGGTCAAATGTTAGGCGGGCAGGTGTCTCGTGCATCACGTCCATACTGCCAATTGACAATTAGACAAATGTGCAGGGCAGATGAGTGCACTAGTAAATTACGAGAAGTGTATATTGTCTTAGACTAGACTAGACTATATGGTCTAAATTTCCGGAGCCCTCCACTACGGCGTCTCTCATAATCATATAGTGGTTTTGGGACGTTAAACCCCACATATCAATCAATCTATTGTCTTAGACTATAGAAATTGTCATGTTTTCATTTATTTCTGTGTTAATTGTATTGCAGCACGTACATTTTCGGCCTTACTGGTTCGAATGCTTGGGGGTATTCTTGTAAGAAGGAGGAGAATGGTAGCTTGATCAAAATATTTGTTGGAACTTAAAACCAGGAGTGTACGAATATTCAAAATTTTGAATGTCTTGCAAATAGTGTTTGTTATTTAATTTGTACTATTCGAACTTCCCGTAGACAAGTACTTTCCGAAGTCAACTTATAATTAGCGGCCCCTTCAGAGATTTAATATGCTTCACCTCATTTATTGATGTACTGCGGCAAAGCTACCTTTCAGGCTGTGTGTGGACACGAATGATTATCTATATAAAAAAAAAACGCTGGTTGCAATATGCAGATAGTAGGTGTGGCAGAAGTAGAGGCTCATATAATGCTTTTTTTTGTACCTAAAATTTGGTCTGGAACTTTGAAAAGTTGGACGCTAATAATTTATAGCATCCCCAAATTTCAGACGTTCTTATATTTTGACATCTACAAGGAAGATTTGGAGCTCCGGACTCGAAGGGAGTCTGGAGCTCCACCCTTGTTCGCTACATCAATTTGACTTTTACAGTAATTGGAGGGAGGAGGAGAGGCTGAAGAAATAGCATTTTTGCCTTTCACATCTAAAATGTTGGTGACAACACTTTGGTGGTACCAAGTCATGTAAATAAATGTGACTCAGCCTGCGCGTTGCTATAGTGATGCAACTACTATGACCTACCACCCCGCAAGTGTTTCATCAACCTCGGGCTTTGCTGTAGCCATATTTTTTGGTCACAAACAAATTAACTAGGCCGTGTGTTTGGATGAGAAGCTTAGCTGTCCAACAAATGAGTGATTATGCAGGGAGGGGCGTAAGCATGGAATATTGTCATGTGACCAGGGTGATGTAGTGGGTGGGTGAATTTGCGCCCACAAAGTCGAGTAATACTCTATGTACAAGCGAGCAGTAATCGGAAGTCTGTTTCCTACACATAGCAGTGTGGCATGTGCGGAGCGATTGTGACGGTTCATGTAGTTGAAACCCAATCGCATTAATAGTAATAAAGAAATGTAAGTAGCCTTATTATTTTAAAATAAATACCCTTCCTAGTGCGCAGGAAAGTTTCAAAAGGAAGTCTGATAGGACAGAGCACATTAGTTTGCGGACGACCACTATGCGCTCTGTCCAATCCGACTTCTTTTTGAAATGTTCTGCCCACTAAGAAAGTGTATATTTCTTTTCAAGTGCAATACAAACCAGCCCAAGTAGCCACTCAGCCCAAGTAGCCACTCTTTCGTAGCAATACTACTTGGGCCGTAGTGCTTGCTGTAAGTGAGCTCAACTGGTGGGAGTTTCGGCACATCGACTGATAGCGTTTCACCGTTGTTCCAGGCCAGATGCTGCTAAACTGGTTCTGCACCACGTTCCCGGAGGACCACTACCTCCGGTTCCTGCTGACCAAGCAGGACCTGAAGCTGCTGGCAGCTCAGTTCTGCACCCACCTCCTAGCTGCGGGCGTGCTGCGCCAAATTGAGGACGACAACGCCCCGCTTGAGTCTCTCTTTCGGGTGAGTCGTGTTGCCGAAGTGGCGTCCTTGTCGCTCCAACGTTTGATTCACCCATATACCTAATAAGTGAAGGGAGGGGACAGCCACCGGGGTAGCTCAGTTGGTAGAGCATTCAAAGGTCGCAGGTTCAAAGGTCGCAGGATTATTCAAAGGTCGCAGGTTCGGTCCCTGCCCACAGCAGGTTGCCCTTTCATCCACTTTTCTTTCTTCAAATTCACAACGCAATTATCTCGTATAACATCCCCAATGCTTTCCTTGGCATGGATGTTCGTTAGATATCATTAATATTGTGTCCAACGAATAAAAACAGGCCCTTGAGTATACACTTTTCTCCTTTATTAAAAATGCGTCTGACACACATTTTACATATATTTATAAAAAAATTGGCATAGAAAGTAACTTGCACATAAGGGTTCGTTAGCCACCTTTTAATATTGTACCTACCTAATTGAAATGAAACCACGATTGTAACGACTTTTCATTGGGTCTAGGATGGAAAAAAAAAATGGTCATTTCGGTATTCAATTCTTATGCGAGGCTCGACTTTAGGTAGCAAAAATCTGCAAAAAAAAGCTTGCGTTGCATTTGAGCAAGTGTGGTAGTAATAGTGCCGGTAAGACTGTACTGTTTACACTCTGGTTTGGTTGTTCTATGTTGGTGTACCGCAATCTCAAAACATTGCATGGCGATAGGATGAGGGACTAATGCACGTCTTGCATGCTAAACTAGCCACATGCCGACCATGGCAGTACAATATTTCCACACATACTCTATCGCTTTTCCACATGGCATTCTCATTAGGAGGTGCGTCTTACTTTTGGCGATTCTGTGCACTATTGGCAGAGAAAAGATCACAAGCACTGAGCTGATGATAAATTAAGCATTCTTGTTGCCGAAAGTTTCTACGGATCACTTCAAGGGCTCTTTAACCAGAGGGGGTTGGGCAGTGGGGGCCGTCACCCCCACAAATTAAAAACCAGGGGGGTATGCCCCCCCCCCCCCACTATCAGCTGTTAGGACCCCCTCCTTTTCTTGCTTTAGCAAAAACAGAGATACGTATTAACGCCCCTACAAATTCATATATATATATATATATATATATATATATATATATATATATATATATATATATATATATATATATATATATATTTTTTTTTTTTCATGCCCACAAACCTCGTCGCCCCCCCACTTCAAATATACTTCCAGAGCCCCTGTATTACTTGATTTGCTTCTGGCTGAAATATTTTGCTACACACAATCACTTTGGTGAGAAGGTGCCGTTTTGAATGAGACGTTGTATGGGAGGCGCTTCGAGCTGGAATTTCAAATTTTTATACCTTTTTAAAAATACTCGCTGTCAGCAGACAACTATTGCATTCAAGTTGAGTGGGTTGTTGAATTCGGTTTAGAAATATTGCAGCATGACTGAGTGTACAATATGTATATAATTATTTATGTTGCAATTACAGTTGCTGCAAAGTACGCTACAAATTATTCTAACACTTACACCGGCTTTAAATTCGGTTTCCGGAACCGTTCTCTCATTCATTGTAAGTTGATCATAATGCGTGTCGCAATAGGCAATGGTACAGTTGTGCTTTTGCGACATCCTAATACGAAACTTCAGGATTGTTTGTAAACTGGCGAGTCCGCAACTGCTTCCTTTACAGCCTGACCTGATGTACTACTGGACGCACTCTGAAGTTCCGGCATGCCCAGCCAGCAACGTCGTGCCCGGCAAGCTGACCACTGACTATTGGCCGCCGCCGGACTCGGAAGGTGATGCCAGGCCCGGACTTCGGTACACGGAAGCAGGTGGGGTCATGGCAGTCTTAACATTGTTGCATATGCTCTTCATATTGTATGCATGTGCAAACGTGATTTCACTTTATTTTAGTGCAATATATTTAAGTTTAAAGGGACTCTGTTGTGGAATGTTGAATCGGATCAGACAAATAAATTATTCTTTCAAAACTCGGTTGTCGTACATTTCCTCTTCATAAGAGAATTATTGGAAGAGAAAATGGAGGTTGAAGTTTATAATTTTTACATTTTCGGGCTGGAACTTGCAGCAAGTTCGATGTTAATGTGCTGTTGCGAATTTTGAAGTTTTTGAAGATTTAATTAAATTTTCCAAAACTTGTTTTGTTAAGACTCGAGGGGGGGGTGTACCTCAGAACACAATGTAAACACCTTTTACAAATAAACGATTACGCAGGCCCTAGCAGGCACTGTCAAAATCTACTACGTCACAGCAATCTAGTTGGGATCAGCCAGGTGGCGTCACATGTTTTTTTTTTTTACGTGCTTTTTCGCTTGCGAAGCTTTTTCTCGCAATGACGGTGATACTTTCGATTTTGTGGCATTATAATTCACTAACATCATCAAGTTCGAGATGAATAGACAACTGTGAATTCGTACTGCGTGAACATGTTTCCGGAAGCATTTTACGAATAAGTAGTGTGATAAAAAAATCAAAGGGAACAAAAACAATCATTTCTGCTGGTTTCGATTGCTCGCTTTGCTTGCCCACCCTTCTTGGCCATGCAGAGCGGTAGGTGTAGCTCCTTGTCATCACTATGCCCATATGGGCAACGTAACAAGGTGCCTGTGATTATGGCATATGGGCACAGCTAACGATTGAGCAAAGCTCGCTCTTCGTTTTGCTCAAGTTTACTAAGCTTCAATCATTGGACAGGGGAGATTTATCATAGCTCGAAGTTTCATTGTTGCAAAAAGTAATCCTCCCTGAGCAGGCCTCCTGAACCCCTTCGATATCAACGAGGTTCCTCCTGGCAAAGTTTGAGGAGCACGTTGTTGTGAGTTCAAGCTCATCGAAAATCCCTTGAAACTGAACAGCCCTTTGTTAAACTGTCATTTCAGTGGGTTACACGCCTTATGCTATATCATTGCTTGTATGATGTGAGAGTGCTAAAGAGGTACTGACACCTTTTTTTCAAAAGCGGAGTTTACTTTGCCATACGAATCTCTGCAATACTCTTCAATACTAATCCTGGTGACTTCACGCAGCAGTCTGGTGAGATGCGATAAGGTCAAGCACCAAAACACAGAAAAATGGCAGCTTGCGCCTCCTCGATCGTCATTGTCATGCAGCGTATTTGTGAAGTGAGCGAGCGGAGTCTGGAATAGTGTACGTGCACGCGAATACAAGATATAAGCTTATCAGAGGGCAAAGAAATCATTTGAAGAAGCGACAAGCGGGCGTGGATACGTCACGAAAGCTTGCGTGTGCGTGTGCTGTCACCTGGTGGCACTGCTCATACCATGTCGTGACGTCAGGGTACAATAGGAACCGAAAGTAGCTTTTAAAAGCATGCTGTAAATAATTTTTCAGGGCGTACTCGCGTTTATCGGTACATTTCCTACGCTCTCAGGGGCTTGGCCTATCATTTGACGCAAAAAGCATGATAAGTGAAAAAGTTCGTGTCGGCACCTCTTTAATGCCAAATCACAATGTGCTTGTCGACACTTGATTTGCAGAGGCACAGCAGATGATCATGGGATTGAAGAAGGCTCACCGGAACGAACTGGAGAAGCTTCAGGTTCGTTCTGTTGACTTGTCTAAGCTCAAAGCGTACTTCGTGGAAATTCATCAGAGCAGCTATGAAGTTTGTGCTCTGGTTGGCTCATAAATGCACGACAGGGGCAGATAAGCTCGGCTATCTTAACTAATGTTTAATACACAATAGACCGAGCGTTAGGTTACATAATAAAATGTGGACAGGAGAAGCCACCTTATGAAGATATGCATTTTTGCCACATAGAATCAGGTTGAACTATCTGTATCACCGTTTTCTAACTGGGATAGAGATAGAGACTGATGAATTCTCTGTGGCACTTTGAATCGAGCCCATCCGCATCGGAGGCTCACTACTAATACACTCACCGCTGTAAGGTGGAGTTTTCAACCGACGAGGGAGCTTGTGAATTCTAAAGTTTACTTTCACAAAAGTTTATCCTTGGTGTTTTATTGCTGTACTGTGTGGAAAAATCCTATCAGTCAAAGAACTGCACAAAAGTGATGATGACATTGTCGTACGAGCTGTGCCTGCACAGAGCTCGGCCGCAGCAGCGGTTTCTCAGAAGTTGGAGGTCACGCTAGATGATGTCGATGTGGCAAGCGGTGGTTTATAGCACTGGTCTGTGCACACCAACTTCGTAATTAATATACGTTACTTACAAGGCTATATTCACATTTGAGATTTGGTAGATGTATGCATGCTCGCTGGATTGATCCCAATGGCTGTCTTGGCCATGTGACTTTGTGTCCGTACACCTTTGAAATATTGTACTTCGTAGATATAACTTGAGGCTTTTGACGTTACACAAAGGGTGTATGGGGTGACAGCAATGAAAAATGGAAAAACGCTGAAATTCTTGCCTTCCTCTTTGCAGTGTTGCAAAGCAGTGACGGTGTTAACAGTGACTGTGCACTACAGCAAACTTGCCCTGTTCTTTAAACCATATCGTGTAACTTGGTTATCTCGTTTTTGTTTTTTCGCGTGACAGAAAGAGCACGAGTTGGCCCTCTTTTCTCTTCGAGGGGAGCAGGCTGCCAGGCTGACCGACTACGAGGGCCAAGTTGTTCGCCTGGAGCAAGAGGTGCGTTCAGTGTATCCCACACGTACAGTACTCGCGGATTGAAAAATAAAAAAAATTATAGCCGAGTAATGCACACACACATAAACTTTTATATAACGAACCTGGATATAAGGAATTATTGATTATAATTAAGTAAGTGAAGAATGGTTCTGTCATAAGTAGGGGGCTACGAATATATGCTTATAACAAATTTTCAGATATTACAAAGTATTTTCGTGGAAGGTGTGACTTTGTTATAATGAGGTTTGAGTACTTTCCTTTTTAGCGTGTGAAGTTTCAGTCATATCGGTGTAATTTAGATTGTAGGTTTACAGCAGAGCAGTCATTACTTCAAGCGGCAAGATTTGCAGTTACATGATGTACTTACCATGAGCGATTGCTCATAGTAGGTGTTATACTAGCTAAAAAATGTCACGTTTCAATCCATGAGTACTGTAGTGTCTTGATTTTGATCGAAATTACCTAGTCATTCTGCTGGTAATGTAGTAGATGAGCCTTGTCTTGACAGTACTACATGTTCCATCTCTTCATTACATTAAAAAAACAAATCGCAGATTTTTTATGGAATTGGGCAGCAGAGCTATATAAATACTTGTTCTTTCGCGGCAGTGGCAGCAGTGAGCTATGTTGTGGTCAGTATTACTAAGAAGTCCCGGTACTCTCAAAATGAAATGTCGACTTAGGGCAAGTAATGCGCACACTTTGATTTTATCTTCAGTTCATGTTACATTGGCTTTATTAGCCTGCACATTCGCATCGGAGTCTTTAGTGGCCAGATTCGAAGTGACATTGCATGGTTACCTCTAGCATTTGTACGTGTCGTTAGTTTACTAAAAACATTAATGTTGCATTTCAATCCACGGGAACTTCACGGGCGTGCTCTATCCATTCTTTTGAGCAAAGTTGAGTGTCGCTACCTATGTCCTTTTTTTTTATTATAAGCTCAGATTATACGACGATCTAGCACGGTACCATCAAAGTTGCATGATCGAGGTTCTACTGCAATTGCAAACTCTACGTCCCCTGCTGTGATATGTGCGGCAGGCATCTTCTCGAAACACCCGATTACTGGTCGGCAACATTTTTGGATCCTGCTCGAAAAGTGTTGCAGGATCCCTTCGAGAGTTGCTTAGCTTTGGTATATATTTGCTGTGATAAATTGTACACGTTACATCTTTTAGTTTCTTTTTGCCATGAGGGCTGCTGCTTACTGCCTCATGTTGACGAGTGCCGACAAGTCAATTTTTTTTTAGCGCACCCAGTCGTTCTTTCTCTAGGAGAAATATATTTCTTGTCTTCTTTCTTCGTTTATTCCTGCAGATTGACAAATACCAAACTCTAGCCGGCATAGAAGAACTGACTAGGAAAGCACGAGACATAGATGCGCCCCAGGCTGCTGCACCCGCCCGCTCCACAGCAGCGCCGCCGGTGTCTCAACGGTCCTGCGAGGTCCAGACCCTCTCGGTCGTGCTGCGGTCTTGCGAGGCGCAGACTGTCGCGCCGGCCACCTGTGATAATTGGGTCCAGGCGCAGTGGAGGTTCGCAGTGGGCATTGTTCAGACGGATGAAGCAGAATACGAGACTCGGGAATCTCAGACTCACGTCGACTTGCGTCATCAGGAATGCCAGACGGACGAGCAGGCTGTGAGTTTCTGCGCAATGGTTAAAGCGGCCATTCTTTTGAACCATACAGTTCTCGCTACACTCAGTTGCGACTTGAGAAAAAATGTCAGCTCTGCACAAAAAGTTATGGAGTACCTGTCCCTCACTTGTTGAAGGCAGCCATTCTAGATGGTTGCCTCTCAGACCGCAACTACGCTTTCTTGGCTAATGTAAGCACAATGCATGTTAACCCTTTGCAGTATCAAACCATCTTTTGTACCTTCCGTTCGTTCTGGTCTGAAAGTAAGACTCAAAGCTCAAGTTAAAAAATTTTACAGATGTCGCATAATTTAGTCGGAAAATGCGTGCGTGAATTGGTAAGTTCCCTGGAAATCCCGCATTCTGGTGTAAAGGTTATGAAAGAGATGATTGACAATCGCCTGTTTGTAGCACGAAGCCACGAGAAATAAATATATGTGGATTTCGCAACTTACCTATGGAGCAGAAACCTGGAGGCTTACAGAGAGGGTTTTGCTTAGATTGAGGACAAAGCAGCAGCAATGGAAAGGAAAATGATAGGTGTAACCTTAAGAGACAAGAAGAGAGCAGAGTGGGTCAGGTATCGAACCGGAGTTAGATATCATAGTTCAAATCAAGAAGAAAAAAATGGACATGGGCCGGGCACTGTGCAAGAAGGCAGGATAATCCCTGGACATTAAGGGAAACTGACTGGATTCCCAGAGAATGCAAACGCACGAAGGGGAGACAGAACGTTAGGCGGGCCATTGAGACTAAAGAGTTCGAAGGTATAACGTGGCCGCAGAAAGCACAAGGCCGGGTTGACCAGCGGGTCATGAGAGAGGCCTTTGCCCTGCAGCGGGCGTAGTCAGGCTGATGATAATGAGGATGATGGATTTCACAAAATGGAGGAACTGATTAGCTGTAGAAAATTTGGCCTGGTTAGGGGATCAACCTCGGACCAGCAATGCCTTTCTGGGGCAGTCGCTGCACCGTTCGAGCTAACAAAGATGCTAGCTGTTCACTGCATCGGGGCAAAGTACAGTAGACTTTCAATAAACGGAAGTCTGTTAAACGGAACTACTGCTTAAACGGAACTATTGCCTCTGCAATGATTGGTTTCGGGCTTGTATTCTGCATTCATGTTCACCTCTCGGTAAACAAAACTCCTGTTAAATAAAACATATTTTCCCGGTCTCTTCAGGTTCAGTTTACTGAGAGTCTACTGTAGTCAATGCGAAGGAGATGGACACAGAATTCTGTGTACAGGTACCCGAAGTTTTGCACAGGTACCACCACACAGGTACCACCACACAGGCACCATATGCCAGCGTCTTGCTTATGCACATTATATGTTGAATACAGCATACGTACCGAAACAACACGAACAGCATGAACCGAGCTCTAAAACAGCCTATTCGCATTCGATAGCCAATCAGTCATAGGTGTCAAAGCACTTGCCATTTGAAAACTATGTTGAACGAGGTAGCTGTAGGCCACAGGGACATTCTCGGAACCTTTTATTAGCATTTTAGGGACAACTAGAGGGTATATTCACAGTGGTGATCTGTTATGCTAAGTAGAGCGTGCTGGTGATCACGAAAGAAAGCGTGATGTTGACAGAGTGCTCGGAGAAACTGGGGCAGCTCGCTAGATGATAGTTAGTTGGGCAAAAGGTTGAGACTGAACTTGAATGCTTTCTTGTCAACACTGTGGTGACTAAGTTTTCATTAGGGTTTTCAAATGAGACTGGAACTCGGTGGTTCGTGAAGAGCTGGAGTTGAAGTTTTCTTCGTGCCATTTGGTGCAGAATTCGTGAAAGTTTTGTTTGCTTGCCTTTCTATAAAAATTTCAGCTTTCTGTACTTCGGTGGACTAAGTGTAAAGAGCTTGTGTGATCAAAGATTTCTGGCCAGACCAACCTTATTTTCTTTGTTCTTAACACGGATTTTGAGGTTTCAAAGAGAGCTTTAAAAAAAACTTTCAGTCAGTTCCATGCGATAAAAATAATCGGACAGTAAAGCTTTAGGTGTGCGAATATATTTAAGGCAAGGGCTTGAGCAGCTGGGTGCCATTTAGGTCATCGCCATCATTTAGCATCACCATCATCATTTCATTGTATCCATTTTGTTATTCACTCCATCCTCTGGTCGGGTGACCTGTGCGACGCTTTCTACGTTACTACTGTACTAACACTGTGATGATAGCACAGGGTAGAGAGGTTGGTTATTAAATAAAAAGCTATGTTTACAATTGGGGACAGTTCAGCAGGTTTGCAATTGAGGGCAATTTACCAGGCTCTATGACACACCTTGTGCCTCTTCGCAGGGCCCAACCTCCGTCATAAAGACGAGCGCTGGCAGCTCGTCCACGGCAACTACTGTCTCCCAGGTGGCGCCACCGCCTCCTCCGCCCCCTCCTCCACCACCACCGCCTCCTCCGCCGCCAGGTTGCTGCACCCTGCTTCCTCCTCCGCCTCCCCCGCCCCCATTCCCGGGCATGGCTATGCCCCCTCCTCCGCCGCCTCCACCTCCATTCCCTGGCATGGCCATGCCGCCCCCTCCCCCATTGCCCGGAATGATGGGCATGCCTCCTCCGCCACCCCCACCCCTGTCGTTCATGGCCCCGGTGCACGGCTCCTCGGTGCCCCCGCCTCCGCCCCCGCCGGGACCTGGAGGGCCGGTGCCGATGCCAGCGCCACCTGTAGGTGGCTGGCACACTGCCTACGCTGCAGGTGAGCTCAGCATGACGCACAATAATTATATCTGAGAAGCGGGCTTGTTGGTATGACATTTTCATTAATATGGTAGCGCAGAAAAACGGGATTCGAGAAAGACAGTGAGGACAGTGCTCTGTGCGTGTCTTTGGTGCTTTTCTTCTGTAGTGTCTGCCCGCCGCGACGGTCAAGTTGTTGTTGCACTCTACTGCTGACTCGAAGTTCGTGGGGTTGAATCTCGGCCGCATTCAATACTGTTTAACCTCTTTGAAAATGACATACACTGGGAAGCAATTGTCTGTTTTATGACGTGTCTCTTATTAGCAGGGTACTTGGTATGCATTTTCTCATCAACCCCTATTTCTCTGTAGGTACACTGGTATCTTTTATACTCATTTGTCTTTTACATATTGTCTTTAATAAAGGCGTTTGACTATATAGGGGGTGAATTGTACGGACCCGTGTACTTAGATACAAGTTCACATTATAGAACACCAGATTGTCGAAAATTCTGGAGCCCTGCACTATGACATTCCTTATAATCATATCATAGTTTTCGAACGTAGACCCCTAACAACCATTATTCTCATTGTTGTGCCCTGTTTCCTTGAGCTTCTATTGCAACAAAAATTATGCCAGCATTCTGTCTTCTGTTGGCATGCACTTCTGTTTGTCCAGTAACTGTCGCAGGCTATTTGCAGCAGTTGCCCTTTCTCTATATACTGTCATGCTGCAAGAAAACTGAAAGCGCTCTAGAAGATGGGCTTCTCTTTTCTTCCACGTTCGTTGCTGCGTGTGACAATGTGGTGATTTGTTCGGAGACTACGGCAAGTTCTCAACCTTATTTACTAGCATAGCCATTTGGAATTCATTGCCTTTCGAATTGAAATCATCGCATAACATCCATATTTTCACTTCGCGCAGTAAGAAATATTATGTTCAGGAATTAATCAACTCATCCAATTTGTGTAATTAACTGTTATTAGCTCTCCACAGTTCTGTGCTATTTTACTACTTCAATTTGCCTTTGTATAATTGATAACACTGATAATGAAACGTGTTGCATTTGTCACGTAGAGTTCATTAATATTGTTTTTTGTCTTCACTTGCTTTTGACTATTTCCTTGTTATTTTTCAATAGTGAGTATTACCATTATGTTGTGTATTGATCGTATTTTTATTGTTAATCAAGATTATTCATTATTACTCACAAGTCCGTATACTATTGCTGTATTTTTTGTAATTACCCCATCTATGTAGCCATAGGAGGTCCCCCTGTCAGTTTCTCTGAAACTTTGGGACCTCCTGCTGTAATTACGCTAACCATGTAACTCAACTGAACTACTTAATAAACTTGACTTGACTTGGTTTTCAGGACCAGCGTTGTCTCATCGCCGGCATATAGGAAGAACGTATGTTCAACTTTCAAGCAGTTCCTCCCCGCCCCCATTCCCGGGCATGGCTATGCCCCCTCCTCCGCCGCCGCCTCCACCTCCATTCCCTGGCATGGCCATGCCGCCGCCCCCTCCCCCGTTGCCCGGAATGATGGGCATGCCTCCTCCGCCACCCCCACCTCTGTCGTTCATGGCCCCGGTGCACGGCTCCTCGGTGCCACCGCCTCCGCCCCCGCCGGGACCTGGAGGGCCGGTGCCAATGCCAGCGCCACCTGTAGGTGGCTGGCACACTGCCTACGCTGCAGGTGAGCTCAGCATGATGTACAATAATTATAGCTGAGAAGCGGGCTTGTTGGTATGACACTTTTATTAATATGGTAGCGTAAAAAAACGGGACTCTAGAAAGACAGTGAAGACAGTGCTCTGTGCGTGTCTTTGGTGCTTTTCTTCTGCAGTGTCTGCCCGCCGCGATGTTCAAGTTGTTGTGGCACTCTACTGCTGACTTGAAGTTCGCGGGATTGAATCTCGGCCGCATTCAATACTGTTTAACCTCTTTGAAAAGGACATGCACTGGGAAGCAATTCTTGTCTGTTTTATGACGTGTTTCTTATCAGCAGGGTACCTAGTATGCATTTTATCATTAACCCCTATTTCTCTGTAGGTACACTGGTATCTCTTATACTCATTTGTCTCATACGTATTGTCTTTAATAATGGCGTTTGACTGTATATGGGGTGAATGAATTGTACAGGCCCATGTACTTAGATACAAGTTCACATTATAGAACACCAGATTGTCGAAAATTCTGGAGCCCTGCACTATGACGTTCCTTATAATCATATCATAGTTTTCGAACGTGGAACCCGAACAGCGATTATTCTCATTGTTGTGCCCTCTTTCCTTGAGCTTCTATTGCAACAAAAATTAAAAATTATGCCAGCATTCTGTCTTTTGTTGGCATGCACTTCTGTTTGTCCAGTAACTGTCGCAGGCTATTTGCAGCTGTTGTCCTTTCTCTATATACTGTCACGCCGCAAGAGGACTGAAAGTGCTCTAGAAGATGGGCTTTTCTTTTCTTCCACATTCGTTGCTGCGTGTGACACTGTGGTGATTTGTTCGGAGACTTGGTTTTCAGGACCAGCGTTGTCACATCGCCGGCGTATATGAAGAACGTATGTCCAACTTTCAAGCAGTTGGGCTGAACTGACCTCGCTTATGTGTTAGTTCTTTTACTGCAGGTTTTTCATTGGGTTGGATTGTACTGCACTCGCTGATTGAATTTAGACTTTTTTTCTTTTAGTGTGACGAATGTCATGAGCAAATGATTGATTGCATCACGTCGTTGCAAGTGTGGCCACTGTAGGAAATTTCGGCCCCGATGTGTTTACCCGCCACGTTGGTCTATTGGCTATGGCACTCTACTGCTGAAACGAAGTTCACAGGATCGAATCTCGGCCATGGTGGCGAAGATTCGATCCTGTGAACTTCGAACGACATTCTCCGCTTGGCAGACTGTTGTTCCAGTCACAATATTGCCAATACCACACGAACTGTAGAGGCTAAAAACAAATGTACATGCATTTACAAAGCCCTACAATTTCACGCTTCAATCTGAGTATTGTATGTGTCTAACAAAATGTACCATGCTTTAGGTGAAATGAAGTCCTTCATCAGGGAGGGCATCGTGATTTGTCATAAACAAAACTTCAGCACTACTAGTTAAAACATAGAAAAGCTGCTGGCTAACTTGTACAACATTTGGGGTGCTGTGCCCATTTTATTTAGCCTGAACAGAGAACTCTGAGGCAAATGCGTTGATTTCGGGAAGTGCCACTTGATGCACGAATTCTTGTGTAAGCAATTGCATCCCCGAAAGCAATCACTTGGAAAAATAACATCGCCAGGTAAACATTAAAATATTGGTTTCAATATTAACCTGGTTACTTTTTCTGTTTATAATGCTGCTGCAGTCATTACAGGGCATTGTGGCATACTGGCTTTCACTATTGGCAGAGTGAATGATTAAGAGTTTTGGTAATCCACAGGGACATTTAAAAACTGAAAGAGACAAAAATTGTCATAACACAAGTGCGTGTGTCACATAGCATTTTGTTTGTGGTTTATGTTTCAAACATACTACATTATAGTTTTACACGACATAAGCAAATGACGTACAATTTGCCTCATCACAAAAATTTTCTCTTCATTCTCCGTGCAGAGTTTCGTTGACCCTTTCACTGCAGGTAGCACGTGTTCAAAAAAGTTATTAGTACATTTCATGCCATTGAAAGTTGATGTAGTGTTTTGCTCACCGCAGACTTCTTGTTTCTCCTTTTCTTCAATCTGCTGGACCTTGTAACTATCCTCTTCGGTAGCTGGCACTTTAGCGTGTGAGTTGTGAAGTAATGGCTGCTAGCCAGCAGTACCTTTTTTTTTTTTTTTTGCATTGCTTCACACTTCAGAAATATGTGGGCTTGCTGCTGCAGTTTGCATCTTGTAATGCTCTATCGTTCTAAAAGCAAATGAAGCGATAGCCTTGTAGCATTGCCGAGTGTGAGGTGACTGGTTTGATTACCTGAACTACGGCAGGTCGCGTTTTGATGCGAGTTAACGTACCTAAGTTATCTGCCTTTGCATAAATGAAAGACAATCCTTGTAGGGGTGTACACTCTATAAAGAGTATGCGTCACTACACTTTTGAGCTCCTCTCTACCGTAATAAGAATTATCATTTGACTTATCGGCATTTCCTTAAGGGCCCACTGTACCTGCAGATTGTTAATTCTACGCATGTCGTTGGCTTGGCATAGCAGTCATGGCAGGAAAGTAGTGGATGTTCAAGGTGGCATGCGACAGATAACAAATCACACACGATTTAAGGATAAAATGCACCATAAATAGTGCATGTTACGATAAGAATCCCCTTCGTAGTTTGTTCTGGATAAACTACATTCTAAAAGGGATATTTTACAAAAATGCACCTCATATGGTGCACTTCACATCAATAGTCTTTGGATACCAAAATGCACCTTCAAGGGGGCTTGTCTCCATCTTGAAGCATGTAAACCATACGGGCTACCGAAAGAAATGTATAACACTTTTAGCTCACTTGCATTGCAACTACGCGCCTGTGGCATGAGCAGTCGCGAATTGCCTTCCTTCTTCGCATTGCGCATGTATTGTCTGTGGCCGGCAGTGCTGTGTGCTTGCCCTTGCTTCGTGCTACATTTTCGCTGCTTTCCTCATTCTGATTGTTCCAACGCCTAAACATCGTTGAGACGCTTGTGACTCGATGTGCTCGGATCTGTTCAGCCCGCAAGCAGCCCGTGAACCCGAAGGCACTAATGAAGCCGCTGTACTGGACGAGAATACAGGTGCCCGCGACGAAGCCACCACAACCCACTTTGCCGGCGAGTCCAGAGAAGACGACAGAGTATGTATCTCGGCGCGCGTATAATTGTTTTGCACGTGCCCTCCTCTCAGTACATTTAGGCTGAGAATATGTCTGAAGGACGGCTTGCACAAGCAGTGCTTTAGCATTGGGTCTCTACGGGTGGTCAAACCTAAGAGATCAGTTTCCTCGCAGGACACGGTTTGGTAGGTATCTTAGTGGACTGTTGAGGTAGACAGCACGTATAGTAGACAACTTGCACGAGCTCATGTGTAGCCTTGGGCCTTTACAAGCACGTCAGAACGATAAAATCAGTTGAGTGCCATGTTTCACGTCTTCGCAATACGGCTTCTGGACTGCGCTACTTGGCTGTCATCTGGATGGGGGTTAATTGTAAAAATTCCCGTGCACAATGAAGAAATCTGGGTAGTCGATTGGGCAGACTGGTCTTTGAGACTAAAAAGTGACGAAAAAATTGATTTTTCAAAATTGACATACTTGGTTTCTGCAAGTATTTTTCTATCCCTGTGCAAATTTTGACACACCAGGAAGTGGTAATTTTTTTGTAATTTCATTCTACCTGTCCAGATTCTTGGTGCTGTTAACATGCGGAACCTGCGAAAAAATGGGTAACCGACTTCGAGGCTTCTTTATAATTTGCCAACACTTGTGTTTGAAGCTCTGCTACGAACTTATGAGCACCTTTATGAGAATTGCAAAACATGCACACCATGATTGTTGCCTTTTGAAGCAGTCATGTGCTTTCAGATTTTTCCATTTCTCTCAAAAAAGTAAATTTAAGACTGTTCAATGCTGAGGCCTCAATATCTCTGCAGCTAGGGCAGGTACAACAATAATTTTTTTTGCAATGGAAACCTGTATGTGTGTAAAATGCAAGTATGTGAGCAAGATTTAAAGCACAAGCTTTTTAATTAATTAATCATCAAAATTGTAATACAATTTCAACTGCTTTCAAAAATGGATAATTCATTTTGCTATAAAATAATCAAGAAAGGCCTAAAAATAAAAACTCTTGCATGCTTTCATCCTATAGTCATTAGTCTATGATGGCATATCTTAAATATTGCTTTTAGTTAAGCACTTTCTTTCTATGGCGTCCTTAAACAATAGGGGGTGAACTTAAGTTATCTCAGGAACAAGATGAGTTACAGGAAAACTAATTAGATATTTGAAATCGGCAGTAAAAACTGCATAATCCTGTACAGTTTGATCAAGATCACTGAAGAAATAATCAAAAAATGTGTAAGACTAGTCTGCCCCCTTAAAAATAAGTTTTCCCCTGCGTTGTATCGCAGTTGTGTCCTGGCTTTGGTATGCAAAACAACAGAATTTAAGTTCTTTAAATATAATGAGTGTGCCTCTACACCGAATACATTCCATTTTAGCTAGTCTTTGCTTTTTTGCAGTAATGATTTAACCTTACGAGATCAAATGCTTCTTAATTTCACAGGCGCTGTGCGTTTCTGTCATTGTTCAGATGGGCAGCTGTTTGTTGCTTGAGAGCCACTCTCTCATAGAAGAGTGAATGTGCAAACATGCACACAAGATAGAAGACAACAAGCACTTAGTAGGTGTTCAATAACAACTTAGAGCGCCAACTTTCAACCAACTTTATATCGCAGAGTGGCAAAATACATGCGTCAAAAAAGGATGATACAAGTCTGGAAGATAAAAGACAAGCCTAATCAACGTGTCGGTATTAAAACGTGTGGGGCCGATCGATCGCCCTAAGGCCTAGCCAGGTAATTTTGTTCTGTGACTAAGCAACTGATAAGGAGCTTGCGCGGTTTTCACCCAGTATGTGAATTTTTTTCCGCTAACCCAAGCTTCCGCTTGTGGGGATTGTTCCTTGGCATTTGGGTTGTCTAGACTTGACTCTTATCCCTGTGTTTGCACACCCCGGTCTCTTAATAACTCTAATACATACCAAGTATCTCGGCTCTGTGTCGCTCCATCTCGTGAAGTTGTTTCGCCCATCTCGCCGATCCGGTCTCGTTCCAGACGCAAGACTTTGTGGGAAAGCTTGGAGGAGACTCCCCCTTCGGACTGGGAGGAGTTTGAGAACCTCTTCTCGAGGCAGGTGCAGGAGAAGAAACCCACGGCCAAAACGAAAAGTGCCCAGGCAAAGACTAAGCAGGTACCACCGCTACTACGTCGGTGTGCTACCACTATGTACACTACCAGCCATTATTAAAAACGCACTACAGTGAGCACCGTTGATCTTACCGGCTCTTTTGCAGCGAGTGGATAAGGAAACAATGCTAATGCGCAGCACTAGTCTCTCAAAGGAAGTAAAAAACAGGGGGGACCCTCAAGCTCCTCCTTTAAGAGTTGAACGAAAAAGAGATGTCCTGTTCCTAGTGCTTACTTCAAACACCTATTGTATGATATCTTTTCGAACTTGCTATGCACCCACTACGTGGCCTTGAGGATGCATTAGCGTGGGTCTTTTGTAGCGGGTGACTAGCTCTAAACGATGAAGTCATTACAATATTCCCATGTTCCAATGCCCGTTGGCAATGTATGCTTGTACCACGCATTGTTACGGTAATATTTCACGTTGTATTGTGAAGCATGTATAAAGGATGCATGTGTTTGTAAAGCGTAAAGTTACTTTTACTGAATTTCCAAGCAGAGGAAGTTATTTTCACTGTATTCATAAGTAGAGGTGTAGAGGTGTGGCTCTGAGGTAGAACAGCCGCATGCCATGCAAACGACCCGTGTTCGATCTACACTAATACGCAGAGTTTTTTATTATTTTTTTTATTTCCATCTTTTTCGGTTTTTGAACAGTAATTTGGTCGCATAGTTTCAAATCTAATAGTTCGAATTGTATAAACCACACATTGTAAAGAAGAATGAGCACATTTGTCATGACCCAGCTACCCTCCACTATATTTTTGAAAATCTGAATGAGGCATTTGCGAATGTCGCTGTTTTCTTGGTTCGAAGCGAAGTGAAAGCAAATTTGAATAGTACTAGCAGGATTTAAATTTCAGCAGGATGCAAGTGACAACCGGCAAACCGGCAAATTTATTATACTTTGGATATGTGAGCCCATATAAATAACTTTTCACCTTACTATCATGAAATGAAATAGTCATTTTGTATATTTATTTAACCTCAAAATGAAGCTTCGTGACAGAACTTTTTTTTATGTCTTCACGGCATAGCGCTGCTATACTGCAGTGAAATTACTTTTACAAAGGGCAACATATTTCGACATTTTCGAACTATTTAAATTCATGTCGCAGCAAATTTGAATGCTCCAATAGTCATTCGAATATTCGAAGCGCTCAAATAATCGCACATGCCTAACGTGATGGCCTGTGATGACGTGACAGATATCAAAGGTCCGTGAACTCGTGATGACGGCACAAATGATGCTACAGCCAGACTCCATTAGCGATGTAGGTCACGTGCATTTTACTCAAGGGGACAATGTGCAATGAGACAATTAAAGGCTTTCTCCTTAAAATGCATAAGGGCAGCAGATAACTTTCCCTGACGGGGTTGATGAAGGCGAGACATTGTGTATTGTTTGCACCAAGTGACTGTGGTGTTGGTTACGTAAGTTAATTTCTTAGCACATTAGGGCAATACTGTATTGTTGAAAAACTGTTAGAGAAAGGTCTATAGGACATCGGGGGGTAGCGGGAAGTCGCTGTTCTGGGACAGCTCAAGAATGTTCCAGTTCAGCAACCCCATTCACGTGGTCCCAGCATGATTTTAATTCGAAACACTTTGGTAATAGAACATTGAGTGCGTGCACTGTCTTGTGGCGAGTTTCGTTACGCGAAAGCAGTATAGCATGAGTTCCTAGCGCCACTCCTCACACTACTCTTGTTACTTCAGTTTTTGTAAACTTATTCGACGTTGTTTTTTTGAACTCAAATTTTTTTGTCCTCGTAGGTGGCAAAGCTTCTCGACCAGAAACGTTCACAAAATGTTGGCATACTGATATCGAGTCTTCGCCTTGAAATAAGCGATGTGGAGAATGGTAAGCGAAGTTATTATTTTGTTTTATCTCTAGAAATGAAAAAAAAAGAAGGAAAAAAAACTGACTGGAGAGACCATGTTTTCTGGGCGCTTCATAAAAGAGCTAATTCTGCATTCTTGTCTCTTCGTCAATACGTGTGCTGTGTTTCAATGAGAACAGTCTGTTGGCTCTTTCAAACAGTCATTACATGTGAACGTCATTAATATGTAAGCCTAAGCATAGTTTGTTGCGTCAAGTTGTTGGCACCCGAAACTGAAGGTAGTTCTTTCGCTGGAGGTCTCGAATTTTCTCGCTGACCATGCTCTAGCACCGTGACAGATGAAGGCTGAATGAAACGCATGACAGGATGTGTGCGTTTGCGAGCATTTTGTTCCACCTTAGTTCCGTGCACCACTAGAACTCAATGCAGACAGCTAACTCACCGAGGTGCTATATAGTATAGCAGACTCCAAACAGACCACAAAAGGACCAGTAAATGATACATTTAATGGGAGTTTCGTTTACAGCGAGGTGCGCCTAGGCACTGACTTCAAGTACGTAACCAATTGTATTAGAAGCAGATGTTTCATCAAAGCAATGATTCTGTTCTTCAGATATTTTGATTTACTGAGAGTCTACTGCATGTAGTAATGTCTCGCTCTGTCCTTTTGTGCATTGAAGATTGGACACATCCGAAGATTAAATTTATATCGGATGTTGTCATTCACTGCTGGCACACTCTGTTACGGCATTTTCTTTGATTGTGACGTGTCTTTGCGATTGTTGTTTTTTACAGCCATCTACAACTTTGACACATCAGTTGTGAGCTTGGACACCCTTCAAGCTCTGTACGAAATTGTAAGCCCATTCCTTCATTCTCCTGCATGTTTGGCATTCAAAAGGTAGTTCGGTAAACTTCGGCCTTTTTGTGGAAACGATTGTTCATTTACTTGTTGCACTAATTTCCCACGAAATTGTTGAACACTAGCATTTGGTGCTGCGCCGACGTTGTTGGTCTTTAAGCTGCGATGGAACTTCACGTAGCCCCTAGTGGGAATTCGAAAGCTTCCAGGGTCCCTATGCAGCCCCGCTGTGGTGGTCTAGTGGCTAAGGTACTCTGTTGCTAATCCGCAGGTCGCGGTATCGAATCCCGACTGCGGCGGCTGCATTTCAGATGGAGGCGGAAATGTTGTAAGCCCGTGTGCTCAGGTTTGGGTGCACGTTAAAGAACCCCAGGTGGTCAAAATTGCCGGAGCCCTCCACTACAGCGTCTCTCATAATCATGTGGTGGTTTTGCGACGTCAAAACTTCACATATCAATCAATCAGGGTCCCTATGCACTTCGTTAAGATGACTGGAAGGTAAAAGCCGATTTTTCCTTCTCAGCCGATCTATTAGTCCTGCCCCGCCACCCTCCAAAAGCTTTTTGCACCTTATGTAGTTTCTCATGTTTCATAATTGGAACACCTTTAATTTTATAAAGCTACAATGTCATGAGATTACGTCATCTTGCGACATCGTGTCCCGTGGCGTAACTGTGACGCCACTATGACGTCGTAAGGACTTCACAAATTTTGGCAGTCTACGACGTCGTGACGATGTCATTTGCGTGGTGACTGCATCGCTCGCGTTGTCCTTGACATCGTGGGACACCGGTGCAGAGTGTCAATTTTCAGGTTTGTCGAGCCAACCGAGGCTTTTGCCTCGATGTAACCTTTACTCTTTGCTCAGTTACGCTAATGCGAAAGTTGGAGCCGTTCTGCTTTATGAAGGTGGATAACCAGTGGAGTTTATGGGTGCTTTCTCGTCCGTGCTCTTGTTGGCGTTGCTCATAAGCGCTTGGAATAACATAGAGAGGAGCTAGTTGACAAGTATTCAGGTTTTAAATAAATTAAGGTAGCTTTGCACTTGTGGTGCCAAGGCTGGAGGAAGTGTGGAGCTGGGGAGCCGAGCTGCTTTGTATCTCTTCGGTTTCCTCATTCTTTCCTCCTCTACTTTTGTACTTTCCTGTCCCTTTCCGCCTTCTTTTCTATTTATTTCTATTTTTTCACTTTCTCTATTTCTCACTTCCTTTTTTTTTTTCATTATTTAATATGTGCACTCATTTAGAGTGCTCCATACTTAATAACATATTCAAGGTGCTCTAAGAACAAGAGGAGGAAGTCTTTTCTTCGGCCGCTAACAACTGCATCGATGTGGTGCCTAGTTTCGACTGACTCTGCAGAACATGCACAAAATTTCTACCGCTCAACTCAAGTTTTTTTTTCGTCACTTCTGGGATCGGTGTACCTTTTGGTGATCTGGGATGTCAGTTGACGATGCCATCGTGTGGCGTCAGGACATCACTGCATTACAGACTCAGGTGATCCTTGACATTATGATGATGCATTATGTGACATCATCGCTTCCTTCTGAAGTCATATGGTTTTTCTCTGTTCATGGACAGACACCGTAAACCAAGGAGGGGCTTCATTTGAAACTCCAGTGTAATAGCAAAAGGGGTCAGTCTCATTGCCGTAGAGTCTGCAAAGACTGAAAGGTACTTATTTACAAGCGTAAAGTTCACAGATTTGGCCTTTGCAGCATCAACCTTTTGCCCTAGTCTGTGTAGATGTCCACTGGCAGACCCTCGCGATCATCTGTCATTCCTGCCATGCAGCGGCCGACGAACGAAGAGCTGAAGCTGATCCAGGACCACCTAGCCCTGAAGCCCGACGTTCCATTGGACAAGCCGGAGCGTTTTCTGTTGGACCTGTCTCGCATTCCGGAGTACGCCGATCGTGTCGGATGCATCATGTTCCAGTCGACCTACACAGAGTCCATCTGCATTGTCGAGAACAAACTGAACAACCTCAAGATGACATGTGAGGTGAGGGGCATGGGGCAATGCCGCTGTTTGGTGCTGATGCTTAGTGATTGTTAAAGATCTTATGCAGAGAAGAGATTGACAATGACAAGCGCTAACTGCCAACTATCATTTATGTAGTAACGCACGGGGGTATAACGAATGAGTGAATAAACTTTATTGGAAGCCTGGCGGTTTCCTTCAAGCTAGCTGGTAGTTACATTTAATTAGTTGTCAGATAATACTACTCTGGACTGATAGAATAAAATGCCTCATTTCAACAAGAATTCCTTGTGTAAAGTTTTGAGAATTTATTTAGAATCATGGCTCGGGGCCTCATGTGCCTGTATGAATCACAATAATTTGCTGTGCACAATGTGATTTTTTTAGTAGGCATAACTCAAGTTGACTGCTTGTTTAATAAGGCCTTTCACTATAATCTTCAATTACCCTTGTTTTGATCCGGCTGATTTGTAATGTTGTCACGTACCTGAAAATTTCCCGATTTCATTGCTTTGCCTTGCCTTCATTCTCTGCCATCCTTCACTGCTCTGCCTTCATCTTGGCATCAATTTAGTTGCTGTGGTAGACTGTTAGTTACCTGCTAAGTTTGCTAACCTTGAATTGCTAAGCATCTGTTTTCTTGTGATGTCGACTAGATTGTCTGCTACTACCCCAGATCTTTCAAAGCATATGTACAGAAACAGGGCACTTGAACACAGTTTCGTTCAGTCTGAAAATGTTTTTTCTATTACGTTTCATCCCTACCACGGGAACTTCAATCGGTGCCACAAGTTCATCTTGAAAAGGCCTTTGGTACATTTTTAAAATAATGCAAGTCATTAAGCTTCAGAACTAGAATGAGCCATTGGCTTGGTGCGAGAGGCAAAACGGGCACTTGTTCCCCTGCCCCCTCAAGCCATTCCAGTGCTGTTTTCCTTACCCCACATCAGTGCAAGACGGGCTTGCAACCGCCAACACAAAATTCTACCACCACCCATGTTGCAACATTTGTGTTTTGGGGTTTGTACTAAATCGTACTTTCACAAAATGTGCTTGAAACACGGGGGAAATCAAGGGCGCATAGAAGTAGTTTCAGTATTGCTTGTGTATTGTTTTGTGTGGGCAGTATGCTGACTTGATGCTTCCGCTACTGATCTTCATGTCTCTGCCACAGGCATTACTGCACAGCAAGGAAGTGCGCACAATCCTGGGGCTTATATTAGCTCTAGGCAACTACATGAATGGAGGTAAGATGCTAAACTTATTTGTGCTAACTCTAAAACAATGGTCAAGTGAAAATAATCTGTCGTTTTGGATAAACCAGGTGCAAAATATCCAAAGCTGCCTGAAGTGTGAAGTCTTGATTGGTCAGCAGCTAGTCCAGCAATTAACTTAGCAAGTGGTGTCTGACTTAAATACAGAATGTGTTTCTCTGCGTGATATGCCGAAGTTTATGCTGGTGCTAAAAGTTCTGCCCATGTAATTCCAAGACACTGGTCTGCATCCACAAAAATGATTAAACGAAAATCGTACCGCTACAAACTCGCCCGTTTGAATGTCTTAAAACATGTAATTCAGCAGACTAGTAGTCAGCTTCAATATAAAGTGCCTTTCCTCTCTCTCCTCGAACTGTAATGGACTATTTGTTACAGCTATAAAAGTTCGAAAAATAAAAAAAAATTGGGAGTCGAAGTTCTCGCTACGCTTTAGCAGCAAATGTGTAGCCAGAATTTCTCGGTAGTTTACCCCGAAAACAGCCTTCTCAGGTGATTACTAATGACAGAATAAGGTATTTTGTTCAGCGAACGTAAATGCTAGGCTAGGTATAGAATAACAGATCACTGTTCCCCATAAAAGCGATTCATCTGAACAGGTATTGGTTATGCGCTTTCTAATAAATTTTATAATATTGAGATTTCTAAAAAGTACTCGCACGGCAGGCGAGGAAGAAGCTGCCCTTCCTTTCTGGTACACTGATGTACCGTGCCTGGAGTAAGATTGCAGAGGTGTAGCTTTAATCTCGCGACATACCTTGCGCTCCGGCATTCTTTTTCAAACTTCCTTGGCCGCGGCATGATGTGCGAATGGCGTAACGGCTGCACTATGTTTGGGTCGCAGGGAATAGGAGTCGTGGACAAGCTGATGGCTTTGGCCTCGAGATCTTGGCCAAGTTAAAAGACGTCAAGAGCAAGGTTGGTCGACTGGCGCTCGCAGACTCCTTCCGTATGCATTGTACTTACGTCGCTTCCGTCTTCCGTTTTGCAGGACAACTCTTTGACTCTTCTTCACTACATTGTCCGAGTCTATATAAGCAAGTTCCAGGAGGTGAGCGTTTGCGAAATATTATTTTAACTGCTTGGATTCACGGCTGACAATTTATAACTGTCTCTTGTGCTCTTGCAGCTACTTCCAGCGAAGTCCTATCCTGTTAGTGTTAAGTACAGTGCCCAATGCACTCTGATCTCATTCGTCATGTACTGTAGTTAAGCTGTACATTCTTTAATGCTCTGGCATTTGTTTGTGCCGGTAGTTGGGTACTTAAATACTGTCAGTTTGTTGTGGTGTTGGTTGGAACATATACGCAAACTTGCTTAAACATGCGCTTTTCAAGAAATATGTTTTCTAGCATAGTTCTTCGTGCGTATCCTCATAGCGTGCATACAAATCGAGGGAGCTTAGGGTGAAGGGGTTTCCCCTCGCACTGAAACACTACAGCTCACCTAGTGGAGGTTGGTTTCGTTAATGAAACCCAGCAGAGAATTTTTCTAGAACGATATAGTGACAACGAAAAATTGGGGGATCAAGCAGTATCCCGTCCCTAGTGCGTACTTCAAGCACTTAATGTACGAAATTTTTTTTTTACAGCGAAAGCTGTTATGAGATCACGACTTGGGTCACATGCAGTTGTCCACTGTCGCCACCAATGCCCACATCACGCGAAATTGGAAAAAACATCTAGCACCAAAGACACAGTGGGGCTCCTAGCACCAAAGACACAGTGGGGCTCCTAGCACCAAAGACACAGTGGGGCTCGAAACGCGGGTCTGCTGGGTGCCATCCCAGTTTTCTACTGCTGAGTTACGCTGGTGCTTATGAATTGTTGGCAAACTTTCCTTAGGCAGGCTTGATGTTGGGAAAGCAATCACGTTATTACGACCTATAAAGTGTTTTAACACAGCGAAAGAACAACCAGTCATCGCACAATGCGAATAGTGTCACGAGCGGGCCGTCCAATGCTCCAACCCATTACAAAAGCTTGTTCTTGTTTTCCTATTAACTGTGGCGCATAGCCACTTCAGCCGTAATTCCTTGTCGTCGTCAGCCACTTCATGAACAATTGGCACGAAATTCTTTGCAAGTGTTTAGCGGATATCACGCTTCTCAGAAGAATGACGAAAATAGCATAGCGAATGCCGGCCTACTACCCAAAAGTTTATTGTTAATGCCCTTGTGAGTATCAAGCAAGTGTGCTTGCAGTAGTTACCCAATGAGTATTTTGAAAAGGCTCTGAAAGGCCGCTCTTCTAGCTTTTGCGGTGACTGTGCTGAGTCTTCCGCGCAGGCGTGGCATTTTTTCGAACTTGAGTTTACTTAAGTAAAAACTTAATTTTACTCGCATACCTGGGGTTTTACCTTGTTTCTGCTGGCATAGGCTTACGTTTGTCAGACTTTAATCTTAATGTCTAGTCTAGTGTCACAGTAAAGAACAACCAGACTTGTTTTTGGTTTTTGTTCATACACTCAAACCTTATTATCACACAGTTGCATTCTACATAAAATTAAGTTTATGTTCGAAAATTTGTTATAAATGTGTATTCGTAACATTATTTATTACAAGACTATTTTTCATTTACTTCGTGATAACCGATATTTGTTTATATCCGGGTTCGTTATATCGAGTTATAAGTGCATATAGTTTTGTTCGGATTGAATTACTGTCCTACAGTTAAATGATGGCTGCTGTAAATAAGAATGTCTCTCAAAAGAAAATTATTCTAAAACATTTTTCGTTGTACGCCTTGCTTGGTGTGATACAGGACGTTTCCCAGGAGAAGGCGAAATTTCCTTTACCCGAGCCGACTGACATGGAGCGTGCTGGACTCGTCAACTTCGATGACATCAGGGCAGACCTCAAGAAGCTTGACGCTCAGATAAAGAGTGAGTAAGTTTTCTCGTCCACGCATTTAAAACTCGTTTCTATTAGGTGTACATGGTCTCTGTATGTTGCGGAAATTTCTTTTTCCCAGTGATGCAGAGTTTCGCTAAAAGCTTCTTTGCACCGCACCCATGGAGAACTATGGTGGCTATTTCTTCATGGAGAACTATGGTGGCTGTGGATACTCTGTAGGTTTTTTCAAGTATGTTTATGTAGGGTTTTTCGATTCTGTGGTGCCTGCATTACTGCTGATGTCTCCACTGAGTCAAACGCCTTCTCGTGATCTATGAAAGCTATGTATAGGGGTTGGTCGAATGCCCCGCATTTCTTCATCACCCGATTGATAGCATGAATATGGTATATTGTGGAGTGAGCTGTACGAAATCCTGCTTGGTCTTTTGGTTGGTTGAATTCGAATGTCGCCCTTATTTTATTAGCTATTATTTTTTAAATAGCTTGTAGAGAACCGCTCATGCTAGGCCAGGCACATGGTACGCCTGCAACATCAGTTGTCGAGAAGAAGAGAGAGACATTTTTAGCTGACTGAGAATTTATTGGAAATTCCAGGCTGCGTGCTGCACTACAATATTTGGCACGCATGGTCTTGGGAGCCTCGACCGCCAATTGGCACCGTTTTCTGACCATGCTTAAAAAGTGTCACGGGGCCCCTTAAATGGACACTAAATAGAAAAATAACTTTTCACATGTTATTAAAGTACAATTTCACAATCCCGAAATAGCCACTCTTATCGCGGCACGATGCTTGATAAGCGAGAAAACGTGCGAAAAGAAAATGTGGTTGTCGACATCACCTTGAGATTTGCGCACCAAATACCATGACATAAAAAATCTTGAAGGCATCTTCTGGGTTCTACGTGGCTTCGAATCGATAAAAATGACGTACATTGTCATCTGTGGGCGCCATAGACTTAGCGTACAGTTTCAGAAAATTTAATCGAATGCCGTGAAAATACCAAAAATACATTTTGAAATTTGTGACGTCACGCTAAGAAATTTCCACACGAAATTTATAATTGAAACTTCAACCTTGATTTTCTCCGGTAATAATGAACCTATGGTAGTGGAACACATGGCATTAAGAGTTCCCAGAGTGCGGTTTGTCAGTCTAAACCGAGTCATTGTTCCTTTCTAGTGTCCCTTTAAAGGCAGGCTGCACACATTTTGAGCTGTCAAGTTGGAAGGTGTCCTAGGAGCGCCGCAATGCTTTCCTGCTCAGGTTGCGAGACCAAGGTCCAGAAGGTGCTGGAGAACTCCGACATTGAGCACCAAGAACCGTTCAGGGAGCAGATGACTACGTTCCTGCAGAAGGCACACCAGGAGCAGAAGGAGCAGGAAGAGAATCTCGAGGAGACTAGGCTCAAGTGAGTGGCAGCTCGTAGCGGGGTGCGAGTGCCTTGGCTGGGCTTTATCGTGGGCTCTGTATCATTGCAAGTATGGCTAGACACAGTATTAATGAGGACTAACAGATAGTACACTCGAACCTCATTGTAACAAACTTGCATCTTATATGAAAATAAGTTCGTTATATCCGAAAATTCGTTATAAATGTTTATTCTTAGCAGTAAATTGCAAAAATAATTTATTTACTTCGTTATAGCCGATATTTCGTTATATCCGGATTCGTCATATCGCGGTTTGAGTGTAATTCTAAAGAAAGTTCAGGAGATGTTGCGACAAATACACTCTGACCTCGATATAACGAACCTGGAATAACCAAATGTCAGTAATAACGAATTAAACGAATAGTCTTTCAATAGCTACAGTGTTAGGAGCATACTTTGATGAGACGTTTTTGGATGTAACATACTGTTGTGTACGATGAACTTTGTTATAATGAGGTTCGAGTGTAATTGTAAATGAGACGAGAAAAAAAGTGAACGGAAAGAGAACTTGCCGGGGGTAGAGGCTCAATCTGCGACCTTCGAATAACGTGTCCGATGCTCTTACCAACTGAGCGTGTTTAAATGTAGGCGTGTTTAAAAGTGGGAGCGTCGGTCAGTGCCACTAGTAGCTATAGCCATTGCGGCGAGCGGGCTTGCTTTACACCATTGTAGGTCCTGCCTGTTTAGCAGAGTTTGAAGAAATCCGAAGTTGGGGCTTGACTTGCAGTTGAAACGAAAACTTTAGTACCGCCAGTCACGGCGAGACGAGTGAATAATTAGGCAGGCTCTGGCATGGTGACAATATTGAATTCGCTTGCCTACTCTACCTTCCGCATATAGTTATTCCGCAGCTAGTTCTGAAAATGTTTTTGACTTTTACGAGGAAATTCTTGATCAGCTGTCACACACTACTGATAGCAAGGGCTACTCTTCCATTAAAAGAGTGGCTTTTGTAGGAGTATCATTCATTCGTAGAAGAATTGCTGTTTCGATCAGCAGCGGCACTCCCAATGACAAACATCCGCTCGGTGGCGATTGGTTCGGAGGGCGCTTGTAGGTCCACAGGGCCTGGGCGTCGAAGGTCAAGAAGAGTCGGTACATCGACTGCGCAAATAAAATTTGTTATTAAGTGCGCTTGTTGGTTTTGTAATGCATGATGTGGGGTCAACTAACATTCAAGTCAGCGTCATTCATAATCATTCTTAGCCTCTGTCCACGGCAGCATGAATGCCTCTCCCGACAATTCCCAGTTTACTTTATACTGTGCGGCCTTATTCCGTTTCATCCCTCCAAAGTTCCTAACTTTGTCACTCCATCTAACTCTCTGCCTTCCTCGATTGCGTTTCCCACCTCTTGGTTTGGTAACCACTCTGATGCTCTTTCTGTTCATCGGTTGTCTGTTCTACACATTACTTCACCAGTCCAGGTCCTTTTTTTTTTGCTTGATGTCTGCTTAGGATATGTGCCACTCCTGTCCGTTCTCTTACCCATTCTGCCGTCCTCCAAACTCTCAATGTTATTCCCTATCATTCTACGTCCCACTGCATGCTGTGTGGTCCTCAGCTTTTGTTCTAGTGTTGTCATTATCTATGTTTCAGCTCCATACATCACAACTGGCAGTATGCAGTGAATGTATAATTTTTGCTTTGATGGTAATTGCAGATTTTTGACATTTGAGAGCGCCACCTGGATTCGCGCCAGCCCATTCGTATTCTTCATTGATCTTTTTTTTTTTCGATTCAGTTCTCCCGTGGATAGTTGTCCTAGATGCACGTAATCTTGTATTCACTCCGGTGTATAATTTTTAATCTTAAATGCTTTGTTTTGCCGGGCCGACCAACATCATCTCGCACTTGTTTAAATACGGTACCGATACTTTCTGGCCTTAGTGTGTTTCGATGGCCTGTACTGCCGACCTTCATTCGAGCTCTTTCTTCGTTGCTTCCCATGCTCAGGTTTCTGGAGACAAAGGACTACTTCCTCCTGCAGCCCAAGTCTAAGAACGAGTCCGAGTGGCCAAAAGAGCTGTTCACTCCGTGGGTGCCTTTCTGCAACGACTTCAAGAACATCTGGAAGAAAGAGGTTCAACGCAAGATAAAGCTCGAGTAAGCTGTGGGATGTCAGTAAATAGTTCGCTAACCCTCCAAGGGTCGCGAACTCTTCTCCTAATGCAAGCCAAAGATGTCTATTATTAATTTCTGAATTGCTGAGACGATTCTGTCCTAACAAAAAGTCAAATTTTCCTGATTGAGTGTAAGGTGACAAATCATTTTTGTTGCTAGATACCCTCTCTTTACTCGTGACTAACATAAAATCAAGTCCTAAAAATGCCTGTACCGACATTTTTTTGAATGAAAATTGCACGTTGTATTAAACATAGCTCAAAAACATGCAAAAATGAGCTCACTTGAGTACTTTTCCAGTGAAAAATGTTCTTGGTCTAACACTAAAAACTGGGAAATAGTCACTTTCGATCCATCCGCACCCATCCGCACCGTCTCGCCGTGCACGCTTTGAGATGTCGCTCTTTTGTCATCCGAGTCTGAACACGGTAAGTAAATCCTGATCTGACGAACTGACATCCAATGAGTCTGATTTCGTACTTGGGGAATAGCCCACTTCTGAGAAATTGCCACCTTTCATTGTGTCAATGTTTTTATGCTTTGACTGTACCTACCAGGATAGCTTATGCGCTGTCACGTTTTAGCTCAAACGTTCAACATCAAGCACAACAGTGCACAGTCAGGTTGGCCTCATCTTAATGGAGATGAAATGCGCAAAGTATTATCGTGCATAGACTGGAGCAGACCATAAAAAAAAAATGCACATGAACACACAGAAACCTAATAAAAACAGCAATGAACACAAGGCAATCACGGGGGTATAATTTGTAGTCTTCAATTGTAATGTACTAATTATGATAATAAATTTAGAGATTAGTGCACAAAAAAAAGCGAATTGTCAAGTAACTGTTAGGTATACATGCACAGAAAAAAAAAAAGTCGAATAAAGGGAATGGGAGGACGACTTCCACTGTAGCTCAATCAGTAGAGCATTAGACAAATTTCTGACTGTTGTAAGGTGCCGTTTCTACCAGGGGAATGTTATCTTTTCATTCACTAATTTTTCTGCATTTAATGCGTAATTGCTACTCTAAGTTAAAAAAAACTACAAATGATGCCCCTATACTTCCCTTGACTTCGTTGCCTATTGGTTTCACAAGGCCGTACACCAGAAAGAGAAGCTCTAAATCAGTTGCCCTTTGTTCTGTTCGAACACAGATGTCTGTAACCAGTGTGTAGTCTCGCATGCAGCTGCCTGTGATTTTCATAGTTTGTTTTCTTCCTTTTGTTTTCTATTCTCATTAGCCTTGAGGCAGCTAGGAGAAAGGTCAAGGACCTGCAGGAAGCCAAGAAATCTAGTGTCATGTCCGAGGTCGTGAAGGTCCGGACCAGCAGACCGTCTGGCCTGGTGAGTCATTCGCTGGACAATCTCAATCGCACTGTAACAGAAAAATCTTGGAGTAGGCTGGTTAGTTCGTTGCAGTTACACTGCCGCAACTCGCAGCGGATGAATTCAGGTGGACCATGGCATAGCTTCCCAAAGGTGCACTAGAGGGAACTCTAGCACTAAATATGTAGTGTCTATGGTTTGCACTGAAACATTTGCACTCACAGTGAAACCCGTGGTTAGTCTTAAACCGGCTCCAAATTAACGTGTAAACTCGAGCAAGATTGAAAAATTTGACTTCCGTAATGACGAAATAATCCTGCATAGCTTTGGTAAGCAACGAGAGGACTGCAATGAAGTGAATCCAATCTGATTATGTCACTTCGTGAGCTGATCCTTTGTCTTGCGTTTTGCTTTCTCTCTTTGCACAGAAAGCAAAAATGACGAAGCGGATGCAACAACTGGGACAGAGCTTCCCTTCGCCAGGAGCACCTTAAAGGAAACGAATGGATCTGCGGAAATAGATCTGATTTTCGTAGCTCGCAGCGGAACAAATGCGAGCGTAAAAGTTATATATATATATGCTGTATACATACATATATACATAGTGTGGCATACTATATTTAACGAGAGATTAATCCCGTTAGGGGGGTGCACACAGTTGTTGTTCGTTGTTGTGTGTAAAGTGTACGTCTTCTGGTGACTTTCACGGAGGTACGGTGGGCCAGCTTCTGCGAGGTGGCATGATATCGCGAATCTCAGTTTTTCGAATGCATTGTCTGTGGTGGCCGGAGCGAAGGTACTGTCCCCGTATGTCTTGTTTGCGTTTAACCAAAGTGCACGTACATAGTTGCAATAGATGAAGGGACCGCAGCGCATAAGGGTTCCTTTCTCAGAGTTAGGTTTGTTCTTATGCGATGCACCTGTATTGGTGCAATAGACAGGGCGACCGCAATGTGTAAGGATCTCCTTCTGCGAGCTTTATTCATTTGTTAATGCTGGTCACAGCAGATGCAATATTGCTGTTAATGACTGGAAACAAGAGATGGCAGGAATGGAATACGGAAAAAATCCTTTTGAAAATGGGAGTGTTTTGAGGATGCACTTTTGGGGATGTCTTGGATGTGGTGGTGCACGGCTGGCAAGGTGGGTGTAGACAAAAAAAAAAAAAAAACTGAAATTTCGCGCACAAGCTACTCTATTATGGCAATCAAAAAAAGTTGCCTCAGGTGGATGTGAGGTTATTACGTAAACTTTATTCTAAACTACTAGATTGATTTATTAGGGCAAACAACGGGGACACCCTAAACTGCATAGACAGCATTTTCTGGATGTTGCCAAATGTGTTAGTTTTCCGTACAGTAGTACCTAGTATGCAGTTTATACAAAATGCAGGTAAAGATTTTTACAGAACATCTTGCAGATTATGTACGGACATTTTCCTCTGAATACAGAAGGGTTTTGATGGGAAATTCAGATTTACTTCGGAAGTGCATTCGTGTGATTTCGAGAAGGCGATGTCGTGCGTTGAGAACTTTTCATGACCAAATATGCAAGAAAACCTTGAGGCTACAAATATTTTTAAAGTACGCTATTGCACATTAACTGTTGTATTATGTTGTTGGCTGTTCTGCAAGGTTAGATATGACTTACTCTCCAGAAATTATTTGGAGGTATCTTTAGTTATAAATTCCTAACATTTTATCTGCAAGAGTGTCTCTTGATTATTCTGTATATTGTGACAGAATATATATATATTATGTTTTCATTTGCTTAACTGTAATTTTTACTGGACACCTTAGGTTAAGGGCATAATTGTCCTGAAATCATCAGTCCGCCATAACATGTGCATTTTCTATCTTGAACATTATACTCCAAATGCATTTCTCGGTTTTATACAAAATCCATGCCAAGATTTACATGCTGCAAACTGCCTATGCTATGACGCTCGAGAAAAAGAGTGATGACAGGCTTCCTTATCATAGTTAAATTTTCGTCCCTCTCTTGTGGGCCTAAAAAAAAGTCTGATATTTCATAAATTTGCAATCATGATGCACCTCGATGCAACAAAGTGCATTTGAAACGAAAATTGGTTTGTTCTGTTAAAGAATTTGTTGGTCATACTCATTATATGGGGTTCAGTGGAATTATCAGCAGCAGCTGAAGCTCCGCAGACGGTGCACAAAGCGATAATCTCCCGCAAGAAAGCTAGGATAATACGTTTTCGCTTATCTAGCTGCCAGAATAAGAATAAGAGCTGCTCCTGTGTTGGTACTTTAGTGTGTCACGAAGTCTCGTCTCGTTAAAAGTGTGGTATTAAATGTATTCTTTCAAAGTAGTGGAAACAAAATGGCTTACTGGGTAAACAGTGCCACCAGCTTTGTGTTGTAACTGACGTTTCTTTTGTGTCATTTATAGCTGAGTTTTTACAATGCGGAGTGTCTAAAAGTGATGAAAAGAGGGTCTCAGGGTCTTGTTTATTATGAGTATTCATTTTTCATATTCATTATACCGAGGTTCGACTGCATTAAATTTTCGAAGCGAAGCTGGCGCAGGATTGAAAGGCGGGTCATTCGTTCACTTCACGCGGCTTTGCGAGCACCGGGACGTGCACCGATTCGCCTGTTCCTTCAAAAACACTGCGCCACGATCTGCACTTCTTATCTGCATTTTCATCTGTTGAGAGTCTGAAACGAACTTCATTTTGACTGTCATCTGTTCTGATGCAAATAGTGTGAATGTGTGCAGTTAATAATGCTAGTTTTTCTTATCAACACTTGTCACTAAAACAGTAGCCTCTTTGTATTGATTGAACTGCCAGCCAGGCAAGAGTGTCAAGCAGTATGAAATGCCACTGCAAACATTCATTGTTCATCAGCCATTGCATAGATTTCCTAATCCATTGCAGCCCCACATCTGCAATTGTGCTTACTACGAATAAGTCAGTGTGAAGATATTTAATCTGAACTAATGCACCAAGAGCCAGTAAGAAGCAGCGGTGCTTCATAATTCTTCTTTTATTGTCTTGGGCGAGGGCTTGTCAGTCTTCTTGTCGTGGCCTGAGTTTGTTGGAATAAAAACCGGTACAATGTCTTTTCCAGCAGTTTGTAGGCAAAAAAATGAATTTTTCTCTTCTTTCTATTTCACCAGTTCACTGTTATAATGCTTTGGGAATAGTTTTTAAAGGGCGTGGTTACAGTTTATATGTTTGCAAAGACATGCCTTTTTGTCGGAGAAATTCTCCATGCGGCTTACTGCTTTTAGTGTGACCTGTTTCCAACAACATTCCTGTTGAAGGAAGAAAGTTAAACAGAACAAATTTTTACACGCATAAAAAGTTGTATCCTAAAATGTTCTTAGAGTATGCCTTAATTGTGCTTGAAACATACCTTGTTTGGAGGAATTCAATTTAGTGTATATCTAAATTTATGTCTGACTGAACAGCAGCAAATTGAATCCATAAACGAGAATGTGTTTCCAAGTTTTAACACTGCGTAATCAACTGCTTCTGTAATTATTTATAGTTTGGCTCAATGCAATGCAGCATTCTCACTTGGAGCTTTTTTTTTTTTCAGTCGAAAATGCCTGTAGTGCGTCTCCAAGAATACTCTCATTGCTACGATTGTAAAAGACATGTTGCGGGCTGCGATCAAAGTTACATTTTCTTGTATGAAAATGCTTTTTTTCCCCCATACTGTGATCACTTTACGTTATGTAGATTCGTCTGTTACTGTTGCTGCAATGAGCGCCAGATCATGGCCGCTTTTCGAAATGGGTGACACATATCATTCTCGTGGCAACTGTGAATTGCTCCTGTGGATTTTTCTCATTTTGTACTGTTTGATGGTGCGACCTTGAGTGGTACTTAGAAGTGTAAATGGGGTCCTTCATTTCTGGGCAAGACCCAATATCTTTCATCTATGCATGCACACACTCAACCAGCTTGATAAGAATTTGAGAGTCGATACGTATTTGTAGTCATTTAAATGGTTCAGTAACACATCTGCATGTTTGGATCTCTATAACTGGTGTCGTCTTTGGAAAGGGCTCTTAAAAGCATGCTTAATGCACACTTAGGGGTGATGAAGTTCATGATACGCATAAGTGGTGCATGCGATTTACCTTTGTGAAATCTTCTGCTGCTCAGATTTCTCCTGATTAAAATTGTTCGGTAAAGTCAAATGTCTTACCTCTACTACGAGCTATTAAGTGGCATCACGCTTAAGGTACACATAAGAGTGACTGTTTATTATACCCACAAAGTGTTCTGAATGAGGTTTTTTGGGGGGATAAAGTTAACTGGCACACAGGTTTTCCTTGAAGGAGGTTACTTGTGGAGGTCAAATTTCTTATCCCTGCTACAGTTGTAGCATCACGATAAACACGCACTTAAGGGTGATGAGGTTTGTCATGCCCAGTCGGAGCACCAATTTTGATTCCTTGGTAAAATTTGCTGCACAGTTCCAACGGAAAAAAAGACTTTCCTTCGGGATAGTGAAATTGCTTGTCAACACCTCTACAATTATAATAAGGCTTGCTCATCTTACTTCCCGCTTATTAGATAAAATTCAAAGCTCGAAAATGAAGGGCCCTTAACACTGTACAGCGTATTCCATATATAAGGGATATTTTGTTACGTACGAGCGACGTGCTATGGATCGATTTTCAATCGTATGCAAAAGTTGTCTTGCAGCAGCTGTTATACGCTTGTGTAGGCGTTGCGATTGCATAGTATGGCTGGCCGTTTTTGACGAAACGTTGGTGGCCTCTGCCAAAGATGTTCTACTCTGAACCTTTTTTTATTTGCCACTTGGTGCAGTGCTGTTTTTCGTTGGGGAATGTAGTTTGTGTAACGGCTTCATCTTGTACGAGCTCCCTGGGTGACGAAAGCTTATATTTGTTTCTAAAGGCAGCACTTATTGACTTTGATGACACGCACATTCCTCTTTTTTTCTTTTATGCACGAGGTACATTCCATCGAGATGTATTTATTTAATTTATATTTATTTATGATATTTTAGAGACAAATAAAGCTCTTTACACGCTTTGCCTTGTGTCTGAATCTCATTTCTAAACTTGTATGTCGTCCACTGCAGTGGTGCAGTGGTTATGGCGCTCGGCTGCTGACCCCATAGCTGTGGGTTCGACCTCTGCCGCCGTGGTCACATTTTGATGGTGACGGAACGCCAGTTGGCTTGCGTCTACTCTGCAATGTCTGTGCACGTTAAAGAACTCCCAAGTGGATAAAATTTTCCAAATTCTTCACTACAGTGTGCCACAAAATCTTGTTGTGATTTTGGCATGCGAGACTTCTCAAATTGTTGGTATTATTATTATTATTGTTATTAGTATATATGTAGTGCACAGCAAGATTCTAGGTTCACCTAATATCAACTGTGTAGCATGCTGTTTATTGGAGAATAAAAAAATTGGCAACACATCTGCCTGCTTCGCTGGCAAAGTAGTTGATAAACGATAGTCTGCAAGTTTCGTGCGAGAAAATCGGCGAGTACACGGAGGAAGGAAAAAGGTAAGGAGAGGGCATGCCCAGCCGGCACAGGGCGTAAAAAATGTGGCGGAAATGGCATCATGGCGGCCATATTCAGTAGGCACAATAGCGGCGTTGTTATGGTTACGTGTTGCGCAGTGAAGCTGGTCTAGCAGTGAGCGGCCGCGGCTGGCGGCGGAATGTGTGCCTCCCCAGGTCTCGTGCTGAGCCGTGGCGGACAATATCTGTGCTCTGCGCCGCGTTATTGGTTACGCGGTGTTCGTCTGGCTGTTACATTACTCTTAGCAACGTTTACAAATCTCTTTGTCCATCACGGGGTTTCAACAGTGCGTAGAACAAGTGCATATCCATGTGTCGTGCGGCGGATGACGCGGATGAAGCAGTGTTCAGCGAAATGGCGTTGGGCACCATGACGAAGCTGAATGACGACGAACGCCTTGCAGGTCAGTGACGGTTGAGCAGTGCTCCTGCTTGTGACAACGGACGACGCTGTTGAGCCCAGCAAGACGCCGTGAGGACCATGTGCTCATACGTAGTTTCGTGTTGTGTGTGTACAGTAACAACTTGCATGTGCGTATTAAAACACCTTTTCTGTTCCGCTTGGTACACTCTCCACCAGCATTGCATGTAATCTCAACGTAACAGCAACCACGTTCAAC